CACGCCCAGCATATTCCCAGTCGACAGACCTGACCCCCAATCTCCCTGGCCATCTCCACACTAGGGCCCTTCCAGTCACGAACCGGCTTCTAGAGACAACGCCTGGATGTTCTCCCATCTATGGATCATAGCTGGCGCCGTGCTAGCAGGGCCTAGCGTCCCACGTCTGATTCCTGGCCGGTTGTGGCTGACGACCAGCGGTCGTCTGATGTCTGCTTCAGCATATGATGAAAGGGGAGTTGTAGCAGATGACCACGGGATACATGTGTAGCACCAGAGCGCTATACCGCACCTGTCGGCCTTCCATGCCAAAAGGCACGACGTAGCACGACACAGACGCATGACGCGACGAAATAAGCCTTTGACGCCGCGTGGGAGGACCCGGTCGCACTGGGGCACCTGTCCTCGTGGAAATTAGGGGTCGGCCGAGGAGAGAAATTCGCGGCGTTCACCCCTTCTCAGCCCTGCGCTGCCCTGCGCTGCCCTGCGCTGCCCTGCGCTGCCCTGCGCTGCCCTGCGCTGCCCTGCGCTGCCCTGCGCTGCCCTGCGCCTTGAGCCCTCGGGACCCCACCGGAGAAATGCGCCGGCGAGGAAATGTCGGTGACGGCGGCGACTGCAGATACACACAATAGGCTTCAGCCAAGCTAAGCCTGTGTCTCTGCGTGGTATGTACACGGCAGCAAGGCAAGGTGCTCAGCCGCATTGCGCCCGCCCATCCTTGCTCCGAGTTGCTTGGTATGCTTTGCACAAGGTTGAGCCGGACGCAAACTTGCGAGTCTTGGGCCCCTTTCTTTCTTACTGTGTATTGTTCGCATGCAACGTCTCGAGCGACAACATCGACAGGCCTGCATCTCGGGACTTCAGGAGCCTCGGTGGCCCGTGAACACCACGGGTCTGTGAGGCCGAGTTTTACTGTGCCCGGGACATGGTCACAGCAGAAATAAAGTGAGCACGACATCAGGCAGGTTGAACAATTTGGCAGGAGGGCTGCGGTGTGTAGGGTAAAGCCCACATTCCCTTCCCGCAAGCATCGTGCTGTCGGCCCTTTCCGATGCATTCGAACGCCCAGACGGGCTCGGCTTAGGAGGAGCGTGGCAGTCCGAGGACGGTCTGAGCGACGCGGGCACATAAGTACGCGAGGGCTCTGCACTTTGGGCTTGAGCCTGTGCTTGTGGGTTTTCAGCCTTTTGATGCCAACCAGTGGCTCAATCGCGTCTTGGTTTCCTCTCCGCCCGTGAGCCACAGAAGACTGCCCAGGTGGGCAAGAAGAATGCCATACAACCCTACCCCTGCTGACCGTCGCCAGGGGAGGCATAGCTGTACTGCCTCCGATTGGGGGATCTATAAGAGCATTAAGATCTGCTCCGGTTTTGCAGCTGTCAAAGGTGCATGATCTGGCAGATGGAAGACGCATGAAGTCCAAGGGGCTTTCCCGCGATTTCCCGCCCATTCTGGGGCATGAGAACATACATGACCAGGAGGGGGCCCCCATTCCCGACTGAGAATCACAGCTCCGGGAGAGGAACTGTTGTGAAACAACCCCCCAACAGGAGAAGATGGGAAGTCTGGTTTGCGATTGGCACGATGGCGATCACCTCGCACGGTCATGACTACTACTGCACCAGCCAACCACGGATGTGAACACTAGAATAGATCGGGATATGAGCGCTCTTGGTCGTACCTGGTCATTACATAGGCTTCCGGAAGTGAGACCCCAAATATGCAGAGCCTGAGCAGTGTATACCCATGGGCAGGCAGACAGTGTGAGATGGGGACAAGGAAGTCTTGTGCCTAGATGTTCCTGAAGGCCGAAAATGTTTCATATCCCGGCCCACCCTGCCCTCCGGTTCCTCTCATCTCGTGGCCCATCTTCAGCAAGGTCTGCGTGACGCAGCCCCGAGTATGATGACTGACTGACTGACCGCGCAACTCTGGCTACTAGTATAGTAACTGTCCTGTGCTTGATGTTGGCCGGATCAGCTCCACTTGCAGAGTGGCACCCGGATTGGAGTTTGAGGAAATCCAGTCCCAGCCCGGCTGCAGACCTACTACTCCGTGGTAGGAATAAACGGGTGCTACTGTGCCGTCCAGCACAGCGTCAAGCTTGCGCCTGTTCGTCATCTTGACAGCTGTCAAGAGGCCAGCAGCACTACCCGGGAGAGGAAAGGGAAGCCGTTGCGTGCGCGTGCAGTAGCTCGCAGTTAGCTGCCCGGCTTTCGACATTCTACGGTCCGGCTGGCTGCCCGTCCCATCTGGACCAGATTCCAATAGCTCCGTCGAATCCATGCTCTGGTACCACCAGGGCAGGACTGGACAGGACTGGACAGGACTGCATAGGACTGCATAGGACCGGCCACCCCCCGCCCTTCCCGCCACCTTTCCAACAGGGCGGGGCCGGGCAGAACCAGCTATTATTATTCCCTGAGCCACGTCAAAGCGCAAGCAGCGATACGAAGCAATGCCTACAGGTGTCTACCACGGTTCCCTATCGCTGCCCTGCGCAGCCCACCCGTAGAATGCAGAGTGCACATGCACTATCCCCGGGCCGTGTCGTCCCATCACCCGCCTCACCCACCAGTACCACCACCACGATCCTCCCCTTCATAAGCGTGCCAAACACCCAAGGGCCAGCAGCTGCCCGGGTGCCGTCACCGGTCGCCCCAAACGGGCACAGTGGCCGGCTCGCTTCAGTGCGAGGCATGCCCAGGCAATGATCCCAATGCACGCCCTCTGCCCGCCCAGTGAGATAGATGGGCGATACCATCGCGCCGAAGGTACGCCCTGAGACATGGGATGAATCCAAATCGGGTTGCGGAAGGGCGGGAGAAGCGGGAGAAGAAAATGTGTGAAAATCGTGTGCGGTGGGCTCGGAGGTGGGCGTGGTTGTTCTTGTAGATATAGACACACGCCCCTGTCCCCTGTCCCCTGTCCCCTGTCCCCTGTCCCCTGTCCCCTGTCCCCTGTCCCCTGTCCCCCGGCCCCCGTCCCCCGTCCCAAGGAACCTCGACTTATCGTCGACGTCGGTGCTTGAGCGGGTGGCCGGCCGAGTGAGCGGACGTGTTTGGGCCTTTTCAGGTCTCGAGTTAGGTTAGGCATCTCCCGAGGTCCTTGCGTTTTGTGGCATGTCAACACTGCCCATGGGTTAGACCACATCGTGCTTGAACCCCAGCTCAGGGTGGGTGTGTAGTGGTGTGATTCGCACCGGGAAGGATAGACCCCTTCCCTACAGTTTTCCACCGCCATTGTAAAACCATATTGAAGATGCAGGCGTGGCTTCTTCAAGGGGGTGCTAATTGTGTCCTGAGGTCAGCTCGACGGGACATCCCGGCCAGCCACGCATAGGCATTGGTAATTCATACTCAATAGCCAGGATATACTCCACGTGTAAGCAGGAGATTCCTTATAGCATATGAGTGCCGCAATTTTCACGGGTAGCACTGGCTGATTAATTCTCCAGGCTACCCGCCGCCCGCCGTCGCACCAGGAAGCTTCCAAGCTTACCAGCCGGTAGCCCCTGGGTTCTCGGTTCGGTACCCAAGTGTGAAATGCGAGACACCGCCATCAAGCCGAGGCCGATGACGATGTTACTCAGCGCGCACGTACCCTACATATGTATATCTGCCACCACTCCAGGGTAACAGCCTGCGCCCTCGCGTCATGTCACAAAAGAGGTTACTATATCATGGTCTAGACCGCAGCACCCGTTAACCTTGAAAAAGTCATCTCATCAACAAGCGGACAAGAGCGTACAGAACAGAACGTTCGGTACTAGGAAAGGACCAGAAGAACAATGGAAAGGATCCAGTGAGTGACAGCGGCGCCCCATCCGGCCGTTCGGCCATTCAGTCAGTCCCCGGGCCGAAAGCCAAGCTCAGTCGTGAGTACTTGGTATGCCGTCGCCGATATCATTTGGCCGGATACCTGCGCGTGTCTCATCTCTATTTTGCACCAAGGCAAAGACTAACCTTTGAAATCATCTCTTGCAGTGCGTCTTCCAGCACCCAGACAATGAATGCGTTTATCTGCTTATCGGCTTGACCCGCACTTCCGCTTGCCTTTCCCTTGTGGCCATCCCTCAAGTGCTCGTGAGCCCAGAAAGATCAGGCCAGGACATGAAGGACCTGTCTGTCCAAACGTGAGCCTCAGTCAACTACCGCGCGTAGGGTGGCTAGCCGACATTTGCCCGTGTGCCCGCTAACGCGCTAGGGTATCACTCCGGCGCCAGCCCATGTGTTTGTGTGTCTGGCGGCGCGCGATGTGACGGCAGCTCAAACTGTTGGGCGGCAACAGTCTTGGAAGGGCGCCCGAGGAGGTTTCCATGCTTTTCTGTGCCCGTGGAGATTTTCCGTGCATTCCGGGATTATGGTCTTCCTGCTCTGGGATGTAATTGCTTGAAATGGAAGACACGTGGTCTCCTTTTCGAGGCATGCCGTAGACGCCTTCGCCGTGAGCCTACGTGAAAGGAACATTCGTCCTAAGCTCGAGAGGTGATAGCCGGAGACAATCAGCATGCCATATCTGGCGGGGGGCATCGCCGACAAGTGTTTCAGCTTGGTCCTTCTCAGATGATGTGGGTTTATGAGAACCGAGAAAAACAAAACTAGATTTGAAATGTCGCTCGCTTTGAAGTTGATAAATCTCACCGTCGCTCTATGAAATGCTAGACGAGAAAGGTGGACATATGCTAGATATCAACAGGCTGACTCATCGCCATCCAATCACGCTCTATTCATCAGCGGGAGAGGAGCTCCGCGTGTTGAACGGGGCGTCTGGATGAGTTCTCGCGGGTAGCAGCGACGTGCAAGCCATCGGGTCCACCGCATGCGTGTTTGACAGCGGTGTCACAGATGCTCATACACTCAGGCCAATGAATGTGGTAGCCGCCCATCAGGTGACCTCCACAAGCATATTGGCATCGCGGGCGATATCAGGTCGCCACATCTTACCGGCCACGCCGAGTACTCCTCAACCCCCGCTCGACACACAATCCCACTCCAACCTCAGGTGTCCAGCCCGAATATCCCCTTGGCAACGCCCCAGGCCCATTCAGCTTCCCGGTCCACCACCCTCAGGTCGTCAATCCATTCTAAGCCCAGTCTGACTGTCTCGTGCGCGTCGGCCTCGAAGTTCGTGCCACAGATGCCGCTGGCTCTGATCCTTGCCAGGATTGGTACCTTCTCGCTCAAGTACAAGATAACGAGCGCGCCGAGGATATTCTGCGTCCAGAAGAACAGGCAGGGGATGAGCAGCTTCCGCGTGCAGGCAGGAGACATGATGATTGGCCACATGAGACAAGTGTTGAGGCAGTTCGCAACCCCGTCCGCGTCCTCGTTGTTCATCTGGTCGGGATGATGGAGCGCCTTGTATAAAAATGGCCTGTAAAGTAGCAGTCTTGTGGTGTAGTACCGCGTGCGGAGCAGCGCGATCTGAATGTCCATAGCATATGGATAAGCTACCGGGTGGCTGTTGAGGTCCGGCGTGAACGTAACAGAGGTGACAGATGTGACAGGAGGCGTCGCGGTGGGGAGAGCAGGTGACGGCGCCGTCACGGGAGTGGCGCCTTGGAACAACGAAGTGCCATACACGTCATGCCCCGGCGGGAGGAAGTTCCCATGGTCGCGTTCTACCCAGCGAAGGTGCAAGGGCAACAACTCACGCCATTGATCGAGTTGCATAACAAGTGGCTTCATAGCACCGGGTATCGCCGGCGCAGGTGACGAGGAGGACGATATCGAGGACGCGGGCGAAGTTGATACTGCAGAGTGTCAGCCCATCTAGGAACGGAGATGTGTCGTTGATATGAGATAAGTCGGAGAAAGGAGGGTTCCCGGCGTCCTTACCGCTGCTGAGCACGTTGTTGAAGTCAGCCGAGAGTCGGCGCAGCACAATTTGCGAGGCAAAGTGTTCCTGAAAGTGGCTGGTATGGTCCTCTTGAGAGACCAGGCCCCCAAAGTCTGGCACTCGAACCAGGGTCTCATATTTATCTAACCCGCTCAGTGGCATGCCTAATTCCAGATTGAAGCAGCTGTAGACGTGAGTCAGTTGAGTGCAGGTAGAAGACAACGTAGTAACTGACGTCTCCATGATCGAGCAGTGCCAAAATGCTCTCCGAATAATGTCCCCTTGTGCCGAGGTAAGTTCCCCTGGGTTGCTGTTCTCTTGTTTAGCCACCTCGCTACTGTCTGAGCCTGAGCCCGGGGGACAACGTACCTGGAGATCAGGGCTTGACAGGCCGACGAAGCAGAATTCGTCATTCGCCAAAAGTCCTAGTTATGATCAGCCCGGTGCTCCACAAGCAACATCACAAAGTGGCTGGACCTCACCATATGGCGGGAGCACGTCTCGTAGTAGATGCTGTTCGAGATCAGAAAGATTTCAAGACGTTGCATGGCGGCAGGAGGGGCATTACCCTGCGAGAGCAAAGACCTGGACATTTTCCAAACTACATTCAGTCAGACTGAAACCCATGCGTCTCCGTGCCTCGTTAAAGAACACCAGGCCAGGATGCTGCGATGCGGTGCGTCCATTCACGCCTCCGGGATGCGAATATGCATCGATTGCAACCTCGCCCAGAGCAAAGATTAGATAGGTCAATGTCGACTGGATGCTTTCGTCAAACACGAGCCCGTTGGTCAACATTGCCGGGAGAGTTGTGGATGTGAAGGCCTGGCGGTCCACAATGGGGTGCAGGAGGTTGAACGTGTCGAAGAAGGCCTTGGTAAGAACTTGGACCGAGTCCCAGGTCAGACTGTTCAACACCTGAGTGGCAGGTGGAGAGTCGGGAGCAACTGGGTTCTCAAGATTTGACGCAGCTCGGCTGCGTCTCCGCCCGTTCGTGGCCGACGGTAACGAGGTCCCTGGTTTCTGTAGGATGGAAATGCCTTCCTGCTCCAGGAGAGAACCTTGGTCGCGGCCGGGCACATTTGGAAGTATGACCTTTACTATCTCCTGAACGGCAGGCCAAGCCAGCATTGCGTGCACTGAAGATACATAACTGTAGTTGGTCGCGTTCCCGGACGACAGCGCGGCGTCTGAAGGCAGGCCGGAGACGAAGGTGCTGCTGCCGCTGGCGCTCGCAACGCTCCCACGGACGCTCCCGATGGGTGCTGGCGTCTGCACCAACGCATCGCCCGAGAATGAGGATTGGAAGTTGACTGCCAGGCCTTGGGCAGTCAAGTTGTCTATCTTGCCCTCGAGAGACTTGATTCGCTCCAGAATCTCAACCAGGGTCTTGTCCTTCTTGGTGGGCTGGGGCTCTCGGTAGCGGCAGTCCAGCTTGAACTTGACGCATGTGCCACACTTGGGCCTCTGCTCGTCGCATTTCTGCTTTCTTGACCTGCAGGTACCGCAGGCCTGCGCCGCGATTGCCCCTCGCTGCGTTCGCGACAAGGTGCCACTAGTAGCCGTCGCGGGAGGGCTTGGAGGTCGTGAGCCTGACACTGCTGCAGATTCCCCTTCCATGCCTGGCTTGGCTCTCACTCACCAGACCTGTCCCCGGGCTGTCTTGAAATGTCAGCTGCTTGACACTTTCGTATTCTGTGGTAGCCTGGTCGGGCGCCAGTGAGACATCCGCTCTGTTGCCAGGGAAGCGAGTTGGATGAGATGGATTGCACACGGGAACGACAAGGCTCGATTCACGGCTCGAGCCGGCCGCTGGGGGTTGGGCTCGTAGCCAGGTGGTAAAAGATGCAGCCTGTTGCCGACCGAGCTTGGTTGCCGAGTGAAGACCCGGCGAGCGGATGCGCGATTTGCGGGCGCAGCGAGGAATCGAGGAAGCAGGTGGTGATGATACAGACAGAGGCTCGTGCTGAAGCGAAGGTCGGGTCAAACAAGTCGGGTCAACGCCGTACGATGCATGGGATACGAGGCAATTTTCCGGACGGGAAAATAGCAAGACAGGGGAAGGAAGCCATCAAGAGACAGGAATAAATGGAACCTCCGTATTCGAGTCGACGTATGCATGCATGGAGGGTGCAATGAGACGGAGGATGTGATCCCTGAATTCCTTGCTTTCTGTGTGGTCCTACGTCATAAGGCTGCTCTGCACGCAGGCCGGAGTATGATTGTGCACTGGCCGAGCTCATGAGAAGCGAAGATAGGGATAAGGGGGCGTTAACGATGACGAGGGCCCCCCCCCAGGCCAGCCTTTGGAGCTACCACCGCAGTGGCACTCGAGCATGTCAGCCCAATGGCGACATGGCCCTGTGAGGTCGGCATGCACGGTCCTGAAGCAAAAAAGCGGTCGGGGTTCGAGGGTTGCTAAGCAGGACGGACGCATCATTCATCCCCCCAGAGACAGGTCGGCGAGAGTGCGAACGGCCATGTTCCTCTTGCTCAAGTTTGTCGTGAAACGACGGGGACGACGGGGACGACATGGACAGGACAGACGAGGTCGGCCTGGGCGACGATCAACAGGGGAGCCTCAACTGCCAGCCCATTCCCGTTTCCGCAGTTGATCGGCAGCAGCACAAGGACTGGCCTTGGGTTCGATTTAAGCTCAGGTGACATGTCGAGAATGGTTCTCTGAACCAGAGTGCTGGATCCCAGGCTCTGGTGCTCGGCTCCGGCCCAGGCGGCGTCCGGCTGAGGTGTCCGTCCGTCCATCCGTTTCCAGGTCTCGTCCACTCAATGTGGGTGGCGTCGAAGAGGGTGGGGTTCACGGTGGAAACACGAATCCGGAGGTGGAATCGGCGCTGAGTAGCAGCACACGGCTCCTGGGGCCCAAGCTGGGCTTTATACCATCATCATGTCGTGGCTGTCGGACAAAAGCCTGAGGCATAAGAGTACGAGAGGCGGGCAGCGCGGAGCCGGGACCATTGCCGCTCATGCAGTACCACTTTCTGTCGCTGCGACAGAGAGGCGGAGTGCCGGCGAGGCAAGCTGGCAGGCTGGGCAGGCGATGCGCGAGACTACCTAGGTAACTGACAGACTGATTGATCCTGACTAAGCCGGCATGGCGACCCCTGTCTCCGACTGTCGCCAATCGGCTCTATCCGTGGGTACAAAGTACTCCAGCGGCTCGCTGCGGTACTCAGGTACCATGTCCTCCGTAGCACTCTCAGCCTGGCGCAAGGCAACAGAAGCTTGGGTAAGCTCGGCCGCCTGCAACGCGGCAAACCGCCTGCACGCAACCAACCTCCTGTCCTTGCCAATTCCAAGCTTCCCATCAACACATTACCGCCGCCGCCACCACCACCTCCTCCACCACCACCACATCAGCAGCCGCCATCTGACTGGTCTACTTCCCGTCCTCAACGCGCTTTTCCTTCGATTGGATCACCATCACGGCGAAAGCAGGATCCTCGTTAGAGACCTCTGCACAAAGCGTCCATCCCTGCACCTCGCGCCGACCTGCCCAACATGTCTGACCCGGAGAGGGCCGATGCCATCAGCAAATACACAGACTCGCTGCTCGAGTCTCGAAACTGGGAGGTCAAGCTGAAGAACCTGCGCCTGGAGATCAAGGATTTGGAGAAGGAGTTCAACAACACAGAGGAGAACATCAAGGCATTACAAAGCGTCGGCCAGATCATTGGCGAGGTCCTGAAGCAGCTCGACGATGAGAGATGTATGTCCGCCCATGCTAGAACCCCACCCGGGCCCCCAAGCATCGCTCTGACCCGTCTACCGCAAAACAGTCATCGTCAAGGCCTCCTCCGGCCCTCGCTATGTCGTCGGCTGCCGGTCCAAGGTTGACAAGGCAAAGATGAAGCAAGGAACCCGCGTCGCACTCGACATGACCACACTCACGATCATGCGCATGCTGCCCCGAGAAGTCGACCCCCTCGTCTACAACATGTCTCTCGAGGATCCTGGCCAGGTCAGCTTCGCCGGCATTGGCGGCCTCAACGACCAGATCAGAGAGCTGCGTGAGGTGATCGAGCTGCCGCTCAAGAACCCAGAGCTCTTCCTGCGTGTCGGCATCAAGCCACCCAAGGGTGTGCTGCTGTACGGCCCGCCGGGAACGGGAAAGACCCTGCTTGCGAGAGCCGTGGCGAGCAGTCTGGAGACAAATTTCCTCAAAGGTGTGCTCGCTCCTTGGAACGTGAACAAGAGGTCCGACGCTAACAGACCCTGCCCCTGGTTATAGTTGTCTCCTCCGCAATTGTCGACAAGTATATCGGTGAATCCGCCCGACTGATCCGCGAAATGTTTGGTTATGCCAAGGAACACGAACCCTGCATCATCTTCATGGATGAGATCGATGCCATCGGAGGCCGTCGCTTCTCAGAGGGCACATCCGCAGACCGAGAGATCCAGAGGACACTGATGGAGCTCCTGAACCAGCTCGACGGTTTCGACTACCTGGGCAAGACAAAGATTATCATGGCCACAAATCGGCCCGACACACTGGACCCCGCGCTGCTGCGTGCCGGACGTCTGGACCGCAAGATCGAGATCCCCCTGCCCAACGAGGCTGGCAGACTCGAGGTCTTGAAGATCCACGCCAGCAGCGTGGTCACGGAGGGAGACATCGACTTTGAGAGTGTGGTCAAGATGAGTGATGGGCTAAATGGTGCCGACCTGCGGAACGTGGTCACGGAAGCGTAAGGCCCATATTCATTGCATGCCCCTTTGCGGTTTCTGTGAAGCCAGATGACTGACATTGCCTTAGTGGTCTGTTTGCGATCAAGGACTACAGAGACGCCGTGAACCAGGACGACTTCAACAAGGCCGTTCGCAAGGTTGCAGAGTCCAAGAAGTTGGAGGGCAAGCTTGAATACACCAAGCTTTAATCTTGAGAGGCTGGAAGCGAGGATTCTGGCTACATCCATGACAGGAAAAGCAAGGGTGTTGACAGAGGTTGTCGGTGGCGAGGGGCCACAAGACCTTGTCAGGAACTCCGCAGCCTTTTCTGGGGCATGTGTTACGTCTGTGGCCACCCAGAACAGCGAGACAACCATGACTTGTCCTGCAAAACATCACGCGTGTTATCCGAATCGAAACAGGGAATGCGCTGACCCGCAGTGAGCAAGGTCGTGATAAGCGCAGTCGTTTAGTTCCCCAATCCCTCACCTTGGGCCTTCGTCTTTGAACCGCGTCAACTTGTCTGAACCCTGTCGCAATCATACTTCCATTCTTAATGTAGCCCCGACCAATCTCAACCCCATGATCCCGCAAGACGCCTGGTCTAGCACACCAGAGTAGCGCAAGTTCAGAGAATCAGAATCGCGGTTTGCTGGTGAGAAGGTGTGGCGAAACGTTTTTGGACCTAGAACATACCCAAGGCACTGCCCATACGACTAACCGCCACTGCTAGACGACATCCAAAGCAGTAATTCGTTTGTACAGCAACGCTTGATCAAGGCGCCCATGAGCTTCTATAGCTGACATCAGTCTCTCCGCGAGGTAATCCCCATACCCATTCCCACCATCATTCTCGTTTCTGGGGGTGTGAAACACGATGCTTTTCTCATACTGCGCATTGAGTATCACATCCAGCTTTTCCTGACACTGAGCACGTAGCGTAGGAACCATTTTCATGAATGATCTGGATATGGGCATTCGATGCTACTCATACCTGCATAGCCAGCGCATCTCACTCTTAGCACTGCATCCGGGCCCAACGGTGTAAGAGACCTCGTGCGAATCGGTTGGTCGATATATCGACTGGAATAAAAACATTCACTGCAGCGATACCGGAAGGGCTCCAGAGTGCCTCGACTATTCTGAATTGTACTGATGCCGTTCTCAATACTTATACGAAGGCATACAGGCATAGTCCCTTCATGTAGTGGTAGACGCTCACTCTGAATTTGAGCACACGCAGTAACGACATTCGAGTCGCACTAGTCAAACAATACAGACTTGGACGCGTTAATTGTTCGGAAACTTGGAAATAAACGCATTGGCCGTGTCACTGGGAAACACTGGTCGCAGATCATCGGCCAATGCCTATTCAACAACCTGGTCGCCTGCTTTTCCTTAGTCGTCCTCCAAAGCATCCCGTATGATGGCGGCCTGGCCATCATCGCCTGAGCCACCCGACCAACAGGAGCCAATAAAGTTGCCAGCATGTTCGAGCTCACACTTATGGTTCAAGATCGTAAACTCCAAGACATCCCAGACGAGACTTTCAAGGCAGCATTAAACGGGCCGGGGCTAGCCAGGTAAGTTGACATCCCATACTCGAAAGCCCTGTGAGTAGTTTCGTTTTTAGTCCCTATATGGATGAATTTATATAAAAGTCGTGCATGCAACCGCTTTTCTGTCAGTGAACAACCCTCTTGGATGACCAGCTGAGATTCGGCACGGGTTGACAAGATAGGAAGGCCCAGTCTGACATCTCCCGCGATGCTCGTCCTTTGTACTCTGCAAACGCAGCGATCCGGAGCGATTGACCGACCGTGGCAACCTGTAGCTTTTCACTGAAATTCAGGACTGTGAGTGGGCAATTTGGACATGGCCAAGGCGTCTGCTATGTTGCAAACTGCATGCGGCCGTATGTGGAGCTGCCAGTGCGGCTCTCCTCTCTGGCAGTGCGACAGGGCGATTATGTGTGTATGGATTTAAGGGTGCGTCTACGATACGACATGGCCACGGCTTGCCTGGTCGACGACCCTGGTCGGGAACATAAGCCCCCGTGCGAGTATTCCACACCGCCTAAACTGGGATCTAGTTCTCGTTTGGCGGCGATCTGAAGTCTCGTCCACGAGGATACACATCATTCACACTTGAGTATATTCCGGGGGTGATTTTTGTCAGCGGCAAAACCACCAGTCAAGGGGTTGGAAGGCCTCCCGAGAAGAAGTCCGAGAGGCAACGGCAGATACGAGCAAGAGCTTGACTGGGCGGACCCTGGGGCAGGGGCGATTGACGGCGCAGCGGCGCTGTTTGTGTGTGGACCAGCCCACACAGACCCCTGACGTTGAATTACGCCCCCCCCCCCCGGCATTCCGAGCTGCAGGTTCCTGATTCGCAGATCTCGGGGCCATCTTGGGCAGGCAAGGGCCGACCAGATCATGGAGCCAGACAGCCAGATAGACGAGAGGGAGGCCGTGCTAACGCGTGGGTTGATCGGCCGTCCGGAAGCAGGCGACAGGCAGGCTTGCCAGGGCTGCCAGGCTAGCTCGATCAGCACAGCCCGCTGATAGAAAAGTTTTCTTGTCTTGTCCTCCTGCATCCGGCTGAGACATGCAGGCAGTCTCGTAAAGACATGTGCCCAGCCCCGGCGACTAGGGAAACGTGGGGAGCTCCAGGGGCTATTCTTAGCCGAGGATCGACCAGCTAGGCCCGGGTTGCAGCTTGTTCACCCCACCATCTCAGCAGTTCAGCCCCTTTTTCGTCCTGCTCCGTTCCCTGAGGCTGTGAGGCGGCATCAGACGCGACTGTCAACTTGAGGCAAGGGTAGCCAGAACTAGTGGCTGGCGCGGGCCTGCATTGTCCTTCATCTGAGCAGACCTGTTGGAGGGCTGCATCGAGATTGGTGTGCCGGCATGAGCTGTCTGGAGCGATTGGCTGACAGTTTGCAGGCCTTGGATGTCTGGTCGGGAGTTTTGACGCCCAGAATGCGGACTGCCGTCGCCGGCTTTGTTGGGAGCCTTGGTTGTCTGCCGTTGGACGGATATGTCGTCATTGTCATTGTCCAATCCGGCCGAGCCTGGCATATGATGTGGTTGATGCAGCCTGACTGTACGAAGCTGGCCGAGGTGGTGGCAGCGGGCTTAAACGAGGTACTGATACAACAGTCTATTGCCCATATCACGGGCCATGGAGGCCATGGAGGCCATGGAGGCCATTGAGCCCCAAAGCAAGAAGACTATTGTTGCTTTGGTGTTGACATGAGGAGCGGTTGCTGGGGCAAGCGAGGCTGAGGCCCACATTTTGTACGAGTCGGAGCCGACACTGGTTCTCCAGGCTGCAAAGAGGCGGTAAGGTCGTGTAGTAGTGCATTGCATACAGGCACAAAGCTGCAGCTGCCGTTATCTTCCGATGTAAACAAGGCAATGCGAGGGCTCCAGAATTGGCACCCAGAGCATCACCCAGTCGTCGTGGTGAAACCTGTACTGTGTATGACAGCACCAAGTCCTGTGTGCAGGGGAGCAGGATTGAAGGATCCAGGGCCCTCAGGTCACCCCCAGAGGAGCCTGAGATGACGCATACTCCGAATTCATCCTAGACACAGACAGACAGACAGACAGACATACAGACAGACAGACAGACAGACAGACAGACAGACAGACAGCAACCCCCACGGGTCTCCTCGTCTGATGTCGGCCCGTGCCTGGCTGCCCGGCTGCCTGGCCACAGCCTGTTGCTATCTGGGGCTGGGCTGGCATCTTTTGCTTGGGCCTCCACTGCCAGGGAGTCTAGAGTCTAGCGTCCCTCTCTGACAGATCCGATCACCGTGGGAACAAAGAAAGGCTTATCAATTGCGGAGATGGCTGGATTCCAGAGGCAAGGAGCCATGTGATGGGCTGGCTGGAATGCACGGGGAGGACGTGGTGACATGCTGCTTACTGTTTGCCGTTACGGGTAGAAAGCAAGCCAGCAGTTTGTCGTGTTGGACATGTGGAAGGAGCCCTGGGATGCATCGTCATCAGGAACAGGGGTCCCCTCCATTGGAGCTAGACGGTACCCCTGAGTGAGGGCCAGAGGGCCTGCAGAAAAGACAGGGCAGAGGGGCCCGGGAGGGACATCTGGAGGGGGAGGGGAAGGGGGGGTCGGCAAGAAGTGGGCTGGAGGCTGGAGCTGTGCAGCTTCGTCCCCTCGACCCCTGTCCACAGGACGTCCAAACAATCCACGTGCAGGCACCTTGACAGCTGGAGTTGGAGCAGTATGGCTGAGCAGTGGCCCAAGTTGCCCAACCGGCTGATGGCTGCCATTGCTGTTGTCACTGACTGCTGGCCCAAGTTCCCAAAAGCAAGGCCCCAATTCTCAGCCCCATTAAAGAACAATCCCATCCCCTGAGCTAGACACCCATTCCCATCCAGCTGGCCTTTATTCTGTCTACTCACCACAACTTGCTGTCCCTCCCCTCTCTGTCTCTCTCTGTCCATCTCTTTCCAGCCTTTGATACCCATCTCGAACCCTGCCACCCTGCCCGAGCAGCATCGTGCAGAGCTCCCGGCCAGCTTGTCAACCACCAGCTCTCGTATACTACACGGCAAAGACTGCCCTTGTTATTTGATCAACCAGACAAGATGTGGTACGTACAGCACAGCAGCAAATCCAGTCCAGGGCCGGAGGGCACAGGAGGGCACAAGCAGTGGAGGAGTGGCACCAGTGCGAGCTCCTTGCCCACCCGGCCCTCTGGGACTGTCCCACGAGGGGCAGGGCCAGAACCAACCTCCACTGCCCAATCGGTAACCGTTTTGCCCGCCAAACGGACGATGGTGGCGGTTGAGAGGAGCCGGCCGAGCCTGCCAGAGCTCTGGGTTTCTCATGCAGAGCCTCGCACTGCAGAGAACCCGCGTGCGCCCTCGACGCCTACGCCTGGCATGAGCCAATTGGTGTTCAATCGCTGACCGTGTTTTCTCCCTCCAGTGGCATCTTCGGCTACGTCAACTATCTGGTGGAGAAGGACAGGAAGTTCATCATTGACACACTCATCAATGGTACGTGCCCGACCCCCATTCAGTCTATTCCCAGTCAGCTAGTTGCGAGAGGTGGCCTGGCGCCTGTTGGTCGGCCTGGCATGTGAGCAGGGCGAGGCTAGCAAACCAGCTGGCTCAGCTTCCGCCATCTGCCCCAACAACCGGGAGCCAGCCTCAGCCCGCACCTAGTTGCACTACCCCTGATTCGAGCGGGCGGCCGAAGCCATCATATTCGGCTGCGCACGCACAGCAAGCGCCGGCGCCAGCGCCAGCACCAGCGTCAGCTCCGGCTCCAGCTCCAGCTCCAAGTACTAGTTGCGCACCCAAAGACTGACTCGAAACTCGCCCTTCTGTAGGTCTGTCTCGTCTCGAGTACCGAGGATACGACTCCGCTGGCATGGCCGTCGATGGCGACAAGAAGAACGAGGTCTACGCTTTCAAGGAGGTTGGCAAGGTTGCCAAGCTGAAGGAGCTCGTTGAGCAGGAGAAGCCAGACCTCACCAAGATCTTCGACTCACACGCTGGCATTGCCCACACCAGATGGGCCACCCATGGCCCTCCATCTCGCCTGAACTGCCACCCCCACAGGTCAGTAGCCCCATAACCCCCTTTCCGAGCTCTCAAGATCCACGGACGTGAAGCAAGGGCTGACCAACGTCCCCCCCCCCTAAAACAGGTCTGACCCAACCTGGGAGTTCTCTGTCGTCCACAATGGCATCATTACGAACTACAAGGAGCTTAAGACTCTCCTCCAGGCCAAGGGCCACAAGTTCGAGACCGAGACCGACACCGAGTGCATTGCCAAACTCGCAAAGTACATCTACGAGAAGCACCCTAACCTGGGCTTCGTCGACCTGGCCAAGGCCGTCATCTCGGAGCTCGAGGGTGCCTATGGTCTGCTCATCAAGTCCATCCACTACCCCCACGAGGTCGTGGCCGCCCGCAAGGGTTCGCCTCTCGTGATTGGCGTCAAGACCCAGCGCCGCATGAAGGTCGATTTCGTTGACGTCGAGTACGCCGACGAGAACGCCGCCCTCCCGGCCGAGACTGCCTCTCAGAATGCCGCCATGAAGAAGGCCACCAAGTCCACCGACGGCCTCCTAGCTCCCACCCTTCTCGGCGCCCCCGACAAGTCCCTCCTCCACCGTTCCCAGTCCCGGGCCTTCATGACCGACGACGGCATGCCCATGCCTGCCGAGTTCTTCCTGTCCTCTGACCCATCGGCCATTGTCGAGCACACCAAGAAGGTTATGTACCTGGAGGACGACGACATTGCTCACATCCACGAGGGCTCCCTCAACATCCACCGCCTGAAGAAGGCCGATGGGAGCAGCAACGTGCGCACCATCCAGACCCTGGAGCTCGAATTGCAGGAGATTATGAAGGGCAAGTTCGACCACTTCATGCAGAAGGAGATCTTCGAGCAGCCCGAGTCCGTCGTCAACACCATGCGTGGCCGTCTGGACATTGAGAACAAGAATGTTACGCTTGGTGGTCTGCGCTCATACATAAGCACTATCCGCCGCTGCCGACGTATCATCTTCATCGCCTGCGGAACCTCGTACCACAGCTGCATGGCGGTCCGCGGCGTCTTTGAGGAGCTGGCAGAGATCCCTATCTCCGTCGAGCTCGCGTCCGACTTCCTGGACAGGGAGGCGCCCGTCTTCCGTGACGACACATGCGTCTTCGTCTCCCAGTCTGGTGAGACGGCCGACTCTCTGATGGCCCTGCGGTATTGTCTGGAGCGCGGCGCTCTGACCGTCGGTATCGTCAACGTGGTCGGTAGCTCTATCAGCCTGCTGACCCACTGCGGTGTGCACGTCAACGCCGGCCCGGAGATCGGAGTCGCCTCTACCAAGGCATACACCTCTCAGTTCATCGCCATGGTCATGTTCGCTCTGTCGCTCAGCGAGGACCGCGCTAGCAAGGCACAGCGGCGACTAGAGATCATGGAGGGACTCAGCAAGATCTCGGAGCAAATCAGCGAGGTGCTCAAGCAGGATGCTGCGATCAAGGAGCTCTGCGGCAAGGTGTTCAAGGACCAGAAGTCCTTGCTCCTACTCGGGCGTGGCTCCCAGTTCAGCACAGCTCTCGAGGGCGCCCTCAAGATCAAGGAGATTAGTTATCTCCACTGTGAGGCCGTCATGTCGGGTGAGCTGAAGCACGGAGTGCTTGCTCTGGTGGATGAGAACCTGCCCATCATAATGATTCTCACGCGCGACAACATCTTCAAGAAGAGCTTGAACGCCTACCAACAGGGTATGTAGATGAAGCCCGGCTCGTTCTGCGTCCCATTCCACACGCCGTTCTTTCCACTAACCATCCAACCTGATAGTTGTCTCACGAGGTGGCAAGCCCATTGTCATCTGCAACTCCGGCGACAGCGAGTTCAGCAGCAGCCAAGCCCAGACGATTGAGATCCCCAAGACTGTGGATGTCCTGCAGGGTCTCTTGAACGTCATCCCCCTGCAGCTGATTGCCTACTGGCTGGCTGTGATGGAAGGTCTCAACGTCGACTTCCCCCGTAACCTGGCAAAGTCCGTGACTGTCGAGTAAGCGAGTGTCTGTTTGTTGTTCATACGTACCAAAGAAGCCACCTCAGCCCTGGGCTCTTTTGCATGCGTTAGATGTTCTTACAGGACGAGATTTTGCATACTCGATCGGTCTTGAAGATGGGCGGGCATGTGTTTCGGAGTTGGTGCTTGGTTTGTTCACTGGTGGAGGGTTTTGAAAGGAAGGGAAAGGAAAGGAACAGGAACAGGAACACTCAGCCATGTAAGGCCAAGTACCGTGTGGAGGCAGGCAAGAGCAAATGTGGAAGGCCAACAGGCACGCCAAGAATGACCGTCTACCATGCCTGCAATGGCGTGCGTTTCGGCTGAAAGGCCATTTTTTCAGAGTAATGACGGTCGAGCGGAATACACGATACTTACTATACTGCACGAGACAGACCTGACTTCTGGGTGTCGACAAATTGAGAAGGTTCCAGTTAGACCAAACAAGCCTTGCAGAGCGAGGATACCACACAAGGTTTGGTGACCGTGCCATTTTTGCCTTAATAAGCGTCAAACTCTGCCAGTGACCGTCATTGATCTTGATTGAGCACAACCCTGCGAAAGCTTTGCCAGCGTAGCTTGTCTGTTCATACATGTATTTTAACTTAATGCCGGTGGAGTGCGGGGTTTTCGGCCTTCTATTCACATGTTTAATCAACTATTTTTTTTACAATGGTTGTTCAGTAGCCCTGACGTATGGACGCGATACTGCAAGACAAGTCAAGGAGGCGAGGTAGAGGTAGACGGCATCGGCGACGTGCGCGGCGACGAGCACTCATGATGCATTCGGTTTCCCCGGCCCGGCCAGGCCACTAGTTGTGTACAACCAGGCGTTGGCAGACGGCCTCCAGTCTGTCTTGTAACCTCCATTTAGATCTGTTGAATCTCTCATGAATCATCCGAGTATGCTTTCATTTCGCCTGGGATAAGTCTAGACATACACTAGAGCAGACCTCTATTGCCCATCCGCCGACCGTAGCAGCACTAACGATACCACCATCCACCACCCTCGCCACTGGCCATACCAAGCCGACCACAACTACACATCCTGGGTGCCGTACCCCTTGATTCGGTCGGCAAAAGCCCAGCTCTGGTTCTCGAGCTTCTCGTCGTAGCTGACGTCGACGCCGTCGCGGGTGACGACCGCGAGCGAGTAGCCGTCCCAGGAGCGGGCGTCGCGGTAGTAGAGGACCTTCATGCAGTCGCGGATGACCTGGACGGCCTGCTCTCGAGTCAGCTTTGCGGCGTCCTCCTCGGTGGCGGCGTATTTGCGCATGATGGGCTGGGCGAGCATGGAGCCGAAGCCGGTGGCGAGCGAGGGCGAGGAGAAGACGGTTCCGCGCAGGTCTGCGGCGGCCAGGAAGGGCTTGCCCGTAGCGCCGCTGAAGCCGGCGACCAGGACCTGGTTCCACAGGGGGTCAAACTTGTTGCGACGGTGGTAGAAGAGCTTGGCGAGATACTTGTGCAGGTTCTCGGCTGACAGGCCGGACAGCGGGTGGTTCTCGTCAGTGGCCGGGTCTGCACCGGGGGCGGCGTCGCCGGAGGTGGTGGCACCACTGCCGCCGTAGGCCTCATCGATCTCCAGCTCGCCGAGGTGCCGATCCAGGTACTGCATGTCGCTGACGTCGCCCGAGAAGCCGACGACCGAGGTGCCTGCGAAGGGCCGCAGCCGCTTGATGTCGCTGAAGCGCGCCAGCGAGCCGTACGACGCCAGGTTGTCTGCCGCCAGAACAACGCCATCCTTGAACTTGAGGCCCAGCACCGAGGTCCCCGTCACAGCGGGCGACTGCGTGTGGGTCTTGGGGGCCGAGTTGTTGAGGTAACTGTGGTCGTAGGGGCCGTAGACGTCGTCACGGGGGCGGCCCCAGGCCTGTGGGCGGTGGTCCATGGCGGCTGGGTGGTTAGATGAGAGAGGAAGGGTGATGGTTCGGGGCGGCGGGGGTCGGCAGTGGAGGGTTCGGCTGGTGGCTCTCGTGGGAGTGGGAGCACGAATGTTTGATGATGGCCTGTCTGTTTGGGGAGCCGACGTCAGTTGGCTGCTTGCAGTGGAGCTGACTTGGGCCTCTTGAGGGTTCGAGCCGCGATTGAGGCTCTAAAGCGTTGCAACGCATTGGAGCCGGTACTCACCTGGTTGTCGTAAAGATGGTCCAACGACAGAACAGGGCGAATGGGGACGGTGACGGCGAGAGGATGAGGTGGTGGTGGCTGTGGATGTACGGAGTAGATGGAGGTAGATGGAGGTGCTGGCTGGACGTCCACCCTCGGGAGCTTGCCTCACTGACCGGGGAGCTGTCGCGTTCAGGTGCTGCCTCCTAGGCGCAGCAGCCTGCCAGCCCCGCTGGCCAATGGGGAGCCGGGCTGGCCGGATGGTCTGGGCCCACTCACCAAGCATAGCTGAGCTTATCTAATCTCACATGAGGCAGGCACCTTGTTGTCTGCGCATCCAAACTGTTGACTGTTGACTGCGTCGTCTTCGCTCTGCACCTGCTTATCTTTGCTTTGAAGACCACGCCTGGTCGTATCAACATCTAGTTATTGCTGCATGTGAAACCAGCCAAGCCTATCATGGCACCACTGGTTGGCTACGGCAGCAGCGACGAGGAGGATGATGAGGTTCTGTCGCCCGCGGCCGCAGCTTCGGTATGGACATGCACGGCATTCTGCTCGCAGGGACTGACCAGTATGTAGGCACCGCTAGATGCTCCAAACCAGACAGCAATGATATCCTCGCAGCTGGCAAACGTGCCCGAGACAGAGGCCCATGTCTCGCCGCCGCCGCCAAAGACAGGCCAGTCTGCTCCGGCACCAGAGACAGGGCCAGTGTTGCCCCCAGCATCAGTGGCCATGGGCCCTAGTCTACCTCCAGCAGACCAACGCGAGGCCTATCCAGAGCAAGTAGACGAGGAGGACCTGGACCAGGACCAGGACGTACAAGCAGGCCAAGCCCGTCCACCATCATCACCATACTCGGCCAGCCGAGCCCTCCTGCACCAGCTCACCCTCCCCACAGTCCCAGATCTCGATATCCCCCCATCACCACCCCTAGGCTCCCCCTCATCAGGTGCAAAGCGCGCTGCCCTCACCGCCAAGTTCGACAAGTTCCTCGAGCTTAAGCGCACCAAGGGCGTGCACTTCAACGCCCGCATCGCAGAATCTCATGCCTTCCGCAACCCAGAGCAGCCCGATAAGCTTTTGAGTTTCGTCGGAATAGACACCAAGTTTGACAGAGACTCTGGGGCCGCTGGCGCAACCCAGTACTCCACCACCCTGCCCGTCGACCTCTGGGACCCTGCCGGCTTCCCTGCTTGGGCATACCGTGGTCGACTGCGGCTGGCGCAGGAGAAGTTGTTGAAAGAGAGAACGAGGACGCAGGGTGAGCCAGTGCAATTTGTCTCGGCAGCAAATCCTTAGAAGTACGACGCGCACATGGACTCCCGAAGGTTACCGCCGCGTGGTCCCTTAACGCCTTGAGAGTACACGAGCTCGAATGGTCGGCTTGGGAATGATAGCACGGCGCGCCATACGGATTTTGACATTCTCATGGAGCAAATATGTCGGCCGGCGGTTAGACGAGCGCCCTGTTGGAGCTTCATGCAATATCATGCGAGCACAGACTAATGGCCTGGCTCTAATCAGTAACGAGCGACGCAAATGAACGCTGAACGCGGCCTTATCTAGGATGCCGAAGGCGTGCAAGGTCTGGGAGCACACGTTCGTGTGCGAGCACGCGTCGCTGATCTTGGTCCATGGTCGGCTCAGGGATGTTACCATACGTCCTTACTCACACCAACGAAATCAGCGGCAGGCCTGGTAACCTCGATTCATCACTTCAAATTACACCGGATAAGTGTTCCACTGAGGTATATTGTCACGCGGTGCGTGGTGCATGCGCTCCGTGGCGCGGCTGCACCAAAAGGAAGTGTATATGCAGCATGAAAAGTTGCGCAATGGTTTTCAAAACCTGACATATCGTTGAGGCGAGCTTTTGTCGTCTTCCGGTGTGGTGTCATTGCATCCTTTGCCACCCAATTGATTATAAACTCCAACGGCGCAAACATTAACCCGCTGAGCACAGCTCGATGATTGTTTGCCAGACATCATCTGTCGGGCAGCATATAGTAAAACCCTATCACTTGCTCTCTCTCTTCACAGCACCAGGCGCACACACGCAGCGCTCACGATACAAACGGAAGTTTCGCTCTCTTCGTATTGGAGCAGTTGATGGTCAAGCCTAGCTCCTCAAGGTCGGCGCCAACGTCGATGTCTACGCTCTGGTTGGTCGAGGCCAGCGAGTCTCTGTAGTAGCTTAGGTACTGGCCGTTATTGACAACATTGTCGCCCCGCAGCTGCATGGGAAGAACGCCATCCTCACAGAAGGGCCGCTGCTGGATCACCTGCAGGATGGGCGTCTGCGAGATGTTGGCGTGCATAGTGAAGTTGTTGATGCCCGGGCGCACCACCATGTTGTCCACAAATACGCGCCCAATGTCCTGGCCTTGGAGATAATTGATAAAGGTTGTGTTGCCCTGTGTTTTCGGCTGTATTAGTATCTTGATTACGGCTTTCTTCTGCGGCAAGGATTCACAGGGCGACAACATACAATATCAAAGGTTAGAAGTGAGACATTTGGAATGGCCACGGTTCCGAAGAAGTTGTCGCCGTTCTCGTCAGGGGTCAGCTGGACGCGGGACTCGGGTACGGTGGTGCCGTTGAAGTTGTTGAGCCCCTTCAGCTCGACGACTTTCTTGAAGTGGACAGGGTACTTGCGCGAGATGCCATTGACCTTGAGGTGAGTATCACCCTCGACGCTGACGCGCAGGGTCTCATTGACGAGGACCCAGGTGTTGAAGACAGTGAAGGCGTTCATGTCGAGGATGTCAACAAATTGCGTCAAATTGACGGCTGACTGTGAAGCTGACGTCGTCTGTGGGAACTGCAGCCGCGCGAAGGGCGTCTGCGGCTCCCAGTCCTCGAGGTACATGACTCCCTCGAAGGGGTCGATCACGGCGTGAATGCTGTCGTCGGCTCTCAAAGTGCTGTTAATGGCCATGGTGAAGTTCTCGGACTGAGCCTGCGACAGTATGATGCCCTGGATGGTAAGGTCTGCGCCGTCGACTCGCTGCTGGGCGATCCTGGGGACGGCAACGAAGATACTAGGTCAAGAGGTCAGTGGCTGATCGACTGAGAATAGGCTTCACGCTCCATCGCTCTCTAACTGATCCACCACAAACAACCAAACCCCCGAAAAGGGTGGCCACAAAGTCACCTGCTCTGCCGCAACACTCAAGTCGCTCAGTGCGACCAAAAGCCAAGGCAAAGAGGTGATCACTTACATCAGGCATACCACCAGCACAACGATGGCAATAAATACCAGAAGATGTGCCCACCACCATCTTGCGCAATGCCTCCTCAGCCTCTGGCGTCTCGTCAGTCCTCCGCTCTTCTCCGCGTGCTCATATACCCGGTCTGCTTTGTCCGACATGGTGATGGCCGGAAGGATCTGGTTCCTGTCCTCGCTCTGGTTGCCGGTGGATGAATCCCTCCTTGTCCCTCGAGCAGACCGATTCTTGTCCTTGAACTCCTTCTCGACAATGTAGTGACCCCTGGTCTTGCTGAATAGTCCCCGTGACGGCACCCCGGCACTGAGGGGTGGCAAGTCAGCTGGGTCCGTTGCTGGTGGTACTGGCCGCACGAGCAAGTCTAATCCTTCCGAGTGGGATTTGCGGCCCTGCTGTGGAGGTGGTGACAGAGATGGTGCCTCGACAAAGAGTCCTCCTGTGGGCTGCCTCTGAAGTCCCGCTGCTGGTCTCTGATGCTGCCGGTGGTGCTTCTGGTGTGGTGAGTCTCGTCTCTCGAGCACCGCGGACCTTTTTGTCAGAGTGTTCCTGGCCCGGCGTCCGCCTGTGCCTATATCCTTCGGGGTGGCGTTGTGATGAGGAAATCCTTCAATCAGCGGGCCCTGCAAGATATCGTGTCGTAACGGGCCGTTGCCGAGGTTCTGGAAGACTGACGTATAAGACGGTTGTGGCCGGATCGAGCGTCTCGGGGAGTGTGTCTGGTTCGCAGGCGACGAGGACTGATCCCTCATAAGAGCATCCAGGCTGGGGGACTCCCTTGGGCTGCTGGGCGCTGGGCTCGGGCTTATAAGAGAGTCGAGGAGTCGCAACGGGAGGCTTCCAATTTCCCCTCGGGGCATCACAGGGTATCAACTAATAGGTGAATCCTTGGACGAGAATGGACTTGGGGCGTCCCGAGACGGACAATTACCCGAATAGGCGGTGGGACCAAGGAATAGATTGAGCTGGCAACCTTTTCTTCTGTAATTGCATCGGTGATGCAGTCCTGATCTGGTCCCCGTCTCGTCTTGTCTCTTTTTATTATCAATGGTACTTGTCAAGTCATTCATTCCGGCGGGGGACGGTACGCTATTCAAGGGCTGGGCCGGAGTGGGAGCAAGTGGCCGGGGATGGTTACATTTATGTTACTGATCGGTCTATTACTCCGGCGGCATGGGCACCCCATGCTCGGCGCTGCACACCTGCAGCGGTACTAGACTTGAGGCCGGGAGGGCACCTGAGCACGCAGCGCTGGGCCGACTGACCAGGCTGACTTGATCGAAGTCGCCGGGGACGTGTTGCTGTTTGACGAGAATGGGGGGCGCAAGTCTTGGGCCATGCCCTTTAGGGTAGGAGAGGGAGAAAAGCAATTTTGTGACACTCAACAGCCTGTCCAGTAAGAAGGGCGGGATCGCCGCATGACAAGGTCTGATAAAAAGTACGCACGACAAGAGACGACGCACAGGGAGGCTGGGAGGCCGCTCCAAATGCACTTGCAAGAGGGTGCGCCCACGCAGGTCCAGATGTCCCCTCCTGGCTGCCAACTGCCTGAGCCTTGCACCTTATTGTCGGGACGGTGATGGTGACGGTGATGGCGACGGTGGCGAGGCGAGGCGTGACCCGTGTGACACACCCCCTTTTGCCTTTTGCCAGGGCTGACAATATGCGTACTGACATAGTCTACTCTGTGCACAGTAGCATCTGCAACCCGTTAGAGTTGAGACGGTTTGCCGCCCGGCAGGCCTGTCCCTCGGTCCCTCCTCGTTGTCGTCCTCTTGTTGTTGTCACAACATCAGCTGATTGAGGTCATATCTCAGAGGCAAATTCATGCCGCCTTCCCTGCCGTTCGTCTCAGCTTTCCAAGCTCTTCAAGGCTTCTCTCTGGCCCCCCAAAGCGCCCCTCTCCATCTCAAGATTCTCAAGATGGTCGCCCTGCCAGCCTGCCAGCCTGCCAGCCTGCCGCCTCGCCGGGACTGGCCTCTCAAGCCTCTGCAGGTCGCGACGAGCATCATTTTAGGGTGCCTGTCATCGGCCGCATTAGGGCCCAGCTACTACAAAGTACCCCATGGAGGACGGGCACAAGTGCCGCTTCGAGAATAATTACTGGCCGATCCCCTGCAGGACCTGTCCCCTCTTCCCCGCACCAAGAAGGCGGCCTCGCAGGGGTGGCCGGGGCGCCCAGGGCCCCTCTCCACACCGAAAGCTTTTATCGATTATCCCTGTGCTTGGCTCTATTGGGCCGTGGCCCCAGCCTGACGAGGGGCCAAACCTCCGAGGCAGCTTGTGAAAATCTCAGCACCGTAATGTTGGGGTTCAAGTTGGGGAATGGCATGTGCGCTCATGTGAGCTTGCCTTCCCTCTCGGCTACCAAGATGTGCAGCACATATCACGATTCACGCCCAGGCTTGAGCATCTAAACTACAGCATGTGTGTATTACCACCTACCTGTACGAGCCGGTGACAAGACGTCCGGCCGAGCATTGAGGCTCGAGTCCTCTGTCGCTGATGCGGAGCACCCTCGACCCTTTCGGCTGTGGCGCTTGGCGGCACAGGTCATGATGGGACGATGAAATCACCTCTCAGCAAAGCCATTGGGCTTAGCTAGGCCATGGCTAGTGATGGTTCGTTCAAGCCACCGGGCACGCCGCACCCGTTTTATCAGCAGAATCGTCGACGACACGAGAAAATAGCCTCGAATGCCAACCAACCATGCAGCCGTGAGCTGTCCTTCACTCCAGGGCTATTGCCACCAGTCACAGGAACGACAAGGCCCTAGCAGGCCAAGCCAGCTCTTGCTGCTCGTCTGCTCGTCTGCTCGTCTGCTCGTCTGCTCGTCTGCTCGTCTGCTCGTCTGCTCGTCTGCTCAGTCCGAGCTTCGTCCCGGGCCTCGCCGGACTTGACAATCCACCGAATGCAAGTGACCATTCCACTCATGCACCCACCTCGACCGTGACATAAGATGCATCCGCCATTTGGGGGATCTCCCCCGCGGTCCCAGTTTCAGACGACAGGTGAGATCGGCAAAAGTGTATCGCATTCATTGTGACGGCTTGTTGGCCCACCGTAAACGTCTAGAATGGACGACTTTCGGTGTCAACAGGACCGCAAGGTGAAATTTAAATAAAAAAAAAAGGGAGAGAAGGAGAAAATAAAAAGAAAAAATATTAGTATAGCTAAGTAAGATTATGTGGTTTCGCTTCTATTCCGTATACGTCCGAGGACATATATGGCGCCTTTATACGGTGGTAAGCACTCAAGACCCAGCGCTTGGAAAGAATACAATGTCGAGTATCTAGAGTATCTAATGCTAATTTCTTTAATGTTAGGAATTCAGTCTCCTTTACCCTAGGGTAGCTTCCTTACCTTTACAGTCAGCCTCTCTTCACCTTTGGCACGCCGGCTTCTGAGAGTTGGAGACGCACTCTGGGACAATCACTCTTTGTGTAAGGAAGTATGGTTGCCTGTTAGGCAACACTGTGTGTGACTCTATAATTAGAGCATTCTCAGAGAGAGGAATTAGGAGTCTAGCTAAGCAAGCAAGCCAATGAAGGTTATCTCCTAATTGGTTATGAGCTCCTTTTGTTTTTCTCACTGAGCAACTGAATCTTTCGATCAAGTTGATCTCCGACTTGTAAGGCGCTTCTCTGCCATACTGAATATCCTTTGTGCATATGTTATGTTGTCTGTGCTGTACTACGCAGGAGGATCAACCCATCCTGCCAGCAGCCAAGGAGGAGCACTCAAGTACGAGACATGGCATGCCTCATTCTGCGGCCAGCCATTTTGCCTCAAATAACAGGGTTCTTTACATCTAGAATATCCACAGTGTCCTTTTTATCAAAATACCTTCCAACTACTTTTCAGACTTGAGCGCCCAGCTGACACAAGCTGACCATCTGTAGTCTTTCTGCTGGAAAACTTGGGTCAAGTGCTGGAGTAACGAAGCATTGTCATCGTCGGTGCTGGATTCAACGACCTCTATCTGCAGCAATGTGCGATAGCGCTTCATGTGCGTTATGTGCTAGCCAGACCAGCCTGCTTGGGATGTGTTTGTTCTATATTCGTTATGGTGGTTTGATTTCCGTTGCTCACTTGCTTTTCTTTGGATTACGGACTTTCTCAGGGCCCTTTCACCTGGTATAACTTCTGCGTGAGCATATATACTCTATGTTTGTGGTACTCATAGCGACTTCCCGATGTGATTCCTTGTGAAATACCTGAGTTCAAGTCGGACACAATGTATGAAGGCACCGTGTATGACTTCGGGCGCACATGGAATGGAAGCGAAACCAACCAACTCAGACATAGGGTAAGAAACACATGACAGCCTATTGATAAAGATCAAGCTTCTCATTTCTGATCGGCATATCTTTGGCACACATGCCAACTTGTCTCCATTGTGGAATCCATATGACATCATGTGACAGGATCAAGAACAAAACCACTTGACACAGCATAAAATGTGTGGCCACATAGTTGAGATAGTTAAAGAGCAAATTATACTCTTGGTTACTGATATCTAGTATGTTTACTCCAAATATCTAAGGATGTTGTCTTGAATCAAGATATTAGGATCTCTGCATGAGCGGTTGATATTCCCTTAGGTACACTAGTTGACCAGCTTCTAAGTATATAAGAGGTAGGAATCCCAAAGGTGCTGAATCTTTTAATGTAGGGCCAAGCTCTTCTCTAATAACATTATATTATCTAAGTATGTTTAGGGGCACCAAGTAGTATGTTAAATCAGTAACCTACTTTTAAATTACTTGCTAGGTTTAAACTATCTAGACTTTTAAATGGTAACATTTCCTTTGATTTACGTACACAGTGAACGGCTTTTAATGATAGTTGGGTGGTCTACATATAGTTTAAATCCTCCCCTTACTGACGGTATAGTCGGTTTCGTTCTCAATCCGTACATATGCTGAAGGAGGTCTTGAATGTGTACCACTAAATGAGGACGCCATGTATGTCCTTGGACATATGTGGAATAGAAGCGAAACTAGATACGCTGGAGGCATGCGGCTCAAAGACCCAGCGCTCAGGGGAAAAGAAACAGACGATGATAGACTGTTGGCGCTTCATAACGTGAATAGTGCTCTGTGAGCCTCTCCTGCCCCGTTCTTGGGCTTGTGGGTCCTTCCCTTGTGTTGAACACTGAAGGTGGTCAGCCTCTGACACAGTATCTCATGAATCATGGCCTCGCGCGTGATAACCTGGTTTTATTGACTGAGGGGCCAAGAAGGAGTCAATAAGAGGATCCAGTAGGATACTGCAAGTTGGACTCTGTCGGTCAACATTTCCACCTAGGAACGCAGATCACCAGATCACCAGATCACCACATGTGCACCGAGACCTGCCTGTAAGTGAGACTCTGTATGCACAATTCTGATATTGAGACTACTTAAGTACCCAAGGTATATTCACAGCGGCAGTCTTCGTGTTGTATGAGATAGTAGTGCTCATCATGTCCAAGAACCTAGGTAAGTATCAAGCACCTTGATTGCTTTGGATACAGAATTGAAATCTGAGCAGGGCAGGCGCACATCAACTGTCCCCACCTGGGCACGCAGATTGAAGTGCATGTCCGACCATGGGAGCACCCGTGTTGACGGTGTCTGGACCAAGTCCCGAAACCTACAAGACTGCCAATGACACTGGAGCTGGAGCTGGAGCTGGACCATGCCTACGCACGCGCACAGCAACGCCGACAGGGCGTCGCAGGCTTACCATTACATATGTACTGGCTTTGCCTTGTTTACTCGTTCCAGACAAGACACACAACCTCGTCCTGTGGAGACAAGCCTGGCTGGTGGTCTTGGTTGCCCCCCTGCCAACACGCCACGCTCGGTCTACTCGGGCCTTTCTGCGCGTCGGAATGTGAGGGAATGGCCCGAGAGCTTGGGGAGGCTGGGGAGGAGGGGAAATGCTTTCAGACCAGAGTAGGGGGAGAGGAGAGCTGGAGATAATCACTGTACGGAGTACTCGGTAATGAGTGGGTGAATCCAAGGCAGGCGTGCATGGCCGTGCTCAAGTGAAGAAAAGGCGGGAACGGTGACCAAAAACCTTGGTACCGGTGCTGTGTACCTAGGTACCTAGGGAATGGGCAAGAAGCATGGCAGGGAGGAAGGCGTGCCCATCACAATCACAGCATCAGCCAAATGTGCAGTCTGGCAGTCTGGCAGTCTGGCAGTCTGGCAGGATGGCAGTTGCTGCACGGTCGAAACATCAAACACGGTCAGCCATCCAAGTGCAGTGGCCAGGTGTCAGGGTGTGCATGTGCAGCCAAGGTTGGTTTGGTTGCCAGGCTGCCCCTTGCCGGTCCTGCCAGTTTTGTTTGAACTCGTTTCCTTGGATGCAGCCTTGTTTCCGTCCCCTCGGATCGGCAGCTAGGGCCACCGTTTGAGCATAGCTGTCGTGGTGCCCAGGGACAGGGCCTTGGCTGATAACGGCGCCTGGGCAGCCAACCAGCCAACGATGTGAATGCTGCCGTGTCAGATCCAAAACCTGCCTTGATACGTTATCGATATGCCAGCAACTACCAGCCCAGCCAGGCCAGGCCAGTACAACATTGCAATCTTGACTCCATGACAGGCGGACAGGCCTACGGACCAGAAAGGTCGGGCTCGCAGGCTCGACACGCACCGTCTCTGGTTAGCTAGCTGCCAGGGCGCAGGGCCCCCTGGGGTAGCGTGGGATTCTCGTAGGTCAATCTCCAGAGAGCCCGTGGCGTCTCGCCGCAGGCCCATGCCCCATACCCCCCCAAGCGAGGCTAGCAATGTCATGGCCACCTCGGCGTCATAGTGTAACTACATGTGCACATACATCCAGCCAACTGTGGAGCCAACCAGCCAAGCTGGCAGCCCTGGGTCGAAGGTCGAACAGCACAAGAGTCGGACAGTCTGACAGTCAAGTCCTCGCCGACACTCAGGCACTCAACACTGCACTGCTGCTGCCAATGCGACTGAGAAGGGCCCAAGGACGCCAAGCCGTCGCCCCGTGGCGCTAATTGCCAGCGTCAATCTCCCCGAACTGCCGGGAACCGATCTGAGGCCGTCAGGGCCGTCTCCTGCCACATAGCGGGCAAATCAACCTGAAGCTATAGTGCAGCCACCGGCAGCCAAGGGCAGGCAGCCAGACGGGCAGGCGGGCAGACGGGCAGCTCCCTGCCGGGTCCCTGTCTGAGACGGCCAGCGTCGACATACGGAGTACGCAGTATCGCGATCCGCGACACATATCCAGACATCTCGACACACTGCAGTCCGGCGTAGTAGCCGGGTAGCCAGGTAGCCAGGTAGCCAGGTAACCAGGCACAATCAACATCCCCTTCCAACCACTCCCGATGCGGCATAGCCCACCATGCGCCGGCGATCACGGACGGCGGTCAGCTGTGGAGTTCGTTGATGAAAATGTGCCCATTCGCTGCTGCTCATTCTAATAAACACGACCGACCCGACCCCCAAAAAAAGACCGCCCCTCCCCCCCCCGGGCGTGCTCGTAAAGCTCCACCACATCCTCCTTGCGTCGACGGTTCTGCGCTGGGCGACTCATTCATTCATGGTGCCTTTCCACCTGGCGCCCGTTTCTCCATCTGCCCCCCTTCCCTCGTCCTCTCTCCGTGGTCTCTGATTTCCTTCTTCATCCTCCTGCCGCCCTGGCCCTGCTCCTTGCTGGTCATCCTGCACATAGACGCTCGTTTTGTGAGGCTTTTCTGCGGCTGCGAGCTATAAACCACCACTACATTGTTCACCAAAGCCTCTCGGGACTCGGGACTCGGCCGAGTCTGCCCAGGTGTGCTGCTGCGTCGAGATCAAGAAACATCCACCCGCCACCAGCTCCGCCCGTGGCTGCAGCTCTTGTGACGCCCTCAACCGCCCTCTTTCGACAGCCCCGACTAATAATAAACCGACCACAACTTTCAGCTCTGCCGCTCTGCCGCTCTGCCGAGAAGCCCCTGGCAGGTGCCCTGCTGCCACTACTTTGCTGACCGTGGACCGGGAAAAAACAGGGCCCCGCCCCAGCCTCACCATCTCTGTCAGACCCGACAGCAGCGAGTGAACACTTCAGAGGCCTTTGCTTTTGTTGTGTTCCTGGCAGCCTCCTGCCCTCCCAGGACCCGCTCTTCCTCTACAAGTGGGGCTGCATCCCGGATTCCTGCTGCCGCCGCCATCACTTATTCGACCGTGGTTAAATGCTCGGATCTTCCGGACGCCCATTGTGGAGGATGACGACAGAGTGTCGACACCGAGGCTGAGTCGTGAAGTGCGCAATAAACCATCGTTTAGTTTGACTTTTATTTGTTTTCCGCTCCTGATAGCAGCAGCCGATCGTCTCGCTCTACATACCGCTGCTCTACCCACCATCCAGCCCTGGGCAATACCGGAGACCAGTAACATCTAATCGCCCTGCCTCCCCGGGATCCTGAAGCAGACCGAGACAGATTCCGAGGGAGACCATGGCAGCCGCCAACGCCGCCCGGCCGCCCATGCCGGCGGCGGCGAATCAGCATAAACCACGGGCCAGTGGCTCGTGGGACGACCTGCTTCGTAACAAGGGTCAGGACAAGATGCAGCAGGCGCGGGCGCGTGCTGCTCAGAACAATGACAGCCACGGCGGTAACGGCATCATGTCGAGGCGACCTTACAGCAGCGGCGTTGACTGGAGGCCGATGAGCCAGTTCAATCAGCCACCACCACCACCACCACCACAACAACAACAACACCAACCTGTGCGCGCGCGCATGGAACTGCACCATGCCAACCAGCGGTCGTCGCAGGCATTCGCCGCGCACGTCGCCGCCCTCAATGGGAACCCGGCAACGTCGCCACTCTCGCGCGAGATCACGCTCGGGCCAGAACTCGACACCGGCTCCCCAGACTACGGCATCATGCCGTCCGAGATTAATCACTACAGCCTCAAGAACAACCGACGATCCCAGACATACCCCTTGCCACAGGCTCAGCAGGCGCCGGCCTCCCAGCGGCCAGGCATGTATTCGCGGCCCCGGCCGGGCAGCTTCCACTCGTTCGACGGGACGTTGGACAGCCAGGGCCGGATGCGTGCCAACAGTTGGGGCGGCATGCCGGTCATCGAGGAGGCCCAGGCCTTCGGGACGTATCCCCCCGCGCACTACAGCACCTACCAGCAGCAGCACGCGTATCGAAGCTCGGCGCCGGTGTGGCAGGGACGGCCGGAGCCGGCCAAGCAGCAGGCGGCGGCACGAGCCCGCAGGCCTGGGCCAGACGAGCTGTTCAACAGGCTGCCCGTCGAGGTGCTGCGGCTGGTTATTGGGTACGTGAGGGCGGGACACCTGGACGACAGCAACAGCGGCAGCAACAGTTGTGCGACGTGTTGGATGCGAGACAGCTGCGCGGTGGCGCTGTGCAACAGGAGGCTCCTCACGGTTGCGAGGGAGGCGCTGTACGGCGACATCCAGCTTGTCGGGAAGGACGGCGCGCAGATGGGCAAGAGGTACAAGGGTTTGTACGCGCCCCGACTGGTGCTCCTGCGGCGTACGCTCCGCGCTAACAGGAGTCTCGGGGCTGTGGTGCGCTCGCTCAAGGTGCCTGCGCTCCCAGACGGAGCACCCATCGAGGCGACAAAATACCATGACCTGGTGGCGTCGGTGGTGATGGCGTGTCCCAACCTCGAGAGGCTGGACGGCTTCTACCCCAGCTATCGCCACGGTAGCGAGAGTCACCTCCTGCACGCCCTGGAGACGAGGCGGAAGCTCAAGGAGTTGACCTGGGTCGTTGAGGCGACGCCACCCGAACCGTCGGTGGAGAACGGCCGCGCAGGGAAGAGGACATCGCAGTCTCGGAAGAGGCACTCCCGGTGGGCGCCGTCGACACCGCTGCCCGCAGACGACAGTACTCCAGAGCGCCGCCAGGAGCTGGCAGCGGCGTCTGTCAGCCGTTTCGTGATGCGGCACGACAACTGGAAAGAGCTGACCCACCTGACCATCCACTGCGTGCCCGGCGCAGGCTTGTCAACAGACGGCACGACCGTCCCCGCGATCCTTGCCCTCCTCCCCGGGATCGACTCGCTGTACCTCTCCCACCTGCCGGAGAGCTCCTTCAACGACGAGTCCCTCCTCAGGCTGCCGCGGGCCCTCAAGAAGCTCGGCATCGCCCACTGTGCCGGCGTGAACACCGCGGGCCTGACGGCCTTTGCGACCCGCTCCGCCGCAGCCAGGTCTCTTGAGACCCTGACGCTGATCCACCAGGGCATCGATAGCCTAGACGCCCTGGTACGGATGCTAGCGAAGCTTGGTGCCCTCACGACGCTCAGCGTCGTGCAGGCAGCAGCTCCCACGGTCGGTGATGACACGTTTCTGTTCATGCCGTACCTCGCGTCGCGATCGCTGAGCAAGTTGCATTGGGACATCTTCGAGAGCGGCGCTGTCGCAGCGACGGGGGCAGACGACGTACTGTCGCGCAGCATCGCGGCCGGTGGGTTCCCGCGGCTGCGCGCGGTGCGTGTGCCCAACGACCCGGACGGGCTCTTCCAGGCCCTGTGCAAGCCCAAGGAGCGGGCAGACCTCCCCGGCGACAGGTACCGTAACGCCGGGCTGGTGGGCCAGGCCACCAGCTCCAAAGGCCACAGCAGGTCCTCCACCAACCTGGCCAACACGGAGGACGCGGGCGCACGCTCCTCGTCAGACACCAGGGACAGCGGTAAGGAGCTCCGCCTCCTGCCGGCGCGAGAGTACGGAAGCGACCTGCACGCGGCGCGGCTGGCAGCGCAGGGGCGGCTGGAGGCTGCGCGGCGGTTTCCACGCTTCGAGGCCACCGTGGTTGACGAGAGCGGCGAGGTGGTATCGAGCGAGGGGCTGGCTGGCTTCATTGGCGATGCGGGCAGCCGGATACAATACTGCCTGGTGCCGGACGAAGGGGGGACGGACACGCGGGGCGGGCTTGCTGTCATGGACGACTTGCTCGGCGACGGGGGCGAGGACCTGCTCCGGAGGGGCGATGTTAGCAGCAATGCCGGGGGTGGGTTTGGCAGCGGGCTGGCGCCTCATTGCGTGGTGCCGGGACAGCAGCATGAGAGGGTCGAAGGCGCGCCCAGCCGGGGCAGGCTCGTCAAACGAGACAGCGGAGGGAAGAGCAGCAAGGAGAGGGAGAAGGAGAGGGAGAGGGAGAGGGAGAGGGAGAGGGACGGCGAGGACGTTGGCAGGGCGAGGGAGGGGTGCACAGGACGATGGAACTCGTATAATCCCGAAGGGCTGGTGGACAAGAAGAGCGCCTCTGGAGACCGGTGGTGGCACGTCGAACGAGGACGGTGGAGAGGCCGAGTGGAGCTGTCTTGACCAACAGGCGCAGAGGCTGCGAGGGACCAAGAGATACCCCAAACATGCGACGACGGTTTTCATTGTTTTGTATAGAAGTCCACCCACACACATAGTCTTGGCCAGACTAGGCGGATAAGGTACTCGAGTAGTCAGTCAGTCAGCCAGCCAGTCAGTCAATCATAATGAATAATGCCCAGAGGAAACCCAATGCAGTACACAAACGGCAGGCCAGTCATTGCATCAGTGGTCCGAGGTCGAGCAAGCCCAACATTTTGGGGGTGGTTGAAGATACTACCCCAAGTACTCGAACAAGGAGGTGCCTACTTGAATAGGTACCTAGGTACCTAGGTACTTACTGCTGATGACCGGCTTCAGGGTTAGCTTATAATCAATCAGCATTCGGCCGCGACAGAACCCTGGGGTTTTCTCCTGTCAGCCAAGCAGTTGCCAGACGTCATCACAGCCGAAGCCGAGTCCGGCCGGAAACGCCGAGCGAGATAATTCAGCGGCCCAACCGCGACCGCCCCCTCTCTGTCCTAGAACGACTTGACTCGACCAGCCGCAAGCCATGCGAACACGCCTGGCCTCGACAAGCCGCAGCCTTTGCGCCAGCTGCAACGGGCGGCCAAGGGCGTGCCCGCCCCTGCCCTCAGCAGCTGCAAGGACGTATTCGACGACGAGGGCGGCGCCACAAGTCCCATTGGAGAGGCAGGAGAGGCAGGAGAGGCAGGAGAGGCAGGAGAGGCGGACGAGGCAGCAGCGCAGCACGCAGCACAGGTGGTTCTCGTCTCAGTCCCAACCCCAAGCCGTCCAAGAAGCCCAACAGCGACAGCACCGCGACCACACAAAGCCCCTCCCGTACTACAACCTCTTCCCCGAGACTCTACCGCAGGGCCCCCCGCCCCAGGGACCCTTCGACATCGACTTGCGCGCCCTCCGCCGCGAGTTCCTGCGCCTACAGGCCGCGAGCCACCCGGACTACTTCCACTCCGCCTCGACCTCCTCGAGTCCCTCAAACTCCCCGTCCGACCCGGACAACACCTCGGCAGCGACACGCCGTCGGCAGGCCGAGGCCGCGTCAAGCCACATCAATGCCGCCTACAAGACGCTGTCGCACCCGCTCCTTCGCGCGCAGTACATCCTCGCCGAGAGGTACGGTGTCGACCTTGCTGGAGACGAGGCCGGGAGCCACACGGGCGGCGCCGCCGGGGCCGCCGCCGACCCAGCCCTCCTCGTCGAGGTGCTCGAGGCCCGGGAGGCCATAGAAGACGCCGAATCCGAGGCCGACCTGGAGGGGCCGATGGCCGAGAACGAGGAGCGGATTGAACGATGCGTCCAGGGGCTGCGGCAGGCATTCGCCGACGGCGATATCCAAGGTGCTGTTGGGGAGGCAGTGAGGCTGAGGTATTGGGAGAGCATCAAGGAGGGCATTCGGGGATGGGAGAAGGGCGCGGGTGGGGGGCTCCTGCATCATTAACAAGATTCTCGGGTCTGTAGACTTTCCAACCACCTGGGTGATCGCCGGTTGAGCGCATTGACGCTTGGCCTTCAGTTCTCAATGGGGGAGGCTGTGAGGTAGACCTGTCCGAGTTGCCGGGGCTGGACGCAAGCAATACCATGTGGTATTGTACAAGCCGCTCATATGATCGTTTTCCCCCGGAGAGCAAGATACCTTGGCATGCAGTTTTACAACCCACTCATCACTGGCACAGGAGAGGACCATCAGTCGATAGGAGATAAGAAAGAGAGCCTTTCCCTCATGTATTGCGACTTGTATTGTCCTTATACCACCAACGGTGCCCCTGAGCCTTGTCTGTGCGTCGCAAGGCTGAGGCCACAAGCACCCATCGTATTCTAACTATAGTTATCGACATCGTATTTTTTTTAAGCACTGTGTCTTGAGCGTTTACCACCGAATGAAGGCGCCATGTATGCCCTCAGATGTATACAGAATAGAGACAAAGCCCAGATATGCTGGCTCATATCCAAACCTAGGACTGTTTGAATCGCCGCTACAAGCCATCTTGAAATGCTCCAAGAGTGAATGCTGTTAATAAGTCTTTCACGATACCACTAGTTGTAGCCAGCCATGACTTTTAGGGATGTCTCTCCTCTCTTGGCGCCAAACGAACCTGTTCGATGCGCCAAGCTCGCCCAAGCAGGCTTCAACTGTGTCTGATATCACGCACGCAGCTGGATGCTAGTCCAGATGCCTAACACCGGAACCTGACCTGGCCGGCCGGTGACGCTGCGTTGACGCAGGCGTGATAGTAAGGACAGACAGCATCAAGGATGTAGTAGGAACAGGGACTAGGCTGATGTATTTCGGTGGTTCCAAGCACTTGAGGCCAGCACTGACGCAGTGATCTGGTGCCTGGGTTCACCGAACGCGAGGCAGGCATGCTGGTCTCGGCTATCCTCTCTCCAGAGACAGCCGGAAGGCTTGACGATACCTAGGCACTGTATGTGGACGGAGAAGCCCGGGAAGCGTGGAAACACCAGAGGGATGTTAAGAAGTATTGGTTCATGGGCTGGTATACACAATGAAATTAGTGATACTTGAGGACATTAGAGCTGCAGATCAGGGCTACCTAGGTACCCTCAAGGGGGTCCTAGCACGAGTGTAGTCATCATGGATTTCGAAACTCAACCTGGTTCCTGCGACCGCTTCTTATTGCCTGTCCTGCGTGGATTGATCTCGGACTATATCTGCCCAAAAGTATTGATTACGGGCTTGGAAAAGACTCCGGGGCTTGCACCGGTTTCGTTTCTGTAGGAAGGTCTTTGAGACACTTCCCATCGCGCTGCATGCAGCCTGGGGCATCGGAGCGCACGGTCTTTGAGCTACGTCGGGCCTGCCTCAGCTTGAGATTAAGAAAATGTTTAAGGGTATGTCCAGTTTTGCAATGGCAATAATTTCAACCACTCGGGGAGGGAGCCAGCGAGGGGTGAAATGTGGTTGCTGAGTGGGTAGGTCACAAAGAGGTGTGGCCCAGGTATATACTCTTGGCCGGTTGGATGCCTGACTCGTCCAAACAGCCAAGGCATCTGAAGTCCAAGATCTCAACCGAACGTTGGGCTGACGGGAGTCAAAAAAGACTTGTCATCGGGTGTGAAACTCAAGGTGTGGCATGGGACGGGTAAATTTCCCTACTAGAGCCCAACGAGCTTTCTTGGCTTCCTACACCTCGCGAATCAAAATCACAGCTGTAGCTACACCTCAGACAGAACCAAAACTGCCAATGGAAGTCCACGACGGACATTGCGACAGGAAGGGGGCCCAAAAGATGCTTGCCGTTTGCATCGCTACCTACGTAGGGGTCTCAGTGGCTGCTACGAACGGACAGAGCCCAAGGGCTCAAGTATTAAATAACAGAACTCTCCTCCGAGCCCGAAGCAGAGGTGCACACTTTGGTCACACTTCACAACTCCAACAATTCTCATCTTCTAATTCCAGTGCTGGTCCACTGTTGCTTACTAGCTCGTTTCGTTATCAGAAGGCTTGTCTCACCTTGGCCTCACGTCTCTTCAAGATGAAGTTTAGTATCACTCTGCTATCAGCCCTTCTGGCTGTCACTGTCAGTGCCGGTCCTATCAATGCCCAACATGGAGGAAATACAGCTGTTGCCTTTACAAGGCGAGGTATGATGCCGTGATTCCTGTTAATACGTGTAACCCATCAACTAATGCAAAGGCTTCAGACCTGAGGGCATTGAAGCGTGGGGGCGGTGGCCAAGGTAATGCCAATGACCAAGCGGACGGCGTGCAGGCCAATGCTGCGCAAAACGGCCAGCAGGACAACCAGCAGGAAAACCAGCAGGACAACCAGAATAATCAGGACAACCAGCAGGACAACCAGCAGGACAACCAGAATAATCAGGAAAACCAGCAGGAGGACAACAACAATAATGCTAATGGTGAGGAGATTGAGAATTCTGACTTGGACGAGAGTGGAGATGTGGATGCGCAGGAGCAGGCTGCAGCTGAGCAGGCTGACGCCAATGGTGACGGGCGGCTCAATGCCCCAGAAATCATTGAAGCCACAGATATTGTTGAAGCCGCTGCGGAGGAAGACGCACGTAAGATTTAGGCAAGCTGCGGCCTGTTGATGTGATGGAACTTGAATTGCAGCCCAATTGCCCTTGATGGCACGCTTGAAAAAGAAAATCAGTCATTACTCTCCAAGGTTGTTAAATTGCTCGTTGTGAAAGTTGTCTCTGGGAATATTTCCTGGCGCCTCGGGAGTCGTGAGTACTCAAACTTCTCAGACCACGGGTCTAGGATTAGTGTTTTGCATTTACATACCTAGGTATGTACCAAATAGGTACGTGTGTGTGTATGTGTTCCTACGCCATGTTCAGCAACCCCTCACCTAGGTAGCTAGGGATCAAAGGCAGATGAAATGGAAACTCGTGCTTATCATTACCTAGGTAGGTATTTCTAGTTAAGAGAAATAGGGTGTGTCCACATTGCATTAAAACTTAAGGCACTAAGTGTGTAGTGATATATATATATATATATATTATAATTTAAATAAAATAATAATTTAAAGTTTTTTTATAAAAGAATTATAAAAATATATATAAAGTAACTCTATTAAATATTTATATTTTATTACTAGTAATAATAAGCTAGTATATAATGCTTTAATCTATAGGTTAGGAATGGATATATACACATATAGTAAAGTGGTAGAGAGTAAGTCTATTTAATTTAAGGGGTGTGGTAGAGTCATCCTTTGAGACCCTATCCCATGGGATCTGGCATTGTATCATGGGGATAGCTCACAATCAGAAAGCCTCGTGTCTCTCTACCTAGGTCAGTTATAGTGTGGTCTGGGGAAGTGGGGTGGGGTAGGGTGGCCAACACCACTTGTGTACATGACGTACAGTACCTTAGGTACCTAGGTAGATAAGCCATCTACCTACTACCCAGGTAGGTACCTAGGCAAGTACAGGCGACGGCTTGGATTTGAAACATCAAGTCCCCCATCCTGGCCCTTCACCTGACACCATGCTGTGAACTCCTACGGTCACAGCCATCACTGCGGCTATACTCCAAGTGTGCGTGGTGTTTTTCGAGTAGACTCCAAAGCCTCTCTCCCCGCTCAGTTCGTTTTGCCCCTCTGAACACACAAGCGTCTCCTGTTCCATCGCTTGCCGTCACCTCCAACCCGCTCGAGCATGGATCCAGCTGCCCCAGCCAGTCATGGCTGCGAGCCAGCCAGCCAAGATTATATCGCCACTGGCTGCCTGGTCTGCAAAAAGATTGATCTGGAGGATACTATCCGCCCCTACTCGAAGCTTCTGGACTACCGATGGTGCCGTTTTGAGACCATTGACAGTCGCGATGACCACAACGTCGCCATCGTCAGGGTCCATGTCCTCCCAGATGACTCCTTCAATAGCCTCGTCCCTCGAGACGACCCCATACTTCGAGGCAAGAAGAAAACACTTCTTGCATCCCTGGACTATTCTTCCTCCTCATGGAGAGGATGGCCCAAGCGTGGAGCACCCCTAAGCCTCCCCCGCGGTTCACCCCAGATCGAGCCTTCTCAAGGCTTTTCTCACCATGACGGTTCTTTGCTTGCTATTTTCAACAGCATCCCATCACCGAGGCCAGACTTTGCCCTCATCCAAGACCATATTACCAAAGAGGCAATGACAAACCTTCTATCTGGCACCGTCAGAGGCTTGAAAACCGAGCTCTACCCCTATCAATGTCGCTCGGCCGCAATGATGGTCCAAAAGGAGGAGTACCCGGGCGAAATTATGGACCCGCGACTTGTGCAGGTCCCAGATCAACACGGAACGTCTTGGTACTACGATGCGAATACAGGCGAGGCTCGCAGAGGGCCCCGTCGTTATGATCGCATATGCGGTGGGATCTTGGCTGAGGAAATGGGATCGGGGAAGACTTTGATCTCTCTTGCTCTCATAGCAGCGACAAGAGATCAACCAGCTGTCATCCCAGAGATCTTTCGCGGTGGTAACCTCATCGTCCGACCCACGGTTGGATCTCTGATGGACATGGCAGCTTCAGTTGCTACCAAGAGCGGCGTGTCGTGGAAGCGCTACATCGACTCACGGTACCAGAATTGCATCCGAGCTATCGAAAGGAACCCCGGATGGTATCCTTTACCCAGGCCACGGGGCGCAAGAACTTCTCGACGCACTGGGGCTGAAATCAGTCTTCCACCAACCAGAGTCTTTGTCAGCCACGCAAGTCTGATAGTTGTGCCTCCCAACCTACTGACGCAGTGGATGCAAGAGATCGCCAAGCATACAAACGGCCTCATGGTGCTAGAAATCGCATCGAAGAAGAAAAAAGGTGCAGTCTCCAACAGCATACCATGCATAGACGATCTGATTCATTGTGATATTGCTATTTGCACTGTTACGCGGTTGGAAACGATATGGTCAAACCACAAGCGACTGGAGGCTGATGGGTCATACTCGCTGAATTGTTCTCTTGGCCAGGTTCAGTTCAAGCGTTGCATTGTGGACGAAGGCCACAAGCTCGGAAATATCAGGCTCAGCAGTGTTCGGACGGATTTACTACAGGCTCTGGAAGCTCTGCACGTCAATGCTCGGTGGATCGTGACGGGGACACCAGCCAAGGGACTGTTCGGAATGCAGAAGAGCAGCGACTCCAATACCTCACTGGCGAAATCGTCCACTAAACAGGAGAGCGAAGACCTCAGGCGTATTGGCTCTATCGCGACCTTCTATCTCAAAGCCCGCCCTTGGTCGAACACGACTCAGAGCCACCGCGATACCCTCGCCGATTGGAAGACCTACATGGTCCAGGGCCGCAAAGATTGCCTTGCCTCCACATTCAATTCTTTAATCATCCGGCACCAACTCTCAGAGATCAGTGACATGTTACCGGCGGTCGATTCAAAGGTCGTCAAGCTCGAGGGTTCCTACCAGGACAAACTCTGTATGAATCTTTTCTCCATGATGATCATTTTCAATGCCGTCCAATCTCAGCGAACGGATCAAGACTACTTCTTTCATCCGAGAAATCGCAAAGCTATGCTTGAGTTGGTCAATAACCTGAGGCAAGCAATCTTCTTCGGTGGCTCGTTCTTTTCGGAGTCTGAGATCCAGAAGTCTGTGGAGACTGCAGAGAGCTTTTTACAGGAAAAGCCTTTTCCCATTGATGAGATTGACGAGGCTCTCCTAAAGGCTTCAATTAGTCTCGGAAAGACCGCCGTGGGCAACAGAATCAAGCGGGCTGCAAATGTTTTCCATGAGATGCCTATTTATGTTGACCGATTTCCAGGCGGTTGTTCCACCGCGTGGTCGGTGGATGAAGAGACCGGCAATGGTCCGTTGTGTACCAACTGGAAGCTGGTGATCGCAGCCCAGAGGACCCTACGCCCATTCCTGGGTTCGACTGCAGTCTTGAATACGTACTTGAACAGTGGGTCATTTTGCACTGAGGGCCTATCGGCGCGAGGCCGTGCTATTCATGACGCCCAGCCGCCGCAGAGCCGAAGTGTAGGCCGGAATGCCGAGAAAAATCTAGCAGGCAACACGAAGTTGGGTGAAGGTCACTTCAACCCACGAAGGGCCCACTTGGCAGGCATCAAGCTAGACGGGAAGGGGATTCTGACGCCGCCGCAAACACCCCAAGAGGACATTGAGATCGCGGAGCCGCTGGCAGTGACCCAGCTCATATCGACGGTATCCGCGAAGTTGTCCTATCTCATAGACGAAATTGCTTCACACCAGAAGGAGGAGCAAATGATCGTATTTTATGACAACGACAACATAGCCTGGTACCTTGCCGGCGTATTGGAGATGCTCCAGATATGTCATCTCATCTACTCCAAGGGAATCTCGGTGGACCGGCGGGCCCGTTACGTTTCCACCTTCACACACAGCAGTAAGTTCCGCGTGCTGCTCATGGACATTGCTGAGGCTGCTTTTGGCCTGGATATGAAGTCTGCATCGCGGATCTACTTCATTAGCCCCGTGTTGGACCCACAAGTCGAAATACAAGCCATTGGGCGCGTGCGGCGGATCAGCCAGCGGAAGAGGGTCACAGTCGAGACGCTGGTGCTCAAGGATAGCATTGAAGAGCTCATTATCGAGCGGAAGATGAAAATGACGCAAGCGGAGCATCGACGTTGCAAGACAGTTCTTGATGACCGCCCAATTTACAACTGGATACTCAATGCGAGGATTGTCCCCCTACCAGATGTGAGCAACGACGATGGACCAGCACAAATGGCGCCGCTAGCGATACGACAGTATGTTTTTGGGCGGGAGTTCGGACGCGAGGTGGCCGATCCCGACGAGGATATACTCTGCGGAGACCCATCACACACCGCGGCAAGTCTGGACAAGGCGAAGCGCAAGCGACCAGGTAAGGACAAGGAGCCTACTACCGACGAAAGCACGACCAGTTCAAGGGAATCCGAGGGGGAGCCGCGGAGCCCAATTCGACCTACCAAGAGGGCCCGCTTCGCCGGTGCAGAAGACGAGGTGCCAGGTGTATCCGGCCGAAGAGTCAAAGCCGAGGGGCAGTCACATTCGCGTACCGAGACTGCGCTGGACACGACGAGGACCGCCTTGCCGCAGGCCTCTTGCAGTTCGCAGCGAGCTGGTCGCTAGCATTTTCACAAAACATGCAGGTGACATCCCTAGTGGCTCCCAGCCTCCGCTGCCGGGCCGACCTGACAGACGTGCTCGCGTAATGAAACCATAGGATTCTGCGGTCAAAACGAACGGGGGAGTGAGGAGCCATGAGACTCGAGCCATGTTGGATGGGGTTTATTTGTGTATCCAAGAGACGGAGTCCTTGTCAACGACTACCTAGCTACCTAGGCAAGTTCTTAAGTAGTTTGGGATGGGAGAATTGAGCCCGTCAACATGGGCATCCCGGCCAGCCCACCTTGGTGACAAGCTTTCTGGGCGTCTGCGGGCCAAGGGGCCAAGGCGGCACCCACGCAGCCACCGGTAAAATCCGAAGAGAAGAATACACACACACACACAGGTACGCAGCCCCTAACTGCCAGTGATAGCGAGTCGGCAATGAGACACGCCCCTGCCAGGCCCGGGGCAGGTCGAGGGTCATGCAGACACAGGCAGACTGACCGCTGTCTGGTCACCGGGGCCTGGCAGTAGTAGCATTGCATCAGCCCCTCGATGTTGGGACACTTGCCGATTCATTGCTGTGTATGTACTGTGTGTACTGCGTGGTAGGCGCCTCGAGAGAGCCGAGGAATGTGGGAGCGTGTCCAATGGCACGCCCCTGCGCCTCCCCACCTCGGGACCCCTGAGACGTCTCACAAGGCGTCGCGCAGAGCCTCAAGACTACCATGTCCGTTAAGCTTTCCTCTCCACTTTTGACTTCCCCTTGGCAGCGATCACTACAATCCCAGCTCGCAAACAGGGGCTGAGTCGGCTGATAGCCCCCGTGCCTGGCAGGCTGGCCGGCAGATACACGAGCTGGCCGCGTCGATGGCCACGACGAGTCAACATGCGTGTGTCGTGGGCCCCCGCCCCCGCCGAGCAGAGCAACAGTCATCGTCGGCCAGGCAGCCCAGGACACCTATCTGAGATGGCAGGTGCCAGATGTCGGATGTGTGGCGAGTGCTTCTCACAAGCACCCACGGCCCAGGCTCGGGCGGCAGGGTGGCAGGTGGATCGACCAAGGCTTGTGCACATCCATCCTGGGGGAAAACACAGCCTGGGGAGATCAACAATGATTTTCATGATCTTCAAAACGAGGATCCCGGCGGATCAAAGCATCGACGCGCACCGCTCGCGCTCGCAGTCGCAATCGCAGTCGCAAGTCGCCTGTCTGATCCTGCCTCTGGTGCCGTCTTCATGTCTTCGATTCTACCACGAAGCATCATGCCTTTTCCTGCATCGTCTTCTTCCTTCCTCAATATCCTGCCCGTCTTGGGCGAGATCGGTTTCACGCCAGGTCTCATCCCAACTCCGCCACAGTCGTCGGCGGAAATGCCACATTGCTTTCTGCGGCATGCGTTCACGATCAATCATCACCATCCCCTCCTTGCTATGGGTTTCGTCTGGTCTCTACCTCGTCGCATGATTCACCAAGCCAGCAACTTGAGGTGGCAGCCTACTGACATGGCTTGGACGTGTGCGCCAAGCCGTCTCATGCATGGGTTTGGGAGCACCAACATCCACCAAGTCGTTCCCACACCAAGGTTGTATGTCGCCATCGCACAGCGCGTCTGGTCCGACTTCGATCTCATCTCCCGCCTGTGTGGGGGAGGGTAGGGATCCATCACGACAGGGGATACGGGATCCAGGTGTTTCGTCCCCCCCCCCCCGGGCTGTGATGTTGCGTCTGGCGGCTTGACCGTGATGCCCTCTCGTGATGATCCTCTGACAAGTCAGTCAGGCGGCATTGCCGCGCGCGAGCCTTGGTATGGGGTCAAGTAGTCGGCTTCGAATGCCTTGGTGACGCCTGTGCCACCATCCTCCACGTGTTTGCCCAACGTCACACGGCAGTTGCGCTCCGCACACTGAATGCTTCCTGTCTTGGTCGAGTATTAATATGAGCTCTCTCGCCCGCCTCCCTCGGTCGACCATATCTCATTCTTATCACCACCGGACTCATCCTTCTTCTTCTTCTTCTTCTTCTTCTTCTCTACGCTGTTCTTCACATCAAGGCAGGGCCTTCTTCACTTCTAATCACACACACAACTATTTTATACATACCTCAAAAGCCCCTGCTGTCGCCAGACTTGGTGCAAGTACATTCCCCTCCGATCCATCGCAACAAAACTATCACCATGTTCGCAAAAGTCCTTGTCCTCGCACTTGCTGCCTCACCCCTCGTTGCCGCTCATGGCCGCGTTGATGTGGTCACTGGCGACGCTGGTGGAAACGGCACGGCCCTCGCCATACAGGGCGGCGTCGTCCCTTTGACAGGGAGGAACAAAGTCGTAAGTAACAAAAACACGCTTGCCCGCCCCCAGAGCCCGAGCTGACCGGAGCCTACAAATATCTAGACCGAGGTAGACACCACTGTTTTCGGCTCTCGCAACCCGGCCAGCGACGGTCTGGGCAAGACCACCGACACAGGCAAAATCCAGGCTGCAGACCTGAACCAGCTCATGACTCAGGCTACGGCGCAGGCGGGCACGACATTGCCGCAGGTCAACTCGTCACTGAGCGGAACTTGGCATGTGGTGACATCCGATGGTTTCGGCAAGGTCTTCGCGGTCCTCGACCCGACAGCCACTGGGTCCTTCGCCGACGGCGTGCCGTTGACTACGACACTTGACGTTCCCGGAAATAACGGAAACCCGCCAAAGGGAAACAACAAGTACAAGAGGTCCGTCCTGCGGCGCCTGGCTGAGAGCGTGGGCGTGATCGAGAAGCGCGCCACCAACGTGAATGAGGACTTCCCAATGACTTTCTCGGTCCCCGCCGGGACGACCTGCAGTGGTACCGTCGGCGACCAGAATAACGTCTGTCTTGTCAAGATTGCCAACAAGAACGGTGCGGGCCCCTTCGGTGGCGTCGTTGCCATCCAGATGGCTGGCGCTGCGCCCGCTGCTGCGGCTGGCAGTGCCGGGGCTGCTGCAGCAAAGGAGAGGCGGGAGTTTTTCGCTTGAGAGACTCGCCTGCGTCATCCCGGCCGCGACTGAACAGCGACGTGGATGCCAGGCTTTGCTTCGTTCTTTGCGCGACGCATACAGTCTCGTGGACTGGCATGAAGGAAATGAGCGAACCCATATGCTGCTGCGGGGCGACGGATGTGTGGCAAGAGGGTATGAACAACTGGGTTGATTCTCCTCTTCCCATTCTCGTCCGTGTCCTTGCGAAGACTAGGTTTCAGGGCTATCGTGCACGTATATGTGTATGTATTATATCACTATATACGCTCCGGAAAACGGGCTGATCGAGGGCTGGTGTGTATGGAATGCACTGTGGATGTAGATTCTATTCTGTCGCTGACAACACTTCAAATACATTCTTCACCTTCATGCATCTCTGTTCCAGGCTGTCGTGCGCTTGTGATATGGAAGGAGGAAAATTTGATGCGCATTTATTCACAAGGGGGCTTGGGGCCGTTGGGTTGGCCGCTCCAGTTGGAATACAGTGCATACGGCTCAATGGAGGTGTGAACTTCTCCCCTACCAAGGTGGAATGCCGTCAGGAACGGATAGATATTGCACCATTGATGTCTAAGCAAAATTGAACATGAGTGCAGGAAATTCAGCCTCTGATCTTTCGGGGTTCATTGCTCGCTTTGACCCAAGAAACAACACACCTTGAACATGTGAAAGAAAGCTTGGCGTAGGAAAAAAACAGTGCGGGCACTTGTGTTATTGACATCTCCTGAAGTCTATAACCTCCCCTCTGAGCCCTTTGACACTGCATGGCGTTACTAAACAGAACGTAAGGAAGTTCATAAGTGTACTACTGATCGTCCCTGAGCCTTGTTGCTTCGATTGGCTGTCCAACACTCTTCAGTGTTCTCGACACTTCCTTTCTGCATCCCAAATCTTACACGGCGGGACCTCTGCCAATCCAGTACCGATAGCTCCTAAAAGGGCCGCGCCGCCGGTCTCTGTTATTATACTGCCTCATGGGGGCCAAGCCCTGCTGGTTAGTGTCGAAATACAGCCAACCGTCCAAGATGCAGGCCGTGTCGGCGGCCTGGATCAGGCCACTGCGTATCAGAGTCCTGTGGACAAGGTTCTCGGCAGTCACGACTCCGGAACCGCCAGGGGCGATCGGTGTGGGCTCTGTGACCTCAGATTCGAGGGTATCCACATATAGGATAGCGTTATGCTGTTGGAGAAAGTAATTGTTACGGTTTTCTCATCAATGAAGGGTGGCTGTGAAAAACTGCTAACCTCGGAAGCCATAAGGTATATGCGACCTCTGTCGTCGGCCGTGAAGCCTGCCTGCTCCGAAGGAATATTGCCAGGAACTTGGACCTCCGTGGCCAGCTCCTCATCAGTCAGCCCGCCAAGCAACGCTTCCTGGGAGACAAAGTACCAACGGTGGGAAGACTTGACCCCCCAGTAGACATTTCCAGAAGCTAGGGCGATGCCGTTTGTCCCGGATGTCATGTAAAATGGCCTGGTACCGTTCCAGTTGCGGATTGGCTCCCCGTTGTACATGGAGGTAAACCTCTCATCAGGTCTGGTAAAGGTTGTATTGTAAAGGTGGCGGGTGAACTCGCCCGTATCCAAGTCCAGAGTGGTGATGGACCCGTACTGGGAGTCCTCCGTAATGAAAGCATAGCCGCTGGCCCCAAGGGTGTTGTTAACTCTGACGTCGTTCAGCTGCAGCTTGGCAAACCACTCTGGGTATGACATTAGTCTTGCTATGGACCAATAAATGTTGCAATCTACAACATTCAAAGACAAGAGAGGCGAAGGTCGGTTGTAAGAGAGGGCTGGTGCTTACGTCCCTGCGGATAGATGTATGTGCGGACGACTTCACCGGTGGCGTAGTTGAAATTGATCAGCTTCGGACCGTCGGGTACTGGCATTGACCTATTCAACCATGACTGTTATTATAGGCCGCATAGTATTACGCGTGAGACGATGCGGAAAATACTTGGGTATGCTTACGCGCCGCTGGGGATACCAGAGTCGAGCACCCACCAGCCACCAACGGAGTCAAGCACGACATTTTGCACATTCACAAAACAGGTAGAGGCATTCTGGCCATCTGAACAATCCTGCCACTCCTCAGAAGGCCATGGAATCTCTTCAGTGAACGATACTGCCTTTGTTAAGGAATACCTCTGCTTCTCCATGTTCCTGGCGTAAGTGAAGAAGATGTTATGATCGGGGTCTAACCCGATCCCTGTAGGAGGCAAGAGTCCCTCATGAACAGCCTCTGGTACGTTACCGATGACCTCCATATCGCTAGAGCACATTCCAATAGGCTTGGAGTCGTTGCAAGTCGACGAGTACGGCAATGGGCAGTTGCCCGTATTAGTTGACGACAAACCGCCGGGGATTGCGGCAGCTGGCCCTAGAACCGCTGAGGACGCAAAGACCGTCGCCATAGCGTGGACAACTCGGGAATACGGATGGAAAGAAGGCATGTTTTCAGTGTGACCTTGGAATGAGCGACAAAACGGTGAGCGATGTAGCAAAAGTATGCCTAGTTGTGTGCAAAAAAAAGAGGCTAACTACTTAGGCAACGCTGTCCCGCGGTCCGAAGCCAACGACAGGAGATTAGATTTTTTCCTCTGATGGGATGGCGGCACTAATCATGGAAGCTCTGTTTGTCCGAGCCTTCGTTGGGATGCCCTGTCGCAATTGAGGAGAATTGAGTTTAATGACGGGATGACTTGAGGGTCAATGCACATCAATGATAGGATCGAGCCAGCTTCTACAATTTAGTGGGCATGTCGAACCTGAGAAATCTAGCACATCTGATATTGGACGCACAATCGGATGTGATTTGTGATTGACTAGAAGCAATCTACCTAGGTAGACAACCAGGTGCCTACTAGTAGGTGCAAATGGGCAGGCTGCACACAGACCACTTGAGCATGCCCGTCTGCAGATCATAGGTGCTTTATAAACACTATAACTTCTACCACACTATAATTTTCTACTAAACTATATAATATCTTTCAACTTTACAATTTATTTTATATCTCACTTAAAGCTTATAAATATACCGCTATAAAATATATCTTTTTTTTAAGTAAGAGTTTATTTTAAATAGTTATATAATTATTTAAATATAAATAATTAAAATTAAAATAAACTTATATATAATTTAAATTAATATCTTTATATATTTTAATTTATTAATAAGTTTTAATTATTTTAAATTTAATTATTAAAGATACTTTATAATATATATAAACTCTTTTAATAAAAGTTTAAAGATTATTAATTATACTTATTATATTATATATTACAAGTATTTAAATATAATTTTAAAATTATTATTTTAATTTTTAAAAAATAATATAAATAGTTTATAATACTTTATAATTATTTTTTATTAATATACTTTTATAATAATAATAAAATATATTAATATTTTTAAATATTAAATATTTTAAAATTAAAAAAGCTTTTAAAAGAAATTTAATTAAAAGTTTAATAAATAAAAAATAAATAAAAATTAATTAAAAGTTTATATTTAAAAATAATATTATAAAATAAAAAAGTTTTTAATTAATTATTATATTAAAATATAAAGATAATATTAAAAAAGTTTAAAAATAAAGTTTTTTTAAAAAATATATTAAGAAAAAAAGAACTATTAATAGTTATAATTATTATTAAAGAGTATTAATAAGAATATAATTTAAAGAAACTTTATAAAGAGTGTAATAAAAGTATAACTAGTAGCTTAACACTCTATTATCCGGCTAAAAGACTATATTATACTAGTAAATAAAGGAGATCTATAAGTGTTATAGCTCTTTATAAAGGTTATATATATTATAAGAGTTACGCTTATTATAAGAGATAACTCCTTTTATAAGAGTTAAAGGATTAAGGTATAAAAGTTATATAAAAAGATTTTAATAATTTAAAGGTTACTCTACTTACTTAAGTGTAGAAAATAACTAAAAAGGATTCTTCTTTTAGAGTAATTTTAAGGTTTTCCTTCTCTAACCTACCTTAGAGTATTATTTCATCTTTATTTTTATTTTTATCTTTATCTTTATCTTTATCTTTCTCTTTCTCTTTATAACTACCTCTTTATAACTACCTACCTTAGGCTCTTCCTTAAATAGATATATACCTACTTCTTTCCTAAAAAGTCCTTATATAATTTCTACATTTAAATTCTCTAACTCTTGTGGAAAGGTAAGTCAGCGCACCGGTCTACGCACATCCCCACCAACGCACACGCATTTCCCACTAAAAAGGTTGATTTTTATTAGACTTTATTTAATTTTATAAAAATATTATATAAATAAATTTAAAACTATTAAAAACTAAATTTTTTATTTATAGTAAATAAAAATTTAAATTATTAATAAATATTACTATAAATTAAAAATAAATTATTAAAGTTTAATATTTTCTTTTTTAATTAAATAACTAATAATTAATATAAAAATTAATTAAAATATTAAAATTTAATTTTAAACTTAATTTAATTAAATAATAATATAAGTTTTATTATAAAAATATATATTATTATAATATTTATATATATTTTAAAAGTTTTATTTATAGAAATTTATTAAAATTAATTATTAAAGATTTAAGAAAAGTAAAGTAAAAAAGTAGGGATATTAATTTTCTATAAATAAAAACTCTTTTAATTTTAATTTTAATAATTTTAATAGATTTTCTATATATAATAAATTATAAATATTATTAAAACTATATTTTATAATAACTTAAAGTTTTAAATTTCTTTTATATTTAGTAAAGAAACTTTAAAAATAGAAATCTCTAACTTTAAATAATTCTTTTAAAAATACTTACTTATTTATTTTATTATAAAAGTTATTATATATATAAATAAAAATATAAATTTAAATAAAATAACTTACTTATTTTTAATATTTAAATAAATTTATTTATTAATAAAAATATAAATTTTATATATTTTAATTTATTATTATAAATAATATTATTTATATAATAAAACTATATTATTATATAAATATTAATTATACTTATAATATATATTTAATTTAAAATTTTAAAAGTTATATAAAATTAATAATTTTTAAATATAAAGTTAAAAACTTATAATTATAAAATTCTAATTAATTTTTATTTAACTATTTTATTATATTATAACTTAGTTTAATTTAATTTAAGTCTTTCCTTAAGTTTCTTTAACCTTTCTTTTTAAATAAGTTAAAAGTTTATATTTTTAAATTTAAATTTAAAATTCTTATAAATCTTAATATACTTTAAATTAAATTTATAATCCTTTAAATTCTTTAAAAATATATTAACTATCTTAAATAATAATAATTTCTCTTTAAAGTAAAAGTTTATTTTATATAGTTATAAATCTAATTATTAATAACTATTTCTTCTTCTATTTATAATAAAACTATTAAAACTATAAACTTAAATATTATATATAATAATAAAATATAATTACTTTACTTAACTATCTTTTAATTTAATTAAATAACTACTTTTAAATAGTTTTATTTATAAAGTTAATAAATAGGTATTTACTTATAAAGTAGAGTTAAAACCTTAATTAAAGGAATAGTAGCTTTATTTTCGCCTATTTTAGCTAACTTATATTTATACTTAAGTTATACGGTGAATTTAACACTTATATATAGTGCTTACCGGCGTTAAACTAGGTAGCCTGTGGTCTGCAATAGCTTTAACCTTTAATAGGCTAATAGTGCTAACTTAAACCGACTAAGCACAGCCTAGCACACTAGCGTAGAAAGGTGTCTTCTAATAATAGATAGTATTATAAATAATTATAAAGTTACTATAAAAAGTTCTATATAATAAACTTAATTAAGTTAATTTTTAAAAGATATATTATATTTTATTCTTTTAAAACTTTAACTATTTACTTTTAACTTAATAGTAGAATTAAAAAAAATATAAATAGTTTATAGAATTAATAATAATATATTATATATTTAAAAAATAATATACATTAGTGGGGATGTGTGTAGACCGGTGCGCTAACTTAACTCTTATAGTAGGTATAACTCTTATACTGAGGATAAGTTTTGAAAATAAGGTAAGACTTACGGGCCTCCGCAACTTTTGCGAGCTACCTACAGATACCGGTACGGTAATAAGCAATCTGCCCGATTAGCCATTCCTAGTAGTATATAAGACCCGTACCGTTACTGGGAGTGCTATGGGACTTAGCTTCTAGAAGTAATAATATATAGCATTTTAAGATCCCGAAGAACCAATAAACACATCCGGATAGTAACGGAACAACCAGAAAGGTTGCCTAGGCTCAATGTTCCCGAGTCTGTCGCTATTATCAAGACCACGGATGCTCTGAGGACGACGAATCTAAGCCTGAGGAACCCAAACGGACAAAACAAAACACTGGCTGTGGAGGGTTACTATGTGGTAGAAGTTTTCCGCCGCGTTCTGCAAGGAATCTCTAAAATTGTGCAGGCGAGTCCGATTCAATTTCCTGTGTGAGATCAAGTAATCTGGATTGAAAGAGATGTCAGGATAGACCGAGGGCAACACAGACTCCAGAGGTCTTGGCCCACGGCACATTGTCCCGCCCATAAAGCCTTCTTACAAGATTCACTTCGCTTCAAGCTCCTAGTAGTCCCTTGAATTTCATGCGAATTTGTTCACAGTGGGAGAGGAGATCAACGTTTAACATGTGGTATCAGCTCAATTATTGGGTACTCTATCACCGAAAGACCATACAAATAGTGGCTTGTACATGAAGAATAGTTACTTATAGACTCCTTCTTATATATCGTCAGGGAATATTGTCGGGTACACGGGCAGACCGGGAAAGGACCGGGAAAGACGAGGCGGACACCGTCTGCGTAGCCAACCACGTAAAATCCAGGCTCTCGGTGTGCTGTTTTGTAGACTCTTTAAGACGCGTCTCTGTAGTACCTGGGTCGCATGTCAAGCATTCGATTTCAGATCGGAACACTTCTTTCGGTTGGTATAAGTGTGCTCTTGTTAATGAGGAGTAGAGAGCTTTGCATCTTGAGGCGGTGTGGATCCAGCTTATTAGCACCGACACAGCCACCTGGGCAAGGTGAGCAAGGAAGACACACCTTGATCATTTGGGGAGATCCGCCAAATACGACGCTGACAGAACCCAGCCATGACCACCGCATAAATGCACAATTAAGCGGCTCGACCGAGAAGTTCAGCTCTTGGTTGGCCTCCGGCTTACTGGACGCGCCAAGGACCTAAGTAGACGCACGTAAGACAAGGCCCCACAGGTCCGGTTGGTCCCCAACTGCCGTGATTGCATTAGCCTCGGGGTGATAGGCACAAAATACGCAGAGTGTTTTTCGTCGTCAGCTCACTCCGCTCACTCTGAATGGCCTCTGCCGGATAGGGCTGAGCCCGAACCCCGCCCAAGGGTGACGTTAGCAGCTTCGGGCTGGGAGCGGTCGAAATGTGCTGTCGGGGTACACAGTCCAGTCCACATGTCTCTCCAGTGGCACGATTCCTTCTCTAGCTGCCTGGCCTGCGACTCTGCTTGGCCTTGGTTCCTGATATTTGAGACACAGCCATCCACCAACACGACTTCCCGTTGTCTTGCACATTCCAAGGTTCTGCTGATATTCTAGTCTTCTACGCTCGTTCAGATGACGCCATCCTTCGCTCTCCCAGTATGGCTTGGGCATCACACATCAACTCTTCGTTCCAGGTGGGCATAATTATCCTGTGCGCGGTTCTGGCCCCCGTGGCGCCCGTTCTAGTTGGCCTACGTCTGTGGTCAAAGTCAATACTCCGCTCGCGTCTTAAATGGGGCGATTACCTGGTCATTGGTTCCTGCGTAGGTGGGACATCGTTTGTTTCCGTCCGGTTCATTGAGCACTGATCATCGGCAGGCGACGCTATTCGGGGTATGGCTCCCTATTATACTTTGTATGTGGCAAGACCTTTGAGAGGCGAGACATTGACTGCCCGATCGGCATGGCTAACAACATTTGCTTGCTACAGTATTCGCGGGTGGAGGCGGGGCCAACTGGGAATTGAAAGACAGACCCATAGGCTTCTGGGTAATGAGAGTTGAGGTCAGTTAGAATGACAGTGGTTGCTATGCGGCGAACAGACGTCTCTGGGGTTGGAAGCAAAAAAGAGCAAGCCTAACTCAGCCCTATGAAGTGTCTCGTCATCGCCTCGACATTCTACCTCCTCTCGAGTTACCTGTGCAGAATATCTATCCTCTGCATCTACTATGAGCTTCTCCGACAGATCCCCTGGATGGGTCATATCATCTTAGCTGTGGGTGCTTGGGTGATCGTATGCGGCGTCACGTCCATGGGGGTCCAGCTTGGTGTTGGAATACAGGACGTGCTCTTTGTCCTCGCGGGTAAGCAGCTATCACACATAGTTTCAACCTCTTCTAACTTCAATGTGTCATTCTCCTTTCTGTAATTTACAAGAATTTTGAGGCTGGACTGGGGACGGATTATATTTACGCCGTAGACAGTTGCTCCTCCCCTTTGTACGAAGGCTCTGTGATTAGTGCTTAAATAGCTGACTCTAATTTCATCAGACCAAGGCCCGGATGCTGTAGAGGAAGGGCCGAAGTGGGTAGTATATGGTGTCCTCCCTGATGTTCTGAGCTGCGTCTGCGATATTATCGTTTTCGCTCTCCCATTGAGATCACTGTGGAGTCTGCAGATGCGAAATCGCAAACGTAAGATCCGTTTGATGTTCACTTTTACCGTCGGTTTTATGTAAGTTTTCACTCTCCATGATTGCCGTTGTTCGGATGCTGATATACTTGAGTATGTAGAGCATGCGTCTTGTCACTCGTGCGAATTCTGGCCTGGAAGCTGCCCAGTTTCATCGGGCAGGCCCCCTCAGACATCTATATTAGAAGCGATGCATTCGAAGTGTTGTATCCCATAGAAATCACCTTTGGTATTCTGGGGGCCTGTCTCCCAATGCTTCGACCAATATTTCACCGAAAGGAGTACCCCAGCAGATCAAGCGGTAACAGCTATGCGATGGGGCCAGTGAGGAATGCCGGGTCAAGAACTGCACTCACAAGTGACTCTGGCCATGGCAACAACGATGGTGTACACAGTAAGAGGCCTTCAGTTGCCCATGATGAAGAAACAGCAGCATGGTGAACTTTAGAAGAGTGAACAGCTGGAATTTTCCAGACACCTTGAAGGCCAAAAATAGCATGATATACTGTTATCACCATAGCCATAGCCATAGCCGAAAGAATATATCAGACGTTTGGTTGCTCAAAAGGCTGGTATCGATCGAAAATAACTGATTTCGATTGTGTAGACAAATTGAACAATGAACAAGATACTGTGGATACATTTGACGTTAATCGAGCAATCTGTTGACCGCTCTTGTCTTGTTCAACGTTTAAGAGATCAATCGCAGAATTCGCGCGGTTGCAATTTGAAGACTAGTCTTGGACTTATAAGCCTTGGAACAGTTCAACAGTTTCAGTTTAGTTCAATTGACTTGACTGTTTCAAATTGAGTTGTTCCCTACGAATTACCTAGGTAATGGTTCAACAGTCTTTACTCAGATGCGTAGTCTTTCATACTTGGGTATCTGCCTCTTTGGGCGGTGGACGACAGTAGGGACGTGATGCATCGGCCAGAGGGTGATTGGTTGGCTTGAGCCATGGGGTGTTGGTTGTGAGCCGAGGGGGATACGAGCCTGTGAAAGCGGGCAACCAACCTTGGAAGACATGGACATGAGGCAAGCGCATGGCGGGACGACAGGCCCTTCACCTGGAGTTGCACAGACACAGTCGACTGGCCCACTGGGCAGGTGGGCGCTGTAGCACGTGGCGCGCGCTCAGGAGGCGCCCAGGGTGGTCTTTGAATGTGGCCTGGGCCGGCTGGCTGGCAGAATGTGGTATGGAAGTGATTGGGGAGCTGTGATGATGCTAAAAAAAGGCAAGCGCGCTGGGTGCAGGGTCATTAGAGCGTGCAGCCCCACGTGGCCAATCAGACGGCGGTCCTGGGGGCCCGGGTGCCCATCACAGCGGCTACGGGAGGGCGAGACAGGGGTCTCCCCAGCTGACCAGGTCTGGAAGTGCCGTGCCTGGCCTCTGGCCTCTGGCCTCTCAACCTCTCTCTCTCTGGCCCTCTGGCCCTCTGGCCCTCTCTCTCTCTCTCCCTCCCCCTCTGGGCGCGGCGGCGCTTACTGAGGCAGGCGGGAGGCAGGCGGGAGGCAGGCGGGAGGCAGGCGGGAGGCGGGCTGGACTTGGAGCTTGCACTAAGGCATCCTGTGGCACACAGGCATAGTCGCGGGGGCCAATGGCAGCAGGCGGAGCTGTCGAGCCCCTCCAGATCGCGGGCCTTGTCTTCGATCTGCAGACGCTTGTGCTCTGGCGGCCCACCCTGCCATGCTGCCATGTTGCCATGCTGCCATGCTGCCATGCTGCCCTGCTGCCCTGCTGCCCTCTGGCTCCTGGCCGCCCGGCGTCTATTATTCTTCCCATCTGTCGCTCCTGGCCAGCCCATTGGAACACGTCCACACCCCGGCCTGGCCTCTATTAGTCGGCCGAAAAGCCACGAGCGCCCAAGCGATCCCTCGTCGTCCTCGTCCTCGTCCTCGTCCTCGTCAGCCCTTTGCCGCCGTCTCTGACCCGCCCGCGCGCCTACCTGCTCAAGTGCTGGCAATCATCAGTCATATAACCACCTGGCTCCTGCTACCGCCCGCTCTTGTTCTCTCTCTTCCCCCCCCCTCTCTCTCTGAACGTCCCGTTCCCCAACTGCCGGACCTGACCTCTTCCTGCCTGTCCTAGGCAAGTTGGTCTCCTGTCAGCGCGGCTCACAACGGGTGAACCAACAACAACAACAACCCCCCCCCCCCGAGTCATTTGCTTGACTTGACAGACAGACCGACGGACGGACAGACAGAGAGACAGAGAGACAGAGAGACAGAGAGACAGAGAGACAGAGAGACAGAGAGACAGAGAGACAGAGAGACAGAGAGACAGAGAGACAGAGAGGCAGAAGAGAGACATATACGCCATCTCTTCCACCACACACACACCACACACACCGCGATGCCTCCTGCGAAGCGACCCAAGCTGGCCGCCCTGGCCACGCCAACCTCTGGCAACTTCCCGTCCGATGCCCTCCTGTCTGCGTCGTCAGTCCGCACCCCCCACTCGGCCTCCATCAAGGGCCCCTTGCAGTCAGCAGGTCTCTACTCGGCCGGCCTCCCGTCCGCCGGCCTCCCGTCCGCCCCTTTCGAGTACCCCCCAACACCCAGCATGCTGTCGGGCAAGCATGAGGACCGGCCAGAGCCCACCCCCATCACCCCGCCCCTGGCCTACATGGACTTCCTCAAGACAATCAGCGTCGCGAGCCCCTCGGTCGCGAGCCCCTCGGCCGCGAGCCCGCCCCTGACCGCGCCCCTGATGCCCAAGGCCCCGCTCACCCGGTCCTCCACCACCGCCAGCACCGCCAGCACCGCCAGCACCGCCAGCACCGCCACCTGCAAGTCAGAAGATGAGCCCGCCGAGGCCGCCGCCGCCGACGTCGACCTGGACAGCGCCCCCACCACCGCCGGCACCGAGTCCACAGACTGCAGCTGCTCCTGCGAGCTCGTGCACAAGCCCGCCAGGCCTGCCCACATCTCGGTTGCCCAGCCCGCATCCCCGCTGGTGACAATGCCCCTCTCCGCGCCTGCAAGCGGGCCCACCACCTTTCCAAGCCTCCGCATCCCGCCAAGCCCGGCCGTCGACAGCCCCGTGCGGTCGCCATACAGCGCACGGAGCATCAAGAGCCCCTTCGACTGGGACGCAGCCCTCAAGGCCAAGAGGTACGCCGATGTGAAACCCCCAACCTCGGCCGTGGGCTCCGGGGCAGCCCACTCGAGCCGCTGCGACAAGGGCAAGAGCGTGAGGCACATCAGGGAGGTCGTCACAAGGACTGTCACGTACACGCCGAGGATGGATCCGGCGCCCAAGGGGAAGAGGAGGAAGGTCGAATGACGAGGCTGTGCGGTCGGAATACGATGCTCGTCGCTTTTCTTTTGTTGGCACATTCATTAGCCCCCGGTATCAACGCCGCCGTCTCACGCCACGCATCCACATTTGCAAACTCGGGCCTCTCCACCTATCCAGCCCACCTCATCCACCCTCACCAACCCGCCACACCTAATGATGATGAACATGAACTGCTTGCCGTTTACGATCATAAAAAAAATGCCAGCAATCGGAGTTTTTTTTTCTTCCGGGGGAGGGGGAGGGACACGGAAGGGATTGAGTCATATTTTGGATATGTGCCACACATGTACAAATGCGAGAACACACACACACACACACACACACACACACACACACACACACACACAGCAATTGGCGTTGCTGGCGGCGTCTTGAAAGCCTTGTATCAAAGCTTGGATATACCCCTGGAGGCGGGGCAAGGGGCATCTCGGTGGACCAGCGATCGAATCTTTTATTGTTTTTTTTTTATTGTTTTTTTTTTTGGAGAGCCTCTAGGGACGGACCTCTTGGAGATGGCCAGGCCCACATGCGGGAACCGGAACCGGCGCATAGCTGACAGACAAGTTCAATGTGAAATCACAATTTCAAAGCCGAGTGCGAGAATGGTGAAGATGGTACACGGTCGTGGTGTCCCAGCGGTCTGGCGACTGAGACCACCTGTTGTTTGTTATTCCCGCGGCACCCCAGCCATGGAGGGCAGATGCCTTGCGAGATCAACACCACACGGCAAGGGGTCAGTATCGCAGAGGACTGCCCACGCGAAACCCTACGAGGAGAGCAATGATCGACATGCCAAGGCTCAAGAGCCGGCGGGAGAACACAACAAGGACCCAGGACGTCGAATCCGTTTCGAAACACAGCGGGTGCATTTGACAGAGGAACAACTGGGCTTGGCAGTCTCCGTTCGATCCCCGTGCCTACCAAAGGACCACGCCTCGACACAGTACTGACTGAGCTCTGGATACCTGCGGGTCTCCTTGCCAGCTGAGTCTCGAGGTGACAAGTTTTTTTTGAGGGGGGTCCGGTTCCGCCGGGGCTTCGCTCAGCCTGCATATCTCGCTTGCACACCGCCGAGATATGGGCCGGGATTGGGACTATGGATGGCACTCGAGTACTACTGTGTATGTATTGAATGGGTTGTGGGCTGGGGCCGGCAAGTGACATTGTGACAACGTGATGGGAAAGGGCAGTAGTGGTATTAGATGTATACTATACTGCCCGGTACGTACGGGTTTTTTGTGTGCTCCACAACTGCATGGATGTGTCACTGGGTACGGCTGGATGCTGGAGAACGGTAGCTTGGGCGTGGGCATGAGATGGCAAATGGGTCAAGGGGGGCACATGCGGTCCAGATACTATTAGTTGCGCATTTTGTGCGCCCTCGTACTCGCTGCTTTCATTGGTGCCGCTGGATCAAGGACGTCTTTTCAGTGGTGGTGGTGATGTCGCCTTATTGTATACGGCTTGCTAGGTAACCAACTACCTACTTAAGTACCTACCTAGTTAGGTAGGTACCCATCCTAGTATACCCATGTACTGCTTCTCTTGTATCATGACTACTCGGCAGGCATTCAAGCAAAACAGATAGATGGGATGAACGGCTTTGATAGCATGAGTAGAAAGAAGCGAGACAAACAGACAGCCTTGAGTCTAAGTACAGCACGCATTTTGGTGTCTCCTGTTTATGCTAACGCCAGATAGCACTAATAAGTGCAGGTTTCAGTAAACCTGAGTGTTATACTGTCCCCTCCTCCCTCCTCCCTCCCCCTCCCCCTGCCCCTGCCCCTGCCCCTGCCCCTCCCAGGCTTTCCCGACTGGCCGGCCGCCTGGTCGTTGCGCAGAACCTCGTGCCAACGGGCCGACATGGATCAGGGATCTAGATTGTGCAGCTCGTCTTACCACCAGAGCCACACGCCCCATCGTTAAGCGCCCGGCATCCCCATGTCGTGCAGTAGTCGGAGCCTGCGATTGGCCGAGCCGCTAAGCGCCGGGCCACCATGCACACACTTCTTCTAGCAATCGCTGTTGCAATCAGGAGGGGTGTTTGTGTTGGCGCGTGCTCCCTGCGTGGGGATGGAGCTGCTGTGGGGCCGGAGGGTGTCTATTACCTATCTTGATGATTTTTCGTTGGTATTCTTGCGCGTGTTTCTGTCGGAATAGGGTTTCTAAGTCGCAAGTTTGGGCTGAGATCCTAGGGCGGGACAAGAACAGTTGTCCTATGTGGCGGTGGGAATATCTGCGTCTCCTCGTGCTCCATTGGGCGGTGCATCTCTCTCGATAGACAGTTCACTTGCGCTGATGGGAACGATCTGGCTCAATATGGGGCCGGCTGCCATACAGATCCCGATATATACAGTTCAGGTCCTGGTTATTAATCATGTCTGTACTTCGTTGCAGCGAATGAACCCATCCCTTCTCCCAGTAGATCACAACGGTGAAACTTGAATGCTATGGGTCAGGCTAGAGGCAGCACTGTTCCGCTCCCGTATCCACCGTCCGGACGGCGGCCGACATTGCCAGGAGGGACACATCTCTGGCCCTGGACGACCTAAACATCGGCAACTACCACGCGTGCTACTTGTTTACCGCAATTTTTGGCCACAGATTTTGATGCCGAGTACACGGTCGAGCTTGTGGTAACATGTCTCAGAACGATCCTGTAGCACCAGCCGGCCTGGGAATGCCAAGGTACCAGTTGACACCTTGGACATTTGCCTCCATACATACTTAGGTAGCGCACACATTCACGCGTTGACGGGCGACAGGCAAGCGTATCACAGAACAATACCACTGCATGAAACAAGGTCCGAGAGTATTAGGACGCCCATGTGGTCAGCATTCAATAATGGTAGACTTCATTTGTAGTCAAATACACCTCTTCGTCCATTGTTGAAGAGAACGGATATTCACGTAGGAAGAAACGGATGGTACACAGGTACGTTATTTTCTTTAAGGCTGCAGCCAATTAGGGGGCTCCATTCAACCTCCTTGACTATACACACTACTAGTACTAAGTGCTTTTTATGCCCCTACCTATAGCAGACCTACTAATCCTCTGCCTATTAAACAACACTCTCTTATCAACTTATCAACTTACTAACTTGTTAACTACCTGTATAAGTACTTATAGGACCTTATAATAGAAGTGATGATGGGAGGATGAGGAATTAAGGATTGATGAGGATATGGTGAGTGGGTGGTGTAAATCAACGTTGGTGTACTAGGGGCGTATTTGTGCCTGTGTACTATCCGTTTTCTGCTGTGCGAATATCCGTTCTCTTGTTGAAACGGTCGCCCCAACCTGTCTTGTGCTTGAAGCAGGTAAATCATATAACCAATATGGCAGGGGATACTGTTTTATTTTCTCATATCACTCCTGTTCCCTATCCTTATGTAGAAACCTTGATAGGATAGGATTCCTGGTAGGTCTTCCAGTTGTCTTGAGGTCTGACCTAAGCTGCTCATCCAAACTCAAAACACCACGACAGGAACATGGCAGGGGTATCCGAGTTCAGCAAATATGTCACGCCCTTATTCAGGTGTTTCGGAAGAGGGTGCTCTTCCTCTGACCCACAGCCGCCAGTCAGGATGTTTGAGGTCAACTGGTGATGTTGATCTCAACAGGCGTCTGTGTCGCTGCCGACTCGGCCACAAGACTGTCGATGTGTTGCGCATCAAGCCCATGCCCAATTCTCTCAGTGCCGAGATCCAGTACGGCCCGGATTTCCACGGGTACTTTTACGGGCCCGCTCATCAGTGAGCCTCAGTCCCGCCTGTCTGGCATCCGCATATGCCTCGTGCAACTCCCTGGCTGGCCCTCGACCTCGTCGTCTCCGATGCCGACGCCCACGATGCTGGGAAATTGTGTTCTCAGTTGCGCTGCGAGCCGTAATATCTCTCCCACATACTCATGTCCCCACTACCGTACGGCGCCTGCGATCCACAGCAGTGAGAAGCAAGCCCCTTCAGCCTGGGCCTCGGCTTCGGCACGGAAGCACTCACCTGGGCAGTCTCCACCGCGGCCATGACTTCCTCGATGCATAGGTTCGGATTCCACCGCAGGATATTTCCCCACAACATGAAGACCTCTGTGTAGACCACACCCTGCGTGTGTAGTGCACACATGATCCCGGCAACAACAAGTATACACATGGTCTTGGGGTGTCTAGAGCCGGTCACACAAGCCTAGAGGTGCACTATAAATGTTTAAAGTCGCTATATATACACACTACATTCATTACTCTACTATAAGTAGTATTATATTATATTATTATAAAAGAAAAAAGACTATCTTAATATTATTATTTCTTTAAATATAAATAAAACTTTATTTTAAGATTATAATATAATTAAATTTATAAAAATAATATAATAAATAATATTAATAAAAATAATTTTAATAATAATAATATAGGCTGCGAAACCTGTCTCGGCGCAAAGCTCCAGATCTAGCAAGGTAAAGGTCGCACAGTCCGGACAACGGGGGAGAACAGTTACAGAAGCATGATCATCTCATTTCATCTCAGCACATCACCTCAATACCCGGAGAGTGCCGGACGACTATGCGGTCTGGCCCTTGGATGGGAAACCCAGGGGAGGGGAGGATAGACGGCCCGGTGGCTCTGGAAAAGGCCGCCCAGTTGCAAGCCGGCGGGCTGGCAGTCACTCTCCTGACTACACTATAACAGAGAGCCCGGGAATTCTGCCGGCCTGTCAGTGTGACAGAATGCAGGTCAGACAAAAGAAAAGCAAGAAACAGAACACTAGCCCACCGCTCCTCAGCCTCACCCAGTCATCCACCGGGGGGCCAAGAATATCGGCACTGCCTGAGACACGAGATAATGCTTCTTGTTCGTCCCACGCACGGTAGAGTGACACAAAGACAGGCCTCGCCCACGCGGCACGGGGTATTCGACCAACCCAGACACGGCCCATCGCGGCCGCTGCACAGCGGGCGAAAAGCAGCTCCGGGTTTGGTGCCTTCTTCCACGTGCTGAAGGGCTAGCCATGTCCCTCGGAAGTACCATCAAGTGTCGGCGTGGATGTGCAGATCTGATGGTGGCATCAACCGCTGGGCTTGGACTCGCGAGCCTGCCATCCCCCTCTCGTTTTCGGGGCGTGGACATGACAGCCGATCTGGAACCTAAAACGCCGCTTATCGTCCGTCGAGGTTTCCCTGTCAAGCACCTCATGGAGATTTCTCTAGGACCGCGCTGCGTGTCCTGCCTGCGAGGGCCAGGCACGCGCGAATGCTGTGAGATAGATGTGAGATAGATGAATTGAGGTGAGACATAGGCAAAGCAGGTAGGTGGGCATCATACATGCAACCACAGGGACCCGCCTGCCGTGTGGTGGGGACTACCAACCAACCGGCGCTCAGCTCAACTTTCAAGACAACCGGCTTTGCGGGCTTGATTGGCTGGCTGCACCGACCGTGTCTTGTTGAAGAAGAAGTCAACACCGGAGAGTGTGCCTAGGTAAGTTTAAACGAGACCATGGCGCCGTTGGGCGCCTGAGAGAGGTTGTGGGGGAGCAGACGTCGAAAGAGGCTGTCGGCGCATGTGGCAGCGGGCATTGGTGAGCCTTGTCCAGGCGGTGGGTTGAGGGCCGAGTTGTGATTGATGCATCGAAGCACCAACGACTGGGGACCACCCGCACTGTGGTCACTGGTCGCAGGCCGGGCCAGTAATAATCAGCCCGGGGGAGACAGGTGACGACAAGGCTGAAGTGGCCAGTGGCAGCCAGGAAGAAGCACAGCATCAGGAGCACCAGGAGCACCAGGGGCACCAGGAGTTGAATGCCACGCTGTAATTTGAGGACCAAGACAGCCACGCAGCCACGCCACCGGCCTGACGTTACCCGTCGTGCCGTCGGTCGCCAGGCCAGCGCCAATGTTGTCTGTGTGTCACCCACGACGCAGATGACGGCAACTCTATCGACTCTTGCCGCCCGCTGGGACACAGACGTCGTGCCCACGGCTCTGTTGCCATTCTGCATCCTCACTGGCTGTCGGTCCCGAGTTTCTGACCAACCCCAGGCCCCCCCCACTCAGCTCGTTGCTCGTTTGTGAGCCGCGGACGCCGCCAGTTGGCCAGAAAATACGAAACAGTTTCTGGCCACTCAGGGGTGCGAGTGATTCCTGTCCAACCAGAAAAACGATGCTGGACTGGGTGGGCGAGGCTGCAGGCTGCAGGTGCCTGCTGCCTACTCGTAGTATGTAGTACCTGGGGTAGCAGGGCACTAGTAGGTGTCGCTGCGTCGGCCGTCACTGATGGGTACATCCCTGCTGCCTCGCGTTGAAAGCGTCGCACAGCAGCCGCCGACAAAAGTCCCCATTGCGAGGGCAGCGGAGTGGGACTGCAGCACCGACGATCTGCCAGATTGCGCCCGCTGACAGATGGCTGAGTGATGCGGCCTGTTGAAGACACAATGACCGCATCGGTCGCCCGTCTCCGGATCTCGCCCCCCCCCCCCCCCCAAAGCGTCTCGTCTCGTCTCGTCAGGTCAACCCAACGAGGCGAGGCGCCCAAGGGCCGACAAGGCAGACAAGCCAGCAAGCCAGCAAGCCAGCAAGCCAGCAAGCAGAGCATCGCGCATCGAAAACATCTTGGGCACTCAGTCCATGCCCATGCCCATGCCCATGCCCATGCCCGTGACGGTCTGAGAGCTCGGGGAAGGGATCCGGTCACATCAGGTTCGCCAAGGGCCTGGCGCACAGAAGCTGTCCGGCCTCTCCAGACCCGCGTGGTTTGGGTTTCGGTGACCCAGCCAGCCTGCCAGCCTGCCAGCCTGCCAGCCTGCCAGCCCAGCGGGATCGAAGCCCCGGTGCCGCCTGTTCGAGCCCTACCGACTGCCGCGACAGTGCGGCCGCTGCCTGCTTGGGTTCTGCTTGTCTCCATGGCTGATATGGTTGATGAGGAAACAGTTGCAGCGTTTCATGCTCGGTATGTACCTGGCACTGTCCTCTGCCTGTGTATATCAGGGCTGTCAGGTTCGATGCCGGCTGATTCGAGGCCTCCAGAGCTGCCAGGATGCGCCAATTGTGGGTAGTCCCGACCGGAGCAAGCATGCGCCAGAAGAAGCGGGGGTGCGCAACGCGGGTTGGCGGGCTGGCGGGTCACACACAGAACTGACTGAGCATTTTCACGGGCGGATTGATGCAGTTTTTGACACGGCTGGCGTGCGCTTTTTCCGGACGTCAACAAAGAGGCCAGACCTTGCTATGAAGCCGCCTCCAGGACGCCGTAGGGCAGACCGCTACCAGAGGCAATCCCAAAGAGCATACCGAGAAAGGAAAAAAAAAAGACATCATGGCAGGTTCGTGCTCACCGACATTTCAATGGTGACAAGGTGGCACTCGAGCCGCGATGCGATGTCTTGGGGCTAGGGCTGCGTCACCAGCCCCGACGCGGCGGGAGGAGGAGGGCCCTCCTGGGTTTAAAGTTTACAGGCAGGCATTTCTGGACCCAGAGTACCCCAAAGCATCGACCGAGCCGGTCATGACAGGTGCCATTCGTCTCACGGCGACCTGGCACCATCGCGAAGGGGCCTTTGCTGGCTGGGAGCGGGCACACGGGGTATGTGGTGTGGCCTCGTAGCCACTGTCTACTTTATGTGCGCTGATTGTCTGTTGGGTGGAGGGAGGATCATGTCACGCTGCTGCACACACATTCTGCCTCCCTTTTGCCGTGGCAAGTGCATGCCGCTCTTGATTCTAGCCCCGGAGCTTGTTGGTTCCTGGTGGTCCGGACTGGAAGGCCGTTTCAAGTGTTGGTGTTTCCCATCACCGTGGCCTGCCGAACCCCAGTCTGCGCACAGTGCGCGCCAGGATCGGGACTTTGCATGTGGTCAAGTATAGAACTTGGCAGCTCCGCACAACGGTCCAATCCCTCCATGGTGAAGCAGCTGAGCAACGAGCCCATTCCTGCGCCTGTGACTGTTACTACTACCTAGGTACTGTGTATGTCAGCAGGTCTCGGATGCCCCCATGTGAAGAATCTCGATGCAGGGAGGGCGGCGTGCGACCGTGTCGGGCCGCGGCCCACGGCATGGTAGATGGAAGTCATCTCTAGGGCCGGTTTAGCGGGACAAGATGCCTGGCATTTGACATTGGGCACTTGACAATTTGGCTCTTTGACCCAAACCAAAGCTTGTGACAGCGGTGGCTGGTGCTGAGCGCGACGCCTCGACTGGTCGTTGGGCACACACAGCACGAGACTTGGTTTCCCCGGACGAGAGAAGGGGAAATACTGCGTGAACTAGACAACTTCAAAAGTCAAACGGGCTGACGGGTGGCAAGCGCAATGCCTTCACCAAGACCAAAGCGGAAGCTCAAACCCTTGAAAGAGAAGGGGGCGGCGGGCACTGATCGTTCGACGGATGGACGCGTCGCGCAGAAGTTGCTTCCGTACTGTGCGAGGAGATGGAGGGCGGGAGAGGGGGAGGGGGAGAAAAAAAAAGACGCCGAGCCGAGAACGAGGGGCAGGTACATCACGTCACCTCAGAACGCATGAGAAGAAGCTCTGTAAGCGGCGGGAGGTCGGCGGGCAGGGGGCCAAGGGGGCCAGGCGGCGCAGGTGATGAGCCTGAACCATGAGCCTGATGAGCCTGAACCTGAGGCTCAACCCGCACAACCTGAGGCGGCAATCAAGGTATTGGATGGCTGGCTGTGTGTGAGAGTGCGCCAGTGTGTGGTGTGCGTTGCGTTGCGTTTCTGCTGACTGCATGCAGCCGACTGCTACTGCCACTGCTAGTTGATGCTGAATGTTGATGCTGCGTGCGGTGCAGCAGATCAGATATTGCGCGTCTCCCGAGCCCAGTCGACCGTTGGCAGGGCCAGCCTTGCTTGGGATGACTTGACCAGAGAATGATGCATCTCCTGTCTGCCTGTCCGTCCGTCCGTCCGTCCGTCCGCCCGCCCGCCCGCCCTGCCTGCCTGCCCTGCCTGCCTGTCCCAGCCATCACCGATGGTCGGCAGCTGCCTGTAGGTATGTGCACCGTACTCGCCTATCTGGTAGCATGTGCCAGGAACTGCCAGGAACTGCCAGGGCCAGCCAGAACCATGCCAGAACCATGCCACACCCCCCCCCCCCCACCAGCCCCCCTCCCAGAAAGGAATTCAAGCTCGTCTAGCTGTTGCTGTTGCCGACTTCCCCTCACGAAATCTCACACTGTCCCTTGCCCCCTTTGCGAACCTGACGGAGGGCGAGGGCGAGGGCGAGGCTTCCAACCAGACAGAGAGCAGGCCCCCCCCCACCGGCTGGTGTTGATTTTTTTTCCCGCCGAGCTGGGTCCTCGTGTCCCCATCCTGGCCCTTCCTGCCCTTTGCTCCTTCCGTTCCCTTCCCTTGCGAGCCTGCCTGGGTCGGGCCCTGGCCCTGGCACTTGGGCCATGCTCCGGAGCAGGGAGGGACCCACAGCGGTGCTGAGTTGAGCCATTCACACCGTCGGATAAAGAAAGCTGCTCCCGCCCTTCCCCCCTTCCTCGAATCATCTTGCAGTCCTGAGTCTCGACCTTCTGGCCTTTCCCCCTCTCCAGTCCTGCAAGCCGTCGTCAGCCAGACAGAACCGACAGACCTCTCCTGGGCCCCAACAGAGTTCCCAACCAACCCGCCCACTTCCGCCCAATCCAAATCATCCTCCGCCGCCGCCGCCGGCCAGCCAGCCAGCCAGCCAGCCAGCCAGCCAGCCAGCCAAACCCGCAGCCCCCTCCACTCTTTTTGTCGTGACTTGGGCCAATTGCTGGCTTGTTCGCCCTGAAGCTTCGCAACACCAATCAATCCACGCTCTTTATTTCCAATCCAGTCATATATGTGAATCTCGGCCTGTTACGACGGCATCGCATCACAGCACACCTCTTCTCTTCGCGCGTGCAGCCGACAACTGCGCACCGACCAGCAGCAGCAGCAGCAGTCACCGACGCATCGATTGGGTAGGTCATGCTCTCCCCTCCCACCAAGCCACCTCGCCCGTGCCGGATGCAGTCGCGTCGAGTCCAGACGACACATCGTGAGTGCCAAACCCCTGGGTGCGAAACACCCAATCAGCTAGCGGGCAGCCCACACCCGTCCTCGGCCGTCGCGTTTCATTTGTCGTCCAGGCTCTCGTCCAAATATTCCTGCCCCGGATTCTCTCTCCCGTCCCACGGCACCCAGTCCTGCCAGTCTGCACCGCGCCCACGCAAGCACGCACCCGCAGAGTGTCTGAGCTCCCCCTCCCCGGGGCTCCAGCTTTTCCCAAGCTCTTCCCAAGCTCTTCCCACCTGCCACTTTGTGCGCTTTGTGTTGTGGCCCCATGGCCTACAAGCCAGCCCCGAACCTGTCGCTGACCATGGGCGAGACGAGCCAGCCTGCAGATCCCTAGTTGCCCGCTAGCCCTGTCCTTGACAAATCGGGCGAGTCGAATCCTCGTCCAAGCACAAACGGCCCGGCACAGCCAACACAGCAGTGAGGACGCCTCGTCTTGTTTTCTCCACGTTCCGTCAGCCTCGCCATAAAGTGCTGCTTCAAGCAAAGGTGCGGAATTATTTGAGTTGCTTCTTCTGTCTCGATCCTTCTACAACGTGCCCCGGTGTGCATCAGCCAACATGTTCCTGTCATTCCCCTCCTGCCCATCCACTTTGGTCCTGCAGGTCGCGCCACGGGGTCGGGCGCCGACGTCATGGGCCTGCTGCACACGGCTGCACAGAACAGAAAGACGAAGCTGAGGCGGAGAGGGAAGTCAATCGAGAAAAAGAAAATAGACCCCAGGCCCCAGGCCCCAGCCCGGCCCCAGCCCCAGCCCCAGCCCCAGCCCAGCCCGGCACACAGGCTCTCGTCTCAGATGGATTTGGTCGGTCTGCCTGATGGCTCCATGAGTCCAGGTATATGGGCCGTCCACGGGCGCCATCTGCCAACCATCTGTGCCGATATGACAGACCCAGCGCAGCGGCTCAGTCAACCTGCAAGGTGACAGCCTCGCAATCGTATTCCCCGTTGACTGTTATTGTTGCTGCTGTTGCTGCTGCTGCTGCTGCCGCCGCCGCCGCCGCCGCCTTCGCCTTTGGTCCTTGGCCCATGGCCAGGCAGGGTCTGGTCAATTCCATCGTCGACACCCGCCAGCCTCGTCATCGCGTCACCCCGACCCCCTGATTATTCCGATCCGTCGTCGAGGGTCCGTCCCACTGGTCGCACACCCGCGGGCTTTTCTGCCTGCGAGTGGGCCATGTGGGCCCGCCCATCCCAGCCGTCAACCAGTTACCGCCCTGGCGCACACACAAATAAAACGGCCTGACCAGCCCAGCAAATCAGCTAACACCGTCTTAGATTTGCGACACCAGCCCGGTATCCTCACCACTACCACGCTTTTAAACCTATCAAGACCGTCAGCTTCGCACTTGACGGTCTTCATTGGCTGCCCCCATAGTCCCGTGATATCAGCGGCCTGCGGCAGCGGATTTCAACGTCTTCAAACGCCAGTCTATCAGATCGGCCAGTCGTCCGTCGCCATCTTAGCAACGCACTGTGATCCTTGGGGTCCTACTCCGTCTCATCCACCCTAAAGGTAAGCCCTGACCCGTTTGTGCCCCGTCAACCCTCTTGCCCTTCTTCCCTGAGGTGCCCAGCGACTTCCGTCTTACCACACCACCTGGGCGGCCTCGACCTGGTTGTTGTTGCTGGGTGCGAGCCACGACCCGTCGCTCTCTGTCGAGACGAGAATGCAATGCAGCAACAGCGTGGCCCCAATCTCGCTGCAACAATAGCACCGCCGAGCGACCACCCTGTGCGGCCCTTCCTCCTCGGCATCCCTCTGGCGCCCACCGCCATGCATCATGAATCCAGCAGCTAGACATGCTGACCAAGTCCTTCCCAAGCCCAGAGAAACCACGAGGGCCACTGGCTCCCCTCTAGAGTCTCGTGAGAGAAGCTGGTACGTTGCATTTCTTTTGTGTCAGGCTCGTTTGCCCGTCGCGGTGGTGGCCCTTCCCAAGCCGGGTGGGTGGGTATTCATCCAGCTTTGCCATACCCTCCGCCATGAGACCACCGGCACACCACCAAATCTCGAACCCCTCACCCACCCACACACACACACACTCACACCCAAACGCTCGGGAGTATTCTCTAAGATTGGAGAACCCCGCCATGGGCTAAATGTCGCGCACCTGCGGCGCATCGGGCCTGGACGGTCGGTCATACACACACAATCCCTCTCACCACCTGTTCCTTCCTCCGCGCCGCACTCATGCAGCATGTGTGTTAAATTGGTTCGTTGCGGGCGGCACAAGCGTGTCCGTTTATCGCATCCCACCTGTGCATTTCAAGGCTTGGGGACTCGACGGCCACCTTTGTCATGTGCTGCTGGGTGCGCACGTTACCTTGCACAACATAAACTTGCCGCTCTAGGTCCAAACGTGCTCTTGCATGTAGGCCTATTCTACCTGCTTTGTCAACAGGTGCATCATCCTGTGATTTGATGTCGCACGTGCATTCTGCCCCTCAAGTTGACAAGACCGACACCTGGATCGGGGCCAAGGGCCCTTACCCAGCTGTCGTACCAGACAGAGTGCTTGCATGCATGCCCGGATCCTTGGTGTCATGCACAGGTCATGTCACATTGATCGCTTTCCTTGCTCGTCTTTTTTTTTTTTGAAGGTGATTGTTGCGATGTCACTATCTCGTCCTGATTGCCATCACCCTCGGGAACAAGTTCTGGCAGTGGGTGGAGGTTGAGCTGGCTTACATGGTAGGCCCGGCTCGTGCATACTCCGTCATGCATGCCAGCGCATCAAGTGGGAGACCAGGGCACAAAGCATCCCTACCTGACTGCCACACCCCGACCATCTGCCCCTCGTCTATCGATTTCGGTCCCGGCTTCTACGCCTGACATTCTATTTTGCGCACAACAACTAATGTCAATGGTTGGGCAGATCCTGCAAGCCGATTTGAAGCATACACTTGAGTCCAAAGCACCGGATCCTTAGGGAACGAGATCCCCCAAGTCGTTTCGTCAGAGCTTCTTTCGCGACGGCCCGCAACCAGCCGTTGGGATTTCTTTGACCAGTCAACGTCCCCGCATTGCATCTTGCTTGGGTCAGTTCGTTAAGTACCAAGTGGATCACCATCTCCATTGGCAGAGATCTCCTTGCCGTTCAATCTCACGTGGCTTCATCGCCCCCGGACCCATCTCGCCCAGGGACCTTGCACCTCAGCCCGCCCCGCGTGTACATCAGCTTGCATGTGCCGTGGTGCAGCCAATTGCGTAGTTCGGCTACAACCTTTGCGACTGCCAGCGCATCCACGCATATCCAATAGATTGGGTGTGCACCAAGCCCAGGCCACGGGTAACTCAGTGACGACAAGCGACGACCAACCCATCCTGGCGCGCAGTGCCCAAACCAACAACTGATCCAGACTTCATACCCGACTGTATCACAGAGAACCTTCAACCCTTCTGTGATATTATCATCCAGTCCACCTATCTTTGGACCTCGACGACGACTTTCACCTCCTTCGGCCGTGATACCGTGAATCTCTCTCTCTCTCCCCCCCCGGGCCGAGCACCAGGAAGACCATTTGACCTGCACCCTGTACCAAGCCAGCCCCCGAACTCACACAGAGCTCCCCAAAAAGAGGCCGGCAAGCATGATGGAGTACGCGCAATACCAGCACAATCCACAGAATTCGCAGCCACACATCTCAACAGCCTATCCCAGCTCGACGGGCGCTAATAGTATCACGTCGCCCCAGGCACAGCACATACAGCAGTCGCCTGTACTGCCGTCGCAACAGCAGACGACACCTACCCAGAGTCACGCCATGTACCAGCCACAGTACGGCATGCCCCAACATGCGGGCATGCAATATGGCGTCCCCGGCATTCAGGCCGCAGCCATGGCCGCGACGGCTGCCGCATCGGGATCAGCCTACCCTTACCCCATGTCATCGGACGCAAACCTGCAGACGTCCCCTAGGATGGGCAGCATGAAGACCAAGACCGAGCCCGGCCGTGATCCGCGGTCACCCCAGCAGATGAACAGCATGCCTCAGCGGAGGATGAGCCAAGTCACGAGCCCTGGTGTGCCCAATCCCCAGGCCATCATGAACCATGCCGCCGGCCGCCCCTCGGTGGCCCCTCCAATGCCACCTGGCCAGGCTATGCAGCACCCCCAGTCTCCTGAGATGCCGCAGGGCCAGGAAGAGTCGCCTCTGTATGTCAACGCGAAGCAGTTCCACAGGATTCTGAAACGAAGGGTGGCGAGGCAGAGGCTGGAGGAGGCCCTGCGTCTGACCAGCAAAGGTCGCAAGCCTTACTTGCACGAGTCTCGACACAATCACGCTATGCGCAGGCCTCGCGGCCCAGGCGGCCGTTTCCTCACGGCAGACGAGGTTGCAGAAATAGAGAGGAAGAAGGGCGATATCGGTGGCGAAAATAATGAGAATGACGAGGATGCAGCATCGAGGCTGGGGTCAAAGAGAAAATCCGTGGGTGGTGCGGACACGCCGAACAAGAGAAGCAAGACGGACACGGAGAGCCCTGATGAAAACGACGAGGACGAGGATGAGGAGTGAAGATGAGGCAGTGCGCTGCGAGGGACCGAATCGGACTGTTCTTATTGCAGCTCGGACGAGACGGTTCCGATTCCATTTGTCCACACGATTACGACGTCATGACCGCGAGAAAGATTTCGATTACCCACGTTATCTCCTTATGCACACACGACCTGGACGTCGGAGTTTGTTTGGCGCGGAGTTTGGCACGGCTGATCGATGTCTCTGCTCCGACAGAACGCACGCACGCCAGACGGACGCTCGTTCGATACCTTCATGTTACCCACTTCAGCCACGACCCTGCACTAAACTTGGGACCTACGGTGAGGGTCGGCCCTCCACAAGTGGCCCAAGGGATGAAGGTGTTTGGGATATTACAAGGGAGGGAGGACCACAGGACTGGTTTTCATTTTTGTCAGACCTTGTGCCACACGGTAATTGATGATTTGGATAGGGAAGAGGCGCGGAAGCATGGTACGCTTGGGGAAGAAAAACGTGTTTACTCCGTCTCTCTGTCTCTCTCTTTCTCTCTTTGTCACGAAAAACTTGCATCACGACACCCCTGGTAACAAAGTTGAAGGATACCCAATCATGCTCTTTATTTTTCTTGCTCTGCTATCTGCTCCTCGTCTCATTTCTCGGACTCCAAATCCCGTATCGTCACATTGTTTTCTCCATGTCGTGATTGCATCCTGTCCCAGTGGGGTCCACTTCGCTTCTTGTTTCTACTTGGACTATCTATGGTGAACGGAAAGACGCACGGTACTGTGTGCCAAGCAGTGACTACCAAGACGAACGAAGCCGGCCTGTGACCCTGTACGTTCGTTTGTTTCCGGAAGACGAAACTTTTGTTTCTACGGTTGTTATTTTCCTTTCCTTATTCTGACGCCTTCACGAAGTAAATTCAACGAGTGACACCCCGCCTTCCAAAAGAGAGGGAAAAAAGAAAAAAAAGGAAAAGCCGAATGCAGACAAAAGAGAGTCGAAGAGACAGAGAGGGACAGAGAGGGGGGTGGCATTGTCAGGCCCAGGTAGCAAGCGGAGAAGGACACGGCAGCGACACCAAGCCATCCCAAAGCATACATACAGAACCCAATTTTCTTCTTCTTCTTGGGGGTTAGGTTAGGGACTTATCTTAAGAAATTGTCTCAAGACGGAAATACGATACCTAAGTTTTTTTTTTTTTTTTTTTCTCCTTTAACAATTGCTCCTGACATATCGTCAGCCACACTGGGTGTCTCAGATCTGTCCTCTGATGCGAGTGAAACTTGAAAGTAGATACACTGCAGGATGTAGTTAGTCGGGCAGCAGTCAGTGACTGAGGTTTGTGCAGGGAGGCCCAGCCCAGCCAACCATAAGGCTGTGAGGGTCGCATAGCCTTAGTTTTGGATGTCCTGGGTATCAGTGGACTGGATGCGCTCTACAGGGGTGACCCCTGTCTGCTTAGCTCAGCGTCGGCCAGAGGGCCTTGCGGTGGGCGCCCACTACCTAGCTAGCTGCCTTGGCAGCCACTCAGTAACAAACGTCAAACGTCAAACATCCAGACATCCACCAACTCAGCCTCCTCTGCCCTGCGATAATCCCAAGCAAGACGACGGCGGCGCGGGCAATTGACGCCTCGTGACTAAGCTCCCCTTCACATCATCTCATATCGCCTACTTGGTTACTCTTGGCCCCGCTCGTGACCCCCAAGCTTGGTTGGATCAACGGCACCGAGACGATCCCTGCCAGATTCCGAGGCAGTTCGAACGCAACAGACTCACACACGTGCGCCCTGCCGTGGCCTCTCTCACTCAGGATGCTATTCTTCAGGTGAGTTATCCGGCATGTTTCGGGGGCTTTTGCATATCTGTCCGTCCACAGGGCATCATGGCTCAAGGGGACCGCCATTGCCAGGGGCGTGTATGAGACGGAGCCGCGAGTGAGGGACTATGTATGCTCGCGAGACGGACTGGCTGTTTTCACGCGTGCATTGTCCCGCTATTACGGGTGGTCCGCTGGCTCCTGCTCCTGATGATGGGCGACGGCTCTGACCTGGGATCTGACCTGCCTCCTGCACCTCGCCTGTTCGGGGTCTCTTGAGATGCAGAATCCCTCTTGCACCACATCATATCAGGCTGCAAACCCAAAAGCCACGCCCACTGACAAAGCGTCCCTGTCCGCTCCGGGCCAACAGTTTCTTCAAGACCCTCATCGACCAGTCCGTCACCGTCGAGCTCAAGAACGACATCAAGGTGACGGGCACGCTCAAGTCGGTGGACCAGTACCTCAACATCAAGCTCGACGACATCTCGGTCCACGAGGAGCTACGCTACCCCCACCTGAGCGCCGTCAAGAACGTCTTCATTCGCGGGTCCGTCGTCCGCTACGTCCACCTGCCCGCCAGCGCCGTCGACGTCACCTTGCTGGAAGATGCCGCAAGGCGAGGTGAGTTTCCCCTGCTTACACTGTTGCCTCCATGGCACTGCGTAATTTACCTTCCCCACCATCGCGGGGGCGTCGTGCGGTAGACTAGCAAAGTCATTTTGCTGACCAAGCGGTGTTCCGTCTTCACAGAGGCTTCGAACCAGGCGGCCAAGGTGAAGTGAGCAGGTGAGGCTAATGTGGATGGGTAGGTGGCAGGGCAGGGCAGGGCAGGGGGGAGGGGTCGTGATCCTGCGGGGAAAGGCAGTTTAGGACGCGGTTCAGCACGATGGAGGGTAAGGAAAGCTAGCAAAAGGAGAGAAGCTGGACAAGACTGGGCGGGAGGCCCCCTTCACTCGACCATGGACGCGGCAATACCCAGAGAACGGTATAGGAGGGATGAGACGAATCGGGATATATCGCGTCTTCTCGATCATGACTGCATCTAGAACGCTAGTCTCGTCCTTGGTCTTTTGTTACATGCGCTGCTGCTCCCTTACTGCCGGGGGTTTCCCCACGGCTAGCCCAACCAGTGGCGGAACGGTGTGCTCGTGAAGTGTTTGGCTCTCGTGGCAATGTGTACATGGCTGTCAAACTGGACATGGAGCCGAGTCGGCTTGGGACAGTCAGCATTTGAGGCGCCCGCCACCAGGGCATTACCAATACACGCCGCCTCCCCGCCCATCCTTTCCGTCCCACATGGCGGTATTCCCAGCCCCGTGACCCTTCCCGTCCCTCCCCTGCCGTGCCTCCCCATCACTCCCAAGCTCGTCCTCGCCCCCGTCGCCGTCCTCTCGGATGAGCCTTACGACCCCGCCCCTCCGCCTCTCGGCCAGCCACCGGTCTGTCCATCCGCGCATGCGGCGGCGCGACGGCTCGCTGCCGACGTTGACCGTCGGCACAACGCGCTCGATGCGCAGCGACATGACGAAAAGCATCAGTTCCCTGAAACTCGAATGCTCGCTGTAGGGCACCCCGAAGCACATTGCGTCGCGCGAGCTGCCCTGCTGCGGCACCAGATCGCGCGGGCCGAATCGCGTGCGCCAAGCGTGGCCGTGCAGGATATGTGCCGTGGGCACGGAGCTGGGCGGCATGTTGGCCGTAACCTGCGCCGCGGAGGAGCCACCACCAGTAACACCGACGCTGCCGTTGTTGTTGGCGAGGCTGGGCCGGTAGTTCCACCCGCTGGGGCGGAACCCGACGACGCGGCCAAAGTGGGGCCGGTTGGCGTCGAGATACTCGGCCAGCGTCTCGGCGCGCAGCTCCATGAGCATCTGCATGTGGACTTGGGCCTCGGCCGGTTCGGACGTCATGAGCGCGGCCAGCTCTGGGTCGCCCAGCTGCGAGCAGATGCGGATCTTGGCAGGTGGCGCAAAGATGCGCGTTCCCAGCGCCTGCGCAATGGCTTTGCAGATGCGCTCCTTGCCGATGCTGTACGTTCCGCAGACCACCAAAAGCCTGTTGCGGTTGTCGCGAGCCTTCTGGCCTAGTACCGAGAAAGCGTTTGGGCCGGCGCCGGCGGCGGCGGCCTGTGTGGAGGAAGAGGAGGAACTGGACGTGTTGGCAGTGGTGGCTGCGGCAGTTTGGCCCCCTTGTCTGGGTCCCGGGATGGGCGGCTTGTCGGCCGCCGTGACGAAAAAGCGGCTGACGGTATCATTGTTCCCCACGCCGCGGCCCTCGCGCCGGCGCAGGACGCTGTTCCACACGGATTCGTCTTCTGCCCGCAGACTCTTGTCCAGCTCGAGGCACAGATTCGCTGTTGCGTGGATAACGTCGGTCTGCGGCGGAAAGGAATAGCGCGGGTTGAGATAGGTCGTGTCGAGGTAGCAGACGTCGATCTTTTGCTGTTTGACTTTGCCCAGCGCATCGATCGTCTCTGGCTTCAATTGCGGGTGCTCGATATGTGCCGGACACGCCCGGAAGTCGCCGCAGTGCAGGATGCGTTGCACGCGCTTCTCCTTTGGGCGTGCGTTTGGGCTGTGGCTGGGGACAGTCTTTTCAAAGAGAAACAAGGAGCTTCCAGGACAGTGGTTTGCGGGGATCATGGTCACAAATGCCCCGTCGGTCCCCGGTATGGGGAGCTTCTTTTCAAACTCCAACTCCACGACGTACTTCTCCGCCGTCCTGAGCTGAGACTTGACCAAGTTTCCAGTCACCTTGCTGCAGTATATGGGGCCATGTGTCCAATTGGCCGTGAGGCCGACATAGTGGTCGCTGTGGAAATGGCTGAGGAAATACGCTCTACAGCCATCAACCGCGCCATACCGAAAAGCATCAACGCAGATGTGAAAGCCCGGCATGATCTTGTAGAAGGGGCATGTCCGCTGGTAGGCAGGCTTCCCCCGGGCTGCATTCTCGGCTGCGGCTGCAGTGGCCCAGGCAGTGTCCTCAGCATGACCAGACATGAGCCTTGAGAAGGCGGTCGTAGGGTTGCCGCCATCCTTGCTTGGCTCGCCGCCGAGCTCTATCGGATTCACCTGGCCAGGCCGCGCGACCGCGGCGCGGGCGAACCGTTTGCCGACCTCGGGTGCTGACACCAGGCTAGCTGTCCTCTCGCCCAGCACCTCGTCACCCATACGCTTCGGTTCGGGTGAAGGCGCATTCGCGGGTCTGGCCGATGGCAGGGGAGTAGGGCACCCATCGAGACACGAGTTGACGTGCACTGTGGCCTGGGCAGGCGTGACGCCCGCGAGGCTGCTACTGCAAATCGGACAGCTCTCCGTCATGCCGTCGTCTTCCATCAGCGTCTCGAGCCCGTCGTCACAGGTCTGCGCCCCGGCTTCTTGGGCCTCGATCCGAGCCTGCTCCTTGATAAACCGCATCTCGCGCAACTCCTCGCCCTCGAATATGTCGTCGCCGTATTCCTCATTCTGGCCCTCGAGATCGCCAGAGTCTTGGACCTTCGGTGATTCGATCTTGCGGGGGGTTGAATCGGAGGTCGGGGAGGTCGGGGAGGTCGGGGAGGTCAATCTGCAGACTGGCTCAGGGGCAGTGGTTAGACTCGTCCTCTCCAGATCCTTTGGCGTCGCTATCCATACTTTGTGGTCCTCCTTGTGCAAGGGCGGTTGAGTGGGCAGTGGGCTGCCCGGCCGGCCTGGCGTAGCTTTACCACCGCTGTCGGGCCGGGGCTCGGGCTCGGAGTCAGAATCATCCAAGAACGGGCCTTTCCGCGGCTTCCTCGACGGCGGAGACGACTTCGCAGGCATCGGTCTGGGCCCTGGCTCAGCTTTGGCGCCGATTGGCACAAGGCTATCGTCAGCTCCATCCCCGCCACTGCTGAGTTTCCTCCTCTTGCTTGGAGCCTGTGTCTCGTTGTATCTAGCTTCCAAGACCGGGTCCTCGGCGCCATAGATGTCCTCCCCTCGGGCTGGCTTTTGATCCACCGAGGCTGCAGCATCGCCACCCACGAACATGGACTCTTCGGGACGGTCAACCTTTTGGAAGAAGTTGAGGATGCTCCTATTTGCTGTGCTAGCACGCTTTGTGGTCCCCCGAGTGGAGGTGCTGGGCGACGGGCGCGTGTTCTTGCTCGTCTTGGAGGGCGCCATGGCTGCTGCTGGGTCTGGTCAGGCCGGGTCGAATGTCGGTGGCGGTGGCGGGGGCGGCAGTCAAGCCGGGAATCAAGCGACGCTGCGGCTACGGCGGGGTTTATGTGTGCTTGTCTGTGTATCGTGCCCAGGTGGGGACGGCCTCTTGGGAACGGGTCTCAGCAGGTGTCGGTTCATACCGGGTTTGGCATTGATTGGAAGACGACGAGGCCAGAACAAGAACACAGCAGACGCGGCACAAAGGGAGACCAGCCTACAGGGGTGACAACCAAAGTCGTGACGACGTGTGGGGCAGACGCGAAGAGCTCGGGCCACCTCTTTGCGCGCAGTCACGGGAACCACCATGCCAGGTTCTCTGTCTACCTAAGTACCTAGGTACCTACCAATAGCCATAGGAGACTCTGCGTGTTGTTTCCCACCTTTTCGGCTGGCCTTTGTTGCGTGTCATGCAGAGGGGCAAATCTCACAAAGTCCGGCTCGTTGAGCGGCTCGGTATCCTTGATTCTGGTCCATAATTACACATGTATTAATAGACTAACCAGAGATTTCCCCAAGAAGAACAAGCTAATAATGAACTGAATTAATTATATATCAACATTCTCTCATACCGCGGGACGTCATGGATTGCATGAATCAGCAACAAATCGCTTTTCCGGACAGACCTGGCGTTTTTCCTGCATCATCTACTTAACATACAGCCAACATTCAAATCAACCATCAAAAGTATTCCTAAAGCAAGCTTCCGAACGATGAGCCTCTCACCTGAGCGCAGCAAGAGCCTTCTAAGTTACCTTTCAGGTGCACATCGCCAGCCGAATCAAAAAGCATCATTGTCCTCGACACGGCAACCCTTCAGCGAGAGGCCTCAGCGCAACAGCACAGGTGTGACCGATGTGAGATCCTATCCAACTTATACCCCTAGAACAGATGAACACAGATACCAGCACCGCCGACACAAGAGCAGCCGATCCTTGGACTATCGGTCGAGCTATAGGGGCGATCAACTGCCTCATCAGCCTGAATCAAAACATCAGCGCCAAGGTTCGTACTTTGAGGACTCAGACTCGGACTCCCATAGGGAGAAAGAGAAATCCTTCTTCTCACGCGCTGCTTTCTTGGTAGATGACCGACGCCATTCTCACACTAGCCAAGCTGGGAAAAGCACCATCTATCTCCAGTCGCCTCTCGAGTCACCCGGGCGCCGAGAGCCCACCCTCGCGGACGCAAGGAAGCACCACATTGCCCCAGGAAGGTGTCTGAAGCACTGGGACCCAGACAAGGAGCCTATACTGCTACTCACGTCAGTCTTTGATACTTTCTCTCTCGGAAAATGGGCGCTCGGACAGACGGCGCGCATCTACGGAGAGCAGGACGAAATGACAGATCTCGCCACAGAGTTCTGGTTGGAACACCGAGACCTGGGCACAAATATCAAGCATGCGAAGAGCCACTTGCCACAAATAACGGATCCGGGTACCCATGAAAGAGTCAGCCAGTCCATCACTTCCGGCGGTCAGCTTGTCAATCAACTCGGGGAAGTACTGAAGAGATGTGAGCAACGTGTCCTGGAGGTGACGGGCATAAATGAGATCCCAAAGCTCGGCCACAAAAGTGTTGTTGTCTTTATTGACACCTTTATCGGCCGCAACCCTGCGCAGCAGACTGCATTTCGTAACCTTATACGCAGTATGAGGACATGGAATAACCAGTTTGACGCTGAATGCTTGAAACTCATGGCGTAGGAAGTCGATGTTAGGTTGTCATTGAATCAGGTTACCATTCCTTGGAGTGGATGGCTTTCTTCTACTCAAGTGCTACCTCTCTATTGGTCTCAAGTAAATATGACTACTAACTCTTTCAAATCGTCAATGTGAAAGCCACCTTTACTGGACTTTTGCGTCTAATTGGATAATTAGTGAGGGGCGGACACATGCTGGAGCACAGGGCCTGTTGGCACAGCTCCGGACTACCAGAAATTTCTGTCGCGGTCTTGCCCCTCTCGTTCAACGCATTGCTAGAATTTGAGGATCGGGTTGCCGCTGATCCTCCAGCATAAGCACAATCGTTGTGCTCGTTGATAATATCAACACAGGTCCTCATTCAAACAAACACAAGTATGATCCCGGTCCTATTACCATCGTCTCGGTATTCACCTATGAACGAAGTCCAAAAAAGGCCTCATCCTGATCTTGACCATGCACGGCACGAGATGCAGGCCTGCCCACAAATATACTGTATTCTCTCTAAGCTTTTGTTAGCATTCTTTTTTTTTAAAAAAAAAGGAAAAAGAAAAAGAAAAAAAAGCTCTAGGTCTTAAGCGTTTACCACCATATAAAGGCACTATATATGTCCTTAAATATATATAAAATAGAAGTAAAACTATATAATAAAATATTTAATTAAAAAATTAAAATATTAAGTTTATAATTTAAACTTTATATAATATATAAATAATTTATAATATTATAATATAAAATTATTTTTAAAAATATTTATTAAGTTTTTAAATACTTTTAAAATAATAAAATATATTTATATATATAATTTAAAAATTAAATAAAATAATAAATAAACTTTAAATATTTATTTTTAATTATTTATTAAATAAAAGCTTTTATTTTAAGTTTAAATAATTTATTTAAAAGTTTAAAACTTAAATAACTTTTTAAATATAAAAGTTAAAATTTATTTTTTTAATTTAAAATTAATATAAATTTAAAACTATATATATATATATATATATATAAAGAATTATTTAATTAAAAATTAAAATTTTAAATTTATAACTTAAATTCTATATAATATATAAATAAAGCTAATATTTATACACTTAATAAGTTAATTTACACACTTAATATTTTATTTCTATATACTTAATACTTTTTTTTATATATATAACCTATATAAAACTATATATTTAACTAAGATTCTTTAAATTTTTAATACTTTAAGTATAAGCTTTTTCTAACACCCCTTTTAAAACCCTTCACCTTTACTTTTTAAAACCTCTTTTAAACCTTTTAACCTATATACCTTTAGGTATATTTAGGTACTAACTAAATATTTAAATATTAATTAAATATTAAAAGGTTAGAAAGTAAGAAAGTAAAAGTAAAAACTATACTTTTTTTAACCTTTTAACACCTCTTTTAACCTTCTAACCCTTTAAACTTTTAACCTTTTAATATTTAATTAGTATCTAAATACTTAGTTAGTACCTAAATATACTTAAAGGTATATAGGTTAGAAGGTATATTAGAGGGTTAGAAGGTGTGCTAGAAGAGCTGTTAGAAGGTAATGTCCCTAGCTTACATTCTAATAATTCCCTAAATTTAACTACCCTATACTTATATTTATATATATATATATCTATTTCTACTCTATTTATACCCCTTTATAACTTTATAAAATTTTTTTAATTATTAAACTTTTTTAAATATTATTTTAATTATTATAAAAGTATAAAAAAGTTTATAATATATTTATAATAATTAAAAATAAAATATTTATATAAAAGTTTTAAAATTTAATATATTTTATATATTATATTATAAAATTATTTTTTAATATATAAAATAAATCTATTATTTATAAATTTTATTAACTTTTTTAATATTTAAAAGATTAATTAATATTATTTTTAATTAATTAAAATAGTTTAAATTATATTTTAACTTATTAAAAATATAAACTTTAATAAACTAAATAACCTCCTTCTTTTCTAATACCTTTTATTAAAAATAATTAAAACCTTTTAATCTATTACTCTATCTTTAAAAATTATAAATATTAATAAATTAAAGTAAAATAATTAAAAATAATAATAAAAAATATATTTATATAATTTAATTTAATATAACTATTTATTATAAAGATTATTAAATTAAATAATTATTAAAATATTAATAAAAAGAATTAATAAAAGAAAGTTTAAAATAATATTTATAATTAATTATTTAAAAACTTTAATTTATATATATAAATCTTTTATAAAGTATATATTTATTATAAATAAATCTTTAAACTCTTTTATTATTTTTAAAAATTAAATATATAATAATAATAATTTCTTATAATTTTAAAGATTATATAGGTTAATAGTTTATAATAATAAAAAAGCTAAATAAAAACTTATTATAATTAAATAATTAAGAAAAGTCTTCCTCCTTTAAATTATATTAAAAACCTATTTAAATAATACCTTCTTATAATTAATAAGTATTATATATATATTATAATTAACTTTATATAAAAATACTTTTAAATAATATTTATATTATTTTTTATTAATTTTAATTTACTTAAAACTACCTTTAAAAATATTTATAATATTAAAATAATTATAATTCCTTATTAATAATTATAAAAGGTTTCTTTATTATTATTATAAAATATATATTAAAATCTTTATAAAGTTAAATATTTAATTTAAATAATAAATAATTAATTTATAATTATTCTTTAAATATAAAACCTTTAATATATACTTTATTAAAAATTAATAAATTATTAAAAAAAAAAGCTATTATTAAATAAAATAATATATATTTTTATATTAAATAATATTTTTATTAACCTTAAAACTATTTTTAAAACCCTTAAATAATTATAAAATTATATAATATAATAATTAAGTATACTTATAATAAATACTTAAACTTTATATAATAACTTCTTTTTTATAAAATTTTAAAAATTAAAATTAAAAAATATTAATTTAATAATATTTATAAAAAAGTTTAAAAATTAAAATATTAATTAAAAACTAATAGAATAGCTTAAAAAGGTTTAACTTAATTTAAATAAGTTATTTATAAATATTAAAGTAGTTTAATAAATTTAAATTAAAGTTAAATAGATATTTAAAAAAAGTAATAAAAATAATTAATTAAAAACTTTAACTATTAAAGAGAATAAAATTATAATAATAATATAGATAGAGTTAAGATAAAGGGGTAGTTAAAGGAAAAAATAATTAGATTTAAGGGACTATTAGAATATAGGCCGGGGATATTAAAGGTAAAGGGGTTATAAAAGGGGCTTATACTTTAAATATTAAAAATTAGAGAAAATAATTATCCTATAGGGTCTCTTAGTATTAACTTAGAAAGTACTTATAAATATAAAGAAGTTATTAAAAAAAGTAGGTACTAAATAAGTAGAAAGAAAACACTAGGTGTATAGACTAACTTGCTGGGTGTGTGGACGCTAGCTCATATAAGTATAGTACTATATTGTATTAAAGGTGCTATATATATTCTTGAATGTATATGGAATAGAAGTGAAACTATATATATGTGTGGGGGTTAGAAACGAGACCACTCGAGATCAAGCCCATAGCCCCACTCACCTACCTGATGCCACCTCCTGGCTTCCTGTCCTGGCCGTTTCCCATTATCATTCATGCACAGTACCCATATTCAATCCAACTGTGAATGGCAGACACTCATGGCGCTGGACTTCGCGGGGGCTTGAGTCAATGCAGATCAAGGGCGGTGAGCCGCACTCGTTACTTCGACCTGGCATTCCAGGGTGTGCAATTGTCCACCCAACAAACCCCGTCCAACAAGTTGTAGATATCTCGACTTTTTGTTGCTATCTGGCGAAGTGACTGGGCCAATGTTGAAGCCCCCAGGCATCGAAACATTCGCGGGATGAGAAGTACTCCTGTCCTTTGCATATCGTGTTCCACACAATTTGCTCAGACATCCATTAGTACAACCGCCCAGCTCGTCTGCACGCAGTGAATGCTATGAACACCCATCGGCGATCTTCACCGTCACTGTGATCATATTAACAGCGGAGCACAAGCTTAGAAAAGACCGGTGACTCAAATAGGATATCATTCACTCGTCCAGATCATTGCAATAAATCAACATACATCACTCTCACCAGTCCGCAGATAGTCCAGCTTCGCATTCAAGAGCTATAATCCGTGTGATGCACCAAGCAGGCCCAAAGGTTGCTCCGGCTTTGTCGAGTAGATGGCCTCCAGCGCGTCACGGACCTCAAACTCTTCCATGACGGCTCCGAATCTAAGTCCCAATGCTTGTTAGTCAGTCACAGCAGCTGCGAGGAAAGCAACGATGGGACAGCCGACGCGTCATCTACTGCCATGCCAAGGCAAACTCGTTACTCACCCGTAACATCGGACCTTGCTACCGAGCTCGTCCGTCAGCTTCACGAAGTCCCTCTCGTTCAACTCCCCGAGACGCGGGTGGGCAAGCACCATGCCCCATGCCATTACAGGCGTTATCTCGCCGTCAAGGTTCAGCTTCTGGCTGAGGTCCAACAGCGTCGCCAGGTCCGACTTGCTCAGCTGCCACGTCCGCAGCGGCCCCCCGGTGGGACCGTCTACATCCATGGGCGCCGAAGAGTTGGGGTCTGCGGCCGTGGCTGCAGCTGCACCTGTCCTGTCCGCAGCTGGCGGACTGGGGGCGGCGTGGTTCCGGCTGAAATTCCGACTGATACTAGAGCCTTTTTGGTAGCTTGGCTGACGCGCGTGGCCGTTTGGGCTGGGGCTCTTGTCGCTTTGCTTGTGACCAAACGGGATGTCCGGTGTCAGGTCTGCAAATGGCTCTGGCGGGCATGACGCCATCAGCGCGTGACCGCAGGGCTCGGTGCCACCATTGGCGCTCGAGCGATCCAAGAGCCAGGGCATGTGATCCATGCAGGGCCTCTCAAGACTAGAGGAGCGAATCCGTGGTCAGCAAAGCATCCTCTTCCCGTCGTGCTCATCAAAAAGCCGTTGACCGGATAGTTGAGCCGAGGCTTGGTGTTGAGTGGGTGTGGTGGGTCCACTACAGTGTGTCCCGCCGTGCAACGATCAGGGTGTCGATGTTGTGTGCGAGGTGAGACAACGAGTATGAAGAAGGTGCGGGTACGTGATGAAGACGGTCGCTAACGGGGAGGAGATAAATAAGCGTTCGGGGGGTTTTCGTACGATAAAACGAAGTCAACGCCAGCCTGATCATAGTCTATGCCCGGATTGCGCCGGGGTCCGTTCAAGTGAGCGGATGGCGACTGTCGATGAAGGCCCGCAGCCTGCTGGTTCGGACTGAGGCCGCCCAGCGGTGACATGCCTTGCATCGCGGTCGTCGTGCTCAATGCGGAGCCTGGCGGCGGCGTGTACGCCGAGTTCTGAGTGGACGCCGAGGCGAGGCCATAGCTGCCGGACCCGGACATGGATGCCGAGCTATTGCTGCCGATGTACGGGCCCACGGATGGGCTGCTGAGGGTGTCGTCCATCATGGTCAAAGAGCCAGACAGCGCCAACCCATTTTGTTGCATCAAGGCCTTGAGCGAACGGTTCTCCTCGGCCAGACGGTCCTTGTCTTGGCTAACGTTGGAGTAGACCTCTTTGAGACGAAGGACCTCATCCTCAAGGGCCTTTATGTATAGTTCTTTGCGCTCTCGATGAGTTCTGCCCATGAGCGAGGTGACGAGTCAGCGGGAGGTGACCGATCAGGGTGGCGCAAGACCTGGGCGGGCTTACCTCTGTGCCTGCCTGTTCAGCTCCTGTCTCCTCGTCAGGGCGGGCTTGCTGTCGGGTTTTGGGCCGCGGCGTTTTGCGGGCTGGCCGTCGCGGGTCAACTTCTTTTCTGAGGAAGTAAGAGATTTGAGGAAGCCGAAGCCGAGAGCGCCGTTCTTGTCAGCGGGCTGCTGGGGCGTGGGATGTGGCGGTGCACCGTATGCGATGCCAGTGCCGACCCCGCCAAACTCGCTCTTGATGCTCGGCGGCGACATGGAGGTAGTCGCCATGTTGTGGTAGGTCGGATCGGAGAGCGAGGCGTTGGAGGGCTTACGGCGGGTGCTGGCCGAGTCGTGGGAGGAGTGCGAGTTGGACGGGGAGTAGTGGCGATGGCGGTAGTGGTTCGGAGGGGACGGGTATGAGGCGGCTACCAAGCGCGGTCCTGGGTCAGCCATTTTTGCAATCTCGTGCCCTGGGCTCCTGGGAAAGGTGTGTGGGCCAGCCTGCTGGGTAGGAGAGGGCCGCGCGCAAGCATTTCAGCGCGAGAAACGGTATTCCTGGACGGCGATGGGATGGGCGGTTGGACGGCTGGACGGCTGGATGGATGGATGGGCAGACCAGCGAAGCAGGAGAGATGGCGCAATGCCCGGGTGAAGAGAGGGAGAACGTACCAGGAGCCCTCTGACAGGAGCTGGCAGGAGCAGCACCTGCTTAAAGATGCGATGGGGGGGTTGTACTCGAGGACGAGGGCCGGCAGGTGGCAGGTGGCACGTCGTGGACCCGGGACCGGGACTGGGCACTGGCACTCGCACTGGGGCAGGGTCTGGGTTGGGCTCTGGGACGGGGTCAGGGTGGGTTGGGGACGACCCCGACGACCCCCGGCTCGCGGATTGAATCCAATCGCGACAAGGGACCGAGACTTGGAAACGAAAGCGGCCGGGTTTTCCGGGTCAGATCGAGTAATAGAGCCGAGGGGAGGGCTTGGGAGGGCTCGGGAGGGGCTCGGGAGGGCGACTCTGGCTGTCTCGGTGCGCAGGCTGCCTGGATTATCGTAGGAGAAGAAGGGGAGGAGGAGGAGGCGTGCGTGGCCAAGGGAGGGCGGCGGCGGAAGGGCTTCGTGCCCTTATCAAGAGCAGATGGACAGAGAAGAGGCCGACAACAAGCAGCCTGCAAGCCTAGGTCTTGTTGCAAGTAAGAACTAGGTTAACAAAGAGCGGCAGGGTGGCGGCAGGGCGGCAGGGCGGCAGGGCCCGCCGAGTGGGCAGGTGGGGTGGCACTGCTGCACAGGCTAACACCACCTGGAGGTCAGCCAGTGCATGTGTACTTCAGTACCTAGCTGCCTACCCAGGTGGGCTGGCCGGCCTTCCTGGACCAGCTTTTGGGAGGGCGGTGCCAAGAGGACGGGATGGTAGCTGTTGTTGTTGGGGGGAGGGCAGGTTGGCAAGCCTGTGAGTGGTGCTTGGATGATGATGAAACCTGTCGAGTGCAGAGGAGCGTCTGAGAGATGTTGGAGCTGGGTGATGCTGGAACCTAGACACTGACCGTGTTGATGAGGTGTACTGCAAGGTACTGGTCTGGCGGGCAGCGTACCTACATACCTACCAGGTAGGTACCTACGTGTATGTACGCTGGATGCTGGACGACAACAGACGAGCGGGACGGATGAAAAAAGATGGAATAGACAAAGCATGCCAAAACGGCGGTCGGGGTTGATACAAGGTGAGGGCCATGCCAAGCTTTGGGGAGGTGCAACCAAGTACCGGGTATCGTTGGACCGCAGACTGCAGGCGTGCAGGAACCCTTGGTCCTGCCGTAACAAGAAGGAGCTTATTCAGCGGGCCAGACACGTGGGGTGCGCAGGAATTTGTTGGGCGATAAAGGATCTCTCACCTCGGACAGCACGGTCTCCCTAGGTTCATAGGTACCTAGGCACGGAGCACCTACCTACCTGCCTAGGTAGGTACCTAGGTAGGTGGTAGGTAGGCACATGAAATATGTCACCCCTTCTATCTAGAATGGTCAGCCCCATACTGACCATGCAGCCGTCAACTAGATCTCTGTCGCAAGTACAAGTGCCTGTGCTCAGGCACGCTGGCATGCCTGTCACTCCTTGTGCTCTCCATCTGCTTGTCAAGACCTAGCCCCGCTGACGTGACATCACATCCATCGCCTGCCGAATCTGTCGCCGTCGCAAGTTGGCATTTTGATACTTGACCACATTGTGACAGAGACAAGGGGCTACCAGACGCCAGCCACCAGCCAGGCATCTCGGCTTGCAGCCGGTCCTTGTCGCCACCTCACTCGAGAATCTATCACCTCTTCTCCCGGCCAATTCCACCTTGACTACTGTCACCCACCCTGTCAATTCTGCCCCCTTCCGTGCTTCCCACCGTCTGTACCGGCCCCGACAGTCCCGTTCCAGACCGGCCAGCTGGGTCCTAAGATGGCGGGCCCTCTCGGCAGCCTGATGGCCCACCTCCGTGGCATAGCCATCATCACTCCCTGGGCGCTTGCCCTGCTGCTTCAGGACCTGCTCCTCTCGCTCCTCCTGCTGCTGAGGCCCTTCAACCCCCTCATGGCTTACAACATCTCCAGCCCCATCGCGTGGTCCTGCTGGGCTGGCATCCAGTTCATCTTCGAGCGGCTCAACGGCGCCAAGATCGTCGTCTCCGGGGACAAGCTCCCCGCCGGCGAGTCGGCCGTCGTCATCGCCAATCATGTGGGTTGGAGCGACTTTTACATGATCCAGCATCTGGCCATCAAGGCCGGGATGCTCGGATACTGTAGGTACTTCGCCAAGGCCCAGCTCAAGAAGGTTCCGCTGCTCGGATGGGGTCTGGTTGCCATGGGCATGCCGCTTGTGACCAGGAACTGTACGTCTTGCTCCCTCCTCGCTTCTATCTATCGCCTTGCCCCTTGCTCAGCCGTGGGCGGCTCTTTACCACGAAATGCATCCTGGCCTGCGCCATCACAACCTCCACACGCGATTCCGGTAATCACCAGTACCCACAAAGGCGTCACGAACCACTCTGCACCACCCCGACAGGATAGGCCCGTGGCTAAGACAATATTAACACCCCTCACAGGGCAGCAAGACAAGCGCGAACTCGATCGTGTCTTCTCAGGGATCACCCGGCACCGATTTCCAACCTGGCTCATCTCGTTCAGCGAGGCCACACGCTTCACACCGCAGAAGCAACACGAAATGCGCGAGTGGTGTGTGGCCAACGACCGCCCACAGCCCCGTCACCTGCTCTACCCGCGCACAAAGGGCTTCATCGCCACCGTCCAGCACGTGCGCCGGGCCGCCCACGTCAAGGCTGTTTATGACCTGACCATCGCCTACCGCCGCGGGGGGCAATTCCTGGCGGCTCCTCCTTTCTGGGACACTATTCGCCTCGGTGGTCTCAGTAGCGGGGCCGGCCGGTACCGCTTCGAGGTGCACCTGCGCCGCTTCGCCATGGAGGACCTGCCGCTGGAGGACGCGCAGTTGGCCAAGTGGCTGGAGACGCGGTGGCTTGAGAAGGGGGAGTGGCTGGAGAGCAAGAGGCTTCAGTGGGAGGCCGAGGATAGGGTTAGATAAAGTAATAGCTTTAATATTACTTATATTCTTATTTATTTTATTTTATTATAAATAGTTATTTAATATTTATTAAAAAGATTAATATTTAAAAAATATAAATTTTATAAAATATTATTAAAATAAAATTATATATTAATATATTAAAAATTAAAAAAATATTTAAAATAAAATTAAAAATATATGTAATATTTTTATTTTAAAATTATAATTTAATATTTATAAATATATTTTTAAAAGTTTTATAATATTATAAATTTATATATTATTAAATATAATTAATTTATTTATTTATTATAATAATTATTTAATTAAAATATTTATTATAATTAATAATTATTTTTAAATATAAAATTAAAATTTATAATTATAATTTTTAATTAATTTTTATTTAATTAATTTAATTTTAATTTAATTTATAATTTTTAATTTTTAAATATTAATAATTATATTTAATAAATAAAAGTTTATTTTTTATAATTATAAATTTAATTATTAATAATTATTTTTATTTATAAATTATTAAAATTATAAATTTAAAGTAATATTATATATAATAATAAAATTTAATTATTTTATTTAATTATTTTTAAATTTAAAATATAATAAATTAAATAATTATTTAAATAAAATTAAAACTTTAATTAAAAATAATAATTTTTTAAATAATTATAATAAATATAATAAAATATAATTATATTTAAATATAAATAAATAAATAAAATATTAAAAATAATTATTTAATTATTAATTAATATTAATTAATATATATATAAATTATATAATAAATTTAATATTTATATATAATATTCTTCTTTTAAATATAAAGTTAAAAATTTATAATTACAATTTTTAATTAATTTTTATTTAACTATTTTATTATATTATAATTTAATTTAATCTTTAACTTTATTTAAATCTCTTTTAAGTTTATTTAATATTTTCTTTTAAATAAATTAAATTTAAATTAAAACCTTTAAGTTTAAATTTAAAATTCTTATAAATTTTAATTTACTTTAAATTAAGTTTATAATCCTTTAGCTTTTTAAAAATATATTAATTATTTTAAATAATAATAACTTCTCTTTAAAGTAAAAATCTATCTTTATATAATTATAAATTTAGTTATTAATAGCTATTTCTTCTTTTATAAATCTATTAAAACTATAAATTTAGAGTAGTACTATATATAATAATAAAGTATAGTTATCTTATCTAAAGGTTATATCTTAATTTAGTTAAATAATTACTTTTAAGTAGTTTTAATTAATAAATATTTACTTAAGTAGAATTAGAACCTTTAAAGGAATAATAACTTTATCTTTATCTATTTTAACTAATTTAAAAGGCTTAAATTATATAACGACCTTATATATAATACTTAATAGTATTAAAACTAACCTATAATTTATAATAGTTTTAACTTTTAATAAATTAATTTATATTAAAGTTAATAATATTAACTTAAACTAATTAGATATAGCTTAATATATTAGTATAAAAGGTATTTTTAATAATAGATAGTATTATAGATAATTATAAAGTTACTATAAAAAGTTTTATATAATAAATTTAATTAAATTAATCTTTAAAAATATATTATATTTTATTTTTTAAAACCTTAATTATTTACTTTTAACTTAATAATAAAATTAAAAATTATAAATAATTTATAATTTATATATAATATTTATTAATATTAAATTAATTTATAATTTATAATATTTTTAATTTTTAATAAATTAATTTATATTAAAATTAATAATATTAATTAAAATAAATTAAATATAAATTAATATATTAATATAAAGAAATATTATAAATATAATAATTTCTTTTAATATAAAATTAAAAGTTTATAATTATAATTTTTAATTAATTTATATATAATTATTTTATTATATTATAATTTAATATAATTTTATTTAATTTTTTAAATCTTATAAAATATTTATTTTTATAAATATAAATTTTAAATAAAACCTTTAAATTTAAATTTAAAACCTTTATAAATTTTAATGTACTTTAAATTAAATTTATAATTTCTTTAATTTTTAAAATATATTAATTATTTTAAATATTAATAATTCTTTTAAAATAAAGATTTATTTTTATATAATTATAAATTTAATTATTAAAATTATAAGTTTAAATATTATATATAATAATAAAATATAATAACTTTATTTTTATTTATTTTAATTAATTTATTTATAAATATTAAATTAATTTATAATTTATAATAATTTTAATTTTTAATAAATTAATAATATTAATTTAAATTAATATAATTTAATATATTATTATAAAAATACTTTTAATAATAAATAATATTATAAATATAATAAATTATAAAGTTATTAAAAGAAGTTTAATATAATAAATTTAATTAAATTAATTTTTAAAAAATATATTATATTTTATTTTTTAAAACTTTAATTATTTATTTTTAATTTAATAATAAAATTAAAAAAATATAAATAATTTATATATTATTTTTTATTTTTTAATTATATTTTATTAATATTAACTATAAAAGATTAAAGTTAAGAATAGGATAGAGTTTAGTAAGTATATTAGATTCTTATTAGAGGTTTAGTAATACTACTTTAGTTTAAGAAAGGTTAGAATGGGCTGCCTAGGTGCCGCACTTGAGTTCTAAGGTTGCTTGGTGGTGGTGGTCAGCCCCTCCACGGAGGGGCAGACGATGAACCAGTCTCCTCACCGCCAAATGTCATCAGGAAGCAGGCTGGTTGGAGTTACTGCACGGGCGAGTGTTGTTTCACATTGGCAGTTACGGATAGAGGAGAAGGGTTCGCGTTCTGTGTTCCTGAAGGTGCGCAGGCATCTACACGGCTCCCCGGAAATAAAGCCCTTGCCCAAGGGATTTCCGCACATAGCCAAGGTGAGTGAACTTCGGCTCGGCAAGCCTACATGGTCGATTGGCGTGCACTGCCACTGGATGTTTTGTTTGGCGGACAGTACGTAACGCTCAACTTTAGAACCGGTAAGATGGCAGTTGGCCCGGTGGGGAGCAGTGATTGGCTCCTTTGAGAGTCAACGCTCGGCCTTGCAGCGGCACTCAATACCCAATGAGGACTGGGCGTTTCTTTGGGTGAGATCTGGCGGTTGATCAATAGGTGGTGGCTGGCGTGGTGAAACTTTTAGAAGCGTCTTCGGAATACAGCCGGCAGTCTGACAGTGGACAGACGCAGTAGACTACATACGTATTCTGGGAGACGGCAGCCATCCGGGGCCGTGGGGGTGTGTGCCCAGGCACAGGTGCGAACCTGGCCGGTGTGGCTTCCCACCATGTGGCTTGTCTGGTGAGCCTTGGCCGAGCTTTCAGGAAAACACAGACTGGAGTGCTGCCAGTTGAACCTGACGCAGGTGCACGTAAGTGTACCCGTGAAGAAAAACAAGGAAAGCAGATCTTGAAGGTGTCATGATGCGAATACAACCTCTGGCCGCTGGAGCCACTACTGTCCAACGCGAAATCGTCATGCGAAGGTGGGTGCGCGCGCATTGCATGGCCAAAGATGCAATGCGACGCCGGATTCTCACATTCTATTGGAATCATTTGGGAGGGGGGTGAGCCGAGCCTATGAGTGGCTGTACGCCATGCAAGACTGCAGGATGGGCCCCAGGTTGAAGAGGCGCCCCGGAGGCAGTTGAGCACATGACCATGTGCTCGAGCCCATTTGTTCATTCCAGTTCTGAAGACACAGATGAGTGCCTCGCTCCTCGGGCACCACACCTCGTCCAAGACAGAGAGTATTGTATGTTTGGCCAGCGACGCTGGCTGGGATAAGAAGGTTGGGGATAGAGTTGTCACAGCCAAACTGTCGTGCCTCTCACGACAGGTCTGGGCCCATCCTTTGAGCAGGACAAGCTTTGGATGTTAGCCTCGTAACTCCGGCTGCGGATGGTTCGCACAGTACTGGCTCGGCGCCTCAACACTGCTCGGCCAAGCAACAAGTCAACCACGACGGTGGTTGTAGGCTCACCCAAAAGCTCCGGGGACGCCGCCGCGACTGCAGCTATCATGGCCACAAGTGCACAAATTGGTGATGCTGAGAAAGCAGTGAGACCTGGCCGAACAAGAACAAGGCACGAGTATCTACGGTGGCTCGGGTTCCATCTGACCTGAACGGGCGCTTGTCCGGCTGGCTTGGTCAACTTGACCGACCTACTGGCTCTGGGAGTCCGACCTATTTTGGGTCCTCGGACGTGCATTCTGGGAACAGGCATTGGGACGAGAAATCAGAGGAACGACGCGATTGAGCGTATCCCCGAGGTGGAGGATGACGGTGAGACAGTGAGACAGTGAGACACGGCGCGACCTGCGGGGGAGATGCAGTAGCCGCCTCATTAACATCATGCATACTATATCCGCACTGCCCACACACTGCATCCTGTGGGTGGCGACCTGGACAGGCGTTGTTAGCTGCCGTTGCTAACCCCCCCCTTCCACAACGCATCACCCCCTCCGGGGAAGAAGGGAGCTCGTTTTTTTGTGGAGTGCTTCCCCAAAAAGTAAGGAGGTGGAAAACACGAGGAAGAAAAGAGAGAGCGAGAAAGAAGGAGAGGTGTCGGGCGCCAACCAGGAGACCCTCCAAAGCCGCAGCCGACCTTGCCGACAATGGCATCACCCGTAGTCATGTCTTGGGGATATAAGCCAAGCATCGGCAGACCCGGCTGCCATCTCGTCTTCCAATGTTGAATAACGGCAGGACAAAGATGGCCAAGGGGGAGGTGCAACCGAGCCTGCCGAGCCGCTCTACTGCCTGTCTGCCTGTGCGCCGGCGCTGCCCGTGGATATACTTACCTAGGTATCCAGCCTCAGGGATGCCTCGAAAATCCAGTAAGGAAGCCGGGCATGAGGGAAAAGTATGGTTGACATGTGGGAAGTGGGATTCACGCTATACGCGAGACGCGAAAGGCGTCCGTTGCGAGGTGGGCCGGGGCAGCATATCTCGAGCAGATCCAAGTGTCTCTGTACGACGGGACCATGCAAACGTGGTGTCTTTTTGTCTCTTGGTCAGCCAACGGTGGCTTGACCTGTGAGACTAGCCAGGGTTTCTGACTTTCTGCTCCGGTGGAAGGGAGAATGCCCGGTCAAGACACGGCTCCTCAACCGTACGCCCCTTGTCTTGCCTGCCGTTCAGCCATGGTATTTACTGTAGCCGTGGCCGAGTCCGTTCCAAGGTCGCTACCAGTCTGCGGATGGCATCATCCAGAACCTGTGGGGGGGGGGGCGAGATCAATGTTCTAAGTTGGATGTGTTGACAGCTGGAGTCATTTGGGCTGTTAGCGGGGGGGGGTCGAGGTGTAACACCTCGGTGTGACGGTGACAACAAGCGCCACCGTATGCATCCAAGATCCGGGGAGGCAGTGTGGCGCGTTGATGAATGCTTCAAACAACAAGAATGCTCATCCAGAGGCAGAGGCAGAGGCAGAGGCATGCTCAGAGTCAGAATCCCATGACCACCGGATGGGGTTGTACCACGGTATCACTCGATACACGTGTTTGCTCCGTCACTGCGTGTGGCACGGCGTACTCCACTACCGATCCCATGCGGCGGGATCCGCCCTGGCCGGTGCCCGGGTGGGTAGATCACCTCAGTGTCTGATTCGGTCGAGGGAAATGGGGACAGGAAAGGGTACTTCAGCATGTTTATTGGTGGGTAGGCACGGACTATAAATTGCCAGCAGGAACTGGTTGGCGGCCATCATGTTAGCATTTGATATTTGGGCTTTTGTTCAGCCTGTCTTGGGATACTTATGAGACTTCAAGAGGGCTACTTCTGTTACTCGGCCAGATGTCCGGATGAAGTGGTGGGTGGCCCATGTCATGGGGGGGGGGGTGAGACCCCAAAACCAGAAGGAGAGGGGACAGATGTTACTGCAACACCTCCTAATAATAATAACAACAACAACGCTGCTGCCAACATGCCGGCTTCTTAGACAAGAAAAGCAGGGCTTGCTTTACCTGGGCTACATAGGTACCTAGGTATGTAGTATCCAAACCCCCCACTTTTAAACTTTGCCCCTTCCCTCCCACTCACAACTGCCAGACTCAAATGGTGTGCCGAACTGGATGAACCAACAGTACTCCATAAGCTGCTGCACACTGGACCACGGGAACCCCCCTCACTAAGAGCAGATAGGTAAGCAGAACACAAGGCCAGGTGAACTTGCACTGCTGAGCTCACTCTCACACACACACACACAGCCCTTCCCTGTTCAATCACCCCCCCTTTCCCTTCTTCCATTTGACCTTGCCTCCACTACCTCCACCGCTTCCGTCTTGTTCACACCAACAATGTTCCCCAACTTTGGCACAAGCTTACCGATCCTCTCTCTCTAGCTTTCCCTCTTTTAGTGCTCAAGTGTTCTCTTTTCTATCTTTCTTTATGTTAGTGACCCGTATTAACCCTTCTCTGCTCTCCTGCCTCACTTGTTGCTCACTCATGGCCTCAACAGCCAAAGCTGGGACATGCTCAGCTGTGGCTCCTGTACAGCTTGGGCGCAGAGATTGAAGTAGGTGTTGGGTACTTGCTGTGCCGTGCCCTGTGAGCCTTGTCCTCACCACGGTTGACCTGACCTGACCTGACCTGACATTACATTGCATTGCATTACAATAATCAATCATCTACCTGTGTTGAGTAGAGTCGGGCAATTGTACTCCATCCACATGCACCAAGCGTGCATGCATAGTATAGTCTGGTGTGTAGGTCCTCTTTTTCTTTGTCCGTGTTGTTTTGTTTCCCCGCTCCCCCCCCCCTTCTGGTAGTGTGAGCGCGTACTACAGCACCGGCCCACTAGCAGCAGCCCGTCAAAGATGCTGGGTGCTGCCCTGTAATCCATGCACGGAGTATGGAGTAGCCCTCTCTCGCTTCCTACCTCCTACACTACACAGTACCACTTCCAACCTAGTCCTGACACCGTCCCACCTAGACCAACTAGCCTAGCCAGCCCTTTGCTAATCTAAGTACGGAGAGAAGTTCATACAGGCTGCCAGGCCTAACTCAAGACAGGCCTCCCTCCTTCAAGTCTCTGGTCAAGCCTGAGACCCCACAATTGAAACAGGCCTCTCCTGGTGCACCTACCCAGCACCCAGCACCCAGCACCCGCATGCGCGACCCGCGACCAAGGGCCCACAGACCAGCCCAATACCAGCAGGGAATAGCAGCAACTAGCCCATTTTTGTTTTCCAGTCCGCAAGACAGTGTCAGGGCCTATTGTCTGCTTGCTCTTCTAGGCCTCTCTCTTCACGCTCGACACTGCATCTCATAACCTCACCCGCCTCCCCCTCCCCCCTCCCGCCAAAAAAGATAGCTTCACACAGGCACAGAGACATCACCACCAGCTATGTCTCGGGATGCCGCATGCTGCTTGATGTAGCTCTGGGCTGTTCGTGCCGGACTCGTCTGTTCTGGCCGGGCTGTCGGTCCAGCCCTGCCTGCTGTCGGCTGCCATCCATCACCGCCTTACGACTTACTTTATCGCCAGTCTACTGTCCGCCCACACAGCGTTTCGAGCCTTCTGGCCTGCCACCCTCAACTCCATCCACGCCTCGATCATTCATGCGCTCTTTCACCTTCGACGCGTCTGCCCCGCACGGCTGCAACCTCGAGGCACCCTGAGACGCCCCCTGAACGGTTCGCTCCTACGATTCGCTCCGAGCCCGCGTTGTCCTCAGACCCGGCGGACAGATGAGCTGGTCCAGGTCGGACCTGTCCTCTGAAATCAGTCCTCAATGGATACGGATCCGTCACAGCTGGCCCCGCCGGCGGTGACGTCGCTGCGCGCTCACACGGCAGGCGTCATGGAACGGTCTCTCAGCCAGCACCAGAGGGAGAAGGACAGGGACGATCTCAAGGAGGCTGCAGAACAGACCCTTAACGTCATTGTTGACCTGAATCTTGACGGTTCCATACGGTGGGTTAGCCCCTCCTGGGTAGACGTGATCGGTACAGACGCGGCCCAGACCGAGGGCACCCCCATTTCCGATGTCGTCGTAAGCGAGCCGACAACCATTTTCACCGACGTCGTCGAGTCCATGAAGCAAGATGACTCAGGCAGCAAGTTCATTCGCTTCTCTGTCAAGACTGGCCCCGAGTCAAAGCTGCTCAACCCGGAAGGAGTTGCTCTGGAGTGTGAACAACCGGAAGGCGGCGAACAAGATGAGGGTTGTCTCCAGGTCGTCGATCTCGAGGCACAAGGCATCATGGTCCACGACACTGGGGGTGAAAGCCACGTAGGTCATCTGGGTGAACTGATACGCAACGACGAGCTGACTGGTATACTAGGTCATGTGGATGATCAGGCCGTGGGTTGCGCCTCGAGAGATCAAGATTGATCTCGACTCTGAACTCGTCGACTCGCTTGGTTCAGGCGCCGAGGTTCTAGCTGGCTACCTGACCCGGCTCGCAGAAGTAGGACTGGACGATTCAACTAACTATGACCCGCCGCCGCCCGTTCTCTGCCGAATCTGTGAACGCCAGATACCGCCATGGTGGTTCGAAAAACACACAGACCTTTGCTTGCAGGAGCACCAAGCCGAAATGGAGGTGCAAATGGCCCAGGAAAGCCTGTCAGAGCACCGCCACGCCATTGTCAAGGTTCTCGATGCCCTGGAGGCCCGAAAGAGCCGCTCGCTGATCGGGGAGCAAACGGCCCTCCCGGCAGCAGAATACAAGGGAATGCCTATCGGGCCTCCACAATCGAGCTCTTCCTCCCCCGGCACATCCTCCCCGTCGACCAGCGGCGCCCGCTCACGGGAGAGATCTTCCGGGTTCGGCCATGCCCGCGCCAGATCCTTCGCCGTCCGCCGGCCACAGGCGCGGATCGTCGAACTGCTGTTGGATCTGTGCGACACAGCAATCGAGATTAGCACGCCAGCGATAAAAGAGTCTTCGACTCAGAACCCAGGCGAATTCCGCACCCAGTCCCCTCAGTCCGAATCTAGAATTGCCCAGGTGATGCAATGGCATTCTCCCAGTACCAATACTCTGGAGCAGGAGCAGGGTCTGGCATTGCTGTGTGCTGACACGGAACGCATCGCAAAGGCCAAGATCGATGCCGTCTTCCGCCACAGGAAGATCATTGAGTACGCGGAGCGCATCCGCGTCGAGTTCTCCATCAAGGTCCAGGACTGCATAGATGGTGCCATGCGACGGGCTGCTCGGATCGCTGCCGGGAGAATGAGCGACTCGACCGAGTCTGGCTCCGAGACCGGGGAGGATGATGTGACACCTGCCCAGGAGGAGGGCATCTTCCTTGGGTCGTTCGATGCAGGCACGTCCCTGGCTCTCGCTTTGGAAAAAGCAAACCTGAGTGACGAAGTTGACAAGCGGCGCTTCTCCACGGCCATCGACTCGACACGGTCAAGCAGCCCGAAAGAATGCCCCACACCCCGCTCACACCACGGCATGCTAGGTGCGGCCGGCCAGGGGACAAGAGAGTCCCGCCGAGAGTCTATGCTCCTCGAGAGTGACACTGGGGACAGTGAGGGCAGTGCAAGGTCCTCCTCCGTGGCCTCTCGGCCACCCCCACGGACAGAGTCACCGATCTCAGAATTCGGGGATCTGAGGAGACAAGCCAGCTCTCGGTCGCACAACCGACGGAGTTGGATTCTTCCTGGTGCTATTTCTCCGCGGAGGCAAGAGTCGCCATCACGAGGCGCTCAACAACCGTCATCACCCCTCAGGATCTCGAAACCACGCGTGCCCGGGTTTCAACAAGATGGCATGGTCTCTCCAGAGCCATCACCAAAATTGCCCCACAGCGAGTTCAGCTCCCCTATCGCTGTTCCTCAACACCAGCATCACCAGCACCACCAGCATCATCATCACAGGAGACAGTCCTCTGCTGCTATATCGTCGTCGACAGGAGAGAATGTCAGGTTGCCCCCGTCGCCGCGACTCAATGGTGTGGGTGCCCCGCCCATGGCCCGTGCGGTCCCACCCTCGATCAAGGACTTCGAGGTCATCAAGCCCATCAGCAAAGGTGCTTTCGGGAGCGTCTATCTCTCTAAGAAAAAGTCCACCGGAGAATACTTTGCAATCAAAGTGCTCAAGAAGGCGGACATGGTAGCCAAGAATCAGGTGACCAATGTCAAGGCCGAGCGGGCAATCATGATGTGGCAAGGCGAAAGTGACTTTGTCGCTAAGCTCTACTGGACTTTCTCGAGCAAAGACTACTTGTATCTCGTCATGGAATACCTCAACGGCGGTGACTGCGCATCTCTGATCAAAGTGCTCGGGGGACTCCCTGAAGACTGGGTGAAGAAGTATCTGGGCGAAGTTGTCCTTGGAGTCGAGCACCTTCACAGTCGTGGTATTGTGCACAGAGACCTCAAGCCGGACAACCTCCTCATAGATCAAAAGGGCCATCTGAAGCTCACCGATTTTGGTCTTTCGCGGATGGGTTTGGTGGGCCGGCAGAAACGAGCCCTTAACAGTGGTTCAACCGAGCCCGCCCCTGACTTGTTGAAGACAGGCCCATTCGCAAGGTCGACATCTGTCGGCTCCTCAATCTCTCGTTCCGCGTCGCTTGATGTTCATGCACCACGACACCCGTCATCGCCCGGCTCAACACCACAGATGACGCCCAGTGATTTCGGTATCAACCTCGGGCAACCATCCTATTTCAGCCTCGGGGCCGCGCAGGAGCCTCGCCGGATATCTAGTAGCCATCGAAGCGACAGCGGGGGTAGCGAGTCCCTGGCTCATATGCTTGGGAATTTCACTCTGAATGACAGTGCTCATGGGCTGGCATCTCAGGCGGTCATGTCACCGCATGAGGCAGGTGAAGGGGGCAGCCCTTCCTTAGACGCCGGACCCCTGCGGCAAGCCAGCACGACGAGTACACAAGGCAGCATGGACCAAGGAAAGGCCACCCCGCCGTTACCAAGCATGCCCCCTCCGAACTGGGCCCTGTTTGACCCAGAAGACACAAGCCGCCGTTTTGTCGGCACGCCGGACTATCTGGCCCCCGAAACGATACGCGGCGAGCCTCAAGACGAGACGAGTGATTGGTGGTCAGTTGGCTGCATTTTGTTCGAGTTTCTCTATGGGATACCCCCTTTCAATGCAAGCGAGCCCGACCAGGTATTTGAGAATATCCTCGCTCGGAGGATACACTGGCCGGATGAGGGTGAAGACGAAGTGTCCCCCGAGGCGAAAGACCTGATCAATAAATTACTGTGTATTGACCCCCAAGAGCGACTGGGTTCAAACAAGGACGAGAAGTTCGTGTCTGGTGGAGAAGAGATTCGAAACCATACATGGTTCCAAGGACTTAACTGGGAGACCTTGCTGTTGGATGAGGCTCAATTTGTTCCTCAGCCCGAGAATCTTGAGGACACCGAATATTTCGATGCCCGGGGCGCCACGTTGCAATCCTTTGCAGAAGAAATGGAAGACCAAATGTCATCACCGACGAGCGGCCCTGCCACGGACTATCCAGATCGTCCGCATGACGCTCTGAACCGCGTCCGCTCTCAAGTCAACTCGATGAAGCGAGGGCTGATGCCCCTTCACATACCACCACACGTCCGGGATCTCAAGACCAGGAGACTGAGCGAGCCCATGGTCAACGATGACTTCGGCAACTTTGCTTACAAGAACTTACCCGTGCTAGACAAAGCAAATAAAGATGTCATACAAAAACTGCGCGCCGATGCCATAGCGGCCCAGAACAAATCGTCGGCCGCAACCAGCCCCATCGGTGTGAATCAAGTCACATCACCAGGCGGCGCCGGCCTCGAAGGTAGCCCTGTGTTGTCAAACCCGGTGCATCGAACCTTGTCCAACGCCAAAGCCACGCAACGGCCCCAGTCACCATCAGGCTTGAGCAACTCGCACTCTTCACCAAGTCGGGTCTCGCAACCATCATCGCCTCTTCTGGTTTCTTTTGTTGCTGGGCAAGAAGGAAGACGTAAGGCTTCCAGTAATGCTTCCAATCTGTCTCAACAGTCTGGCTCTGGTAGCTCACTTCAGCCAGGCAATTTCTTCGATGTGCCCCGAGTTCCGCCGAGCCTTCAGAAGGCTGCCTCATCGGTTTCAGCATCCCCTGTAAAGGGACGCGGGGCACCACCACCACTCGCATTATCACCACAGAGAACAGTCACGACGCCTCGCCAAGGAAGTGGCCAATCGAGCGCGCGGTCGAGATCACTTACCGTTGGCTCTCAGGAAGGGAGCCCCGTGGCCGCGGATCTCTTAGCACACCACCGGAACCGTCGCAGTCAGGTCTTTGATATGTCGCCTTCTTCGTCCGACAATGAAGGCGAAAAGGCCAATGCCGCCCTCCTCAGGGTCCAGAGGCGGCGCCACAGCTCCCGGCGCTTGTCGCAGATTACATATGACTGTCCCACGTTCCGCCCGTTGGACGTCCTCATCTGTGAAGACCACCCTGTATCCCGGATGGTCATGGAAAAGCTGCTGGAAAAGCTACGTTGCCGCACCATCTCCGCTTCCACTGGCTCCGAAGCTGTTCGGTATGCCATGAGCGATATCAAGTTCGACGTCATCTTTATGGAGTTCAAACTACCACAAATCAATGGTGCCGATGTTGCCAAGATGATTCGCGAGACCAAGAATGCCAACTCACATACCCCTCTGGTAGCCATCACCGCGTACCTGAAGGAGCTCCAGGCACCACACTATTTCGACTCGTTGATCGAGAAGCCTATCAGCTCGTCTAAACTGACCGAGGTCCTCACACACTTTTGTCAGTGGAAGCCAGCATCGCCCAGTCAGCCTCACATGACGCCAATGTCCCTTTCCCGTCCCATACCATCAAGTTTGAGGCAGGAGAGCCTGAGACTGGAGGATAGCCCTACCAGTGGTACGTCTTCTGGTTTTGCAAACCGGCCTGGCAGCAGCTTCCGTGGTTCTAGCCGCGATGACTCGATTTCGTCTAGCCTTTTTGGCGACTCAGAGTCAATATCGACTGATGACATTCCTGTCGTGATTAGTCGCAAGGCTACGGGCGATTGGACCGAGCACGGCCTGGGAATTGAAGTCTCATCGGAAGAGCATATCCTGAGCTCGAGCGATCCCGCAAAAGGCATGCCTCCTCTACGGCTCCAGACGAGTGCTCCGGGGCAGATCGAGCACGGCAGCACCACGATGCCGGTAGCCGGTCCACAGCCGCGTCGCTCTTTCGAGAGGCTCAGGGCAAAGAGGGAGGTCATGGAGAAGAGACGCCTCGAGGGCAACGCGGGCTTCGATTCCGCAGATGATGAAGACGAAGAGCTCGGCCTTGGGAGCGTGGGGAAGGCAGGTAGCCCCGGGCCAACATCTTCTCCGACATCAGGTCAAGCCTCGAAGCAGCAGCACTACCGCAGCAAGTCGGTGCTACCCTCGTCGAAGCTTGGAATTGAGATGATGCGCGCCAATAGCCACGAAAGCAACCACTTCCCAGATGGTCCGGGTGCAATCGAGCTCAGGGTGCATGGTCTTTCCACACCTGTGAACGAAGCTGACTGCCTGTCTCCACGGTCCGGCAGTACTCTCCAGCCCGCCGGGCCGCATGCCGATGGACCAGCTCTGAGCCCGGCTCCGGTGATCAAGGAGGAAAACGAGGAAGACGAGAAAACGGTCATCATCCACACGCCCCCCAGGGTGCAGGCGACAGAACTACCTGCGGGGGACGCAGGTGAGGTCGAAGAGACACCAAGACCGGCCCCTACCATGGACGACCGAAAATTCTCGATTTCCACGCTCAAGGCCCCGTACGAGTCCAAAAGAATGACAGCACACGAGAACTCTACCAATGTGGCAGAGCAGGCCACTGAGGGCGGCGGCGGACGAAGGGCGGTTGACGACAGCTGACTATCCGACCATTGCGGTGACCGAGATCAAGCAGCCGGTGTGGTTACACAACCAGCAACTGCCGGCGTCGGCAAGAATAACACCAACACTTTTTCCTTGCGTCATTTGATTTCAATTGCGAACCTGAAGCTCAGCGCGGCGTTCAATGGGCCTGGTCAGGTTTGATTTAAGTGTGTTGGAAAGGAGACCACGGGGACTTCACTTTTGTAATTCCGAGCGAGCATTTTCACCTGCTGGAAGACTTTATGGCAGGCGTGCGTGGTCGGTTTCCAGAAGCGTCCAAGCCGATCATTCTAAGCGAGCGGGCTGGTGGCTAGCGGAAGCTAGGCTGACCGAGAGAAGCAACCTTTTACCACACTGATCCTTTTTCCCCCTACACCCCTTCAGCACCGCCGTCTTTCTTTTGCGAGGGAACATGGAATTTCAAAACGCGTGGGCAGTAATCAAAACAAGGAGTGCAAAAAAGAAGAAAAAAATCCCGCTGTCCCGGCGGCATCATTATTGTTGTCGTCGTTATAGTTAGCGTCAGAGGCATCCGAAGTTGCAATTGAGGACAACACGATCACCGGCCCACAGAAGCATGACGGTTACGCAATCGGCCTTTTTGACCTAGGCGCTGACCCTTTTTCCTTTGTTTCTCTGTGTATTTTAGCCTATCAAGGAATGTCTGTTCTTGCCGTCACAGCCCGTCATCCTTGGGGCTGGGAATATGGCCTGGCAGCTGTTAGCTTTCTGAGCTTGCTGGGATAGTCATTGGGTCAGATTTCATATACTCATGGCTTTTACCTGGCCGGCTCAAGCAGAGCACGGCTATATATGCGAGCGTTATGTTATCTATACACGTGTGGTCTCATTTTGGGCATGAGGCGGCTAGAGTCGATAGGGAGTTTGAAAGATGGATTGGTGACTTGGCCAAAGGGAAAGCGATGCTAGTGTTGAATTTGTATGTACGTTATGGTGGTGGTATAGGAAAACGGGACAAAAAGTTGACCGAGTAAAATAACGATAAAAAAAGGAATTGGATCGACCGGGTAGTGCTAGGTATATAGATAGATAGTTAGTTAAGTAATATAAATCTATACTTAACAGATAGAATAGGTTTTAATTAATATATTTCTATAAGTATAGAATAAATATAAATAAAATTAAAAAAAGTATATTTTATTATTAATATTAAATAAATTTATATTATATAGACTATTTATATTTTTAATTTTATTATTAAATTAAAAGAATTTATATTATATAATTAAATATAAAATATATTAAAATAAATTATTATAAAGTTTTTAAGAAAATATTTAATAATATATTAATTTTTATTATTTATTTATTTATTTATTTATTTATTTATTTATTTATTTATTTATTTATTTATTTATTTATTTATTTATTTATTTATTTATTTATTTATTTATTTATTTATTTATTTATTTATTTATTTATTTATTTATTTATTTATTTATTTATTTATTTATTTATTTATTTATTTATTTATTTATTTATTTATTTATTTATTTATTTATTTATTTATTTATTTATTTATTTATAAAATATTTTAAATTATAAATAAATAATTAAACTTTATAAATATAATATAATATTATTAAATATTATATAAAATTTAAAATTATTATATAAATTAAATTTATAATTTTAAAATATTTTTAAAATAAATTTATTAAAATATTATTTAAATTTTATAAAATTAATTTTAAAATTTATATTAAATAAAATAAATTTAAAAATAAAATTATTTAATAAAGAATTTATTTTTAAATTTTAAAATAAAAATAATAATTTATAAAAATATTTATAAAATTTACTTATTATTTTTAATTATTATTTTTATTTTTATTAATTATTAATTAATTATTTTAATAATATATAAATTTATATTATTATAATTATTTTTAAAATATTTAAAATATATAAATAATAAAAATTAATTATATAAGTTTTTATTTTAAAAATATTTTTTTATTTTAAAATAATTAATATTATATTTATTTTAATTAAATAATAAAAATTATATATATATATATTAAAATTAAAAGTTTTTTATTTAATTAATTAAAATATAAAGTTTTATTAATTAATTTATTTATATATATAAAAGTTAATTAAAATAATATATATTTATATTAATTAAAAGTTTATTTAATTAAATAATAAAATATTTAATTAAATTAATTAAATTTATTAATTAAATTTAATTTATATATATATATATATATATATATATAAATTATTTATTATTTATTTAATTTATAATAATTAATTTATTATAATTTATTATTTTATAATTTTAAAGTTTTTAATTTTAATAAATAAATATTTTTATAATTATAAAATATAAATATAATAAATTAACTTTAAATTAATATTTATTTATTTAATAATTATATTTATTTATTTAATTCTTTTAATTATTTATTTAATATAAAATTATATATAAAGCTTATATAAAATTATATATTTAATTAGAATTTTTTAAATTTTTAATACTTTTAATATAAACTTTTTTTAAACTCCTTTTAATACTCTTTTTAAAACCCTTTACCTTTACCTTTTAAACCTTTTAAATTATATATATTTAAATACTAACTAAATATTTAAAGATTAATTAAATATTTAAAAGTTAAAAGTTAAGAAGATAAAAATAAAAACTATATACTTTCTATTAGTTAGCTTAGCTTACACGTAAGAAGTAGTTAAAGTAGTGTGTATTAATGTTGGTTAGAAGTCTACCTGACTGGGCAGCGAAGCGCTCAGTTGGGTTGGCCAGACCTGCTGACTAAGCTAAGTGGTCCGTACATAGGCACGGACCCACTAATCTTGCTTGCAGTGCCTGCAGTAGCTAATCCACTACAGCCTACTATTCCCACACTAGCACCTTTTTAGTTTTCTAAAATCTTCCTTCCAGCCAATTAGAGAGCTTTATTTTACTAATAAAGTAGTTTCTGAATTAAATCACTAAATTGCTTAGAATTACTACTAAATGTATGATTATAATTTATTTAATTTAAATGCTATAAAAACGCTTTAAATTAATGTTTTATAAATTATTTAAATTGTTTAAATTTGAATTATTTTAGTAGGTGAAATTAAGTTTAAATTATTAATTAACTAATTACTTATTGGGCTATCTACTAGGTAGTTACTAATTATAGCTATATTTAACTAGTTAATTCTTTTAATAGTTTCTTCTTTTTCTTTCCTTCTAGTTTATATAATTAATTAGATTATTAGGCTATCTAGTAGCTATTTAGTAGTTATTAGAGAGTAGGGCTTATTTTAATAGTTATTTAAGTAGGGGCTTAATTGTAGTTAGTTGCTTAGGTAGGGGGTTGTTTAATTAGTTGTTTAGTTGAATTATACTAAGTGTAGTTCTTATATAGTAAATATATTATTATTTTATCTATATAGTTGGTTATTTAGTCTATAAGATTGTTATTTGTACTTAAGGGTTTCTTAAATAGTATTTAGGAGGTTGTTATAAAAGAGACTTTTATTTATTTACTTATTTATTACTTTAAACTATTGTATAAAGTCTTTTTTCTTAATAAGTTTTTTAGTAAAAAGAGTATTTTTTATAAGCTATAAAAGAGGTTATTATAATAGTAGGTTGCTTATAAACTTAACTAGTAAAGGTATTTTATTTAGTTGTTAAGGAAGGAAAGTAGGTAGATTTTAAGTTTTTAAAGATATTTATAGTCCTTTTTAAGGTACTATTAGAGTGTAAATAAGGGTTTAGTGATGAGAAAAGCTTTATAGGTAGATTTTAAGTTTTTAGAGATATTTATAGTTTTTTAAAGTATAATAAAGTGTATAAAGTGATAAAGGGATTTAAGGACTTTATTTATATTTAGCTAAGTTTTTATTGAATTGATGACTTTATAAGGTTTTTTAGTAGAGGGTATAGTTATAAAAGAGAGAGAGAGAGAGAGGTTTTTTTTTTAATGACTAATTAATACCTAGGTTTTAAAGGCTTTGTAGCTTTAATATAGTTACTTTAATAATAAGGACTTATAAAGAATTTAGTTACTTTAAAGTAATTAATTATCTTTTTAATTTTATTGTTAAAAGTTAGTTGGTAACTAATTAGTATTGATTAACTTAACTTATGTGTAAGAAGTAGTTAAAGTAGTATATATTAGTGTTGGTTAGAAGTCTACCTAACTAGGTAGCGAAGCACTTAGTTAGGTTAGCTAGACCTACTAACTAAGCTAAGTAGTTTATATGTAAGCACGAACCTACTAATCTTACTTATAGTACTTGCAGTAGCTAATTCACTATAGCCTACTATTCCCACACTTTCTAACTTTTTAACTTTTCTTTTAACTTTTTAACCCTTTAAACTTCTAACTTTTTAATATTTAAATAATATTTAAATATTTAATTAATATTTAAATATATATAAATTAAAAAATATATTAAAAAATATATTAAAAAATATATTAAAAAATATTTATATTTAAAGTATTAAAATTTAAAAGAATTATATTATAAAATCTTTTAATATTAATTTAAAAGTATTTATAAATATAAAGAGTTATATAAAAAATTAATATTAAATAAATAATTAATAGAAATTAAATAAATAAATATAATTATTAAATAAATAAATATTAATTTGTTAACTTTTAAAATTTAAAATTCTATTTATTAATTTTTTATAATATAATAATATAATTATTTAATTATATTAAAAATTAAAAGAAATTTAAATTATATATTAAAAATATAATATAATTAATATAATAATTATATTTTATAATATAATTTTAAATTATTTTTATTTTTAATTATATAATTATAAATTTAAATTTATAATTATATTAATAATTTTATTAATTTTTAATAATATAAAGAAATTATAAAAATTATAAAGAAATAAAATTATTTTTATAAATAATTAAAATAAAATATATATAAAATTATTAAAAGTTTTATATATAAATTTAAATTTATTAAAAATAAAATTATATAATATAAAATATATTATAAAATTAAAATTTAAAAATATTTATATATTATTTAATTTTATAAATATTAATATATAATTTAAATTTTTAATTATATAATTATTTTATAAATAATAATTGAATTTATATTATTAATAATTTATATTATATAAATTATAAATTATTTATATTTTTAAATTTTATTATTAAATTAAAAATAAATAATTAAAATTTTAAAAATAAAATATAATATATTTTTAAAATTAATTTAATTAAATTTATTATATAAAACTTTTATAATAATTTTATAATTTATTATATTTATAATATTATTTACTATTAAAAGATATTTTTATATTAATATATTAAATTATATTTAATTAATTTAAATTAATATTATTAATTTTAATATAAATTAATTTATTAAAAGTTTAAATTATTATAAATTATAAATTATTTAATTTTAATATTATTAAATATTATATATAAAATTATTATATAATTTAAATTTTTAAAATTAATTAAAATAAATAAAATAAAATTATTATTTTTTAATTAAAAATATATATAAATTTTAACTTTATTTTATAAATAAATATTTATTTAATAAACTTAAAAACCTTTTATTTTATAAATAAAACTATTTAAAAATAATTATTTAATTAAATTAAAAATAATTAAATAAAATAATTATATTTTATTATTTAAGTTTATAATTTTAATAATTTTATTATAAATAAAAAATAATTATTAATAATTAAATTTATAATTATATAAAAATAAACTTTTATTTTAAAGAAAAGTTATTAATATTTAAAATAATTAATATATTTTTAAAAAATTAAAAGATTATAAGTTTAATTTAAAAGAAAATAAAATTTATAAATATTTTAAACTTAAATTTTAAAGTTTTTTAATTTAATTTTTTTAAAAAATATTAAAAAGTTTAAAAAAGTTTAAATAAAGTTAAATAAAATTATAATAATATAATATAATTAAATAAAAATTAATTATAAAATTATAATTATAAATTTTTAACTTTATATTTAAAAACTATTTATATTTATAAAAGTAAAAGTATTTATAAAACTTTTAAAAATAATTAAATTAAAATTAAATTAAATTATAATATAATAAAATAATTAAATTAAAATTAATTAAAA